ACTGTGTGTCTGTTAGTGTGTGTCTGGCTGTGTGTCTGACTGTGTGTCTGTTAGTGTGTGTCTGACTGTGTGTGTCTGACTGTGTGAGTGTGAGTGTGTGTCTGTTAGTGTATGTCTGACTGTGTGTCTGTTAGTGTGTGTCTGACTGTGTGTCTGACTGTGTGTGTCTGACTGTGTGTCTGACTGTGTGTGTCTGACTGTGTGTCAGTTAGTGTGTATGTGTCTGTTAGTGTGTGTGTCTGTTAGTGTGAGTGTATTTGCCTGTGAGTGTGTGTGTTAATGTGTGTGTGTTTGTTAGTGTGTTTGTGTGTGTCTGTTAGTGTGTGTCTGACTGTGTTTGTCTGTTAGTGTGTATGTGTGTGTCTGACTGTGTCAGTGAGTGTGTGTGTGTCTGCTAGTGTGTGTGTGTCTGCTAGTGAGTGTGTGTGTCTGCTAGTGAGTGTGTGTGTCTGCTAGTGAGTGTGTGTGTTTTCCTGTGTGTGTGTTTTCCTGTGTGTGTGTTTTCCTGTGTGTGTGTTTGCCTGTGTGTGTGTTTGCCTGTGTGTGTGTTTGCCTGTGAGTGTGTGTGTCAGTGAGTGTGTGTCTGTTAGTGAGTGTGAGTGTGTCTGTTAGTGTGTGTGTGTTTCTGTTAGCGAGTGTATGCGTATCTGTCAGTGAATGTGTGTGTGTGTGTGTGTGTGTGTATTTAGAGGGCGGGGGAAGGGTTGGGGGGTGGGTTGACACGGCGGGGGTGGGGGGGCGCCTGAGATTTGTCCTGCCTAGGGCAGCACAAAACCAGGATACACCACTGCAGACATACATACACAGACCGTCATACAGAGACACACAGTCTGTATGTCTCTGTATGACAGTTTGTGTATGTATTCAAAAGGAATAAACGCAGGCAACACTCCAATAGTAAGGATGGTATATTTATTGATAGGTGAACCACCCCAAAGAAAGTGTGACGTTTCGGCTCAGCAGAGCCTTATTGCATGATTAAGGCTCTGCTGAGCCGAAACGTCATACTTTCTATGGGGTGGTTCACCTATCAATAAATATACCATCCTTACTATTGGAGTGCTTATTCCTTTTGAAGACTTTACTGGTGGATCCAGCGATGTCTGCCTGACACGGAGCATCCACTACTGTGGATGGCTGGAGCATTTACATGGTATCAGTGTGCAGGGTTCTTTGTTTGTCTGTGTATGTATGTTTCTGTATGCCTTGTCTGTATGTCTCTTTATGACTGTCTGCGTAAGTATGTCTCTGTATCACTGTGTATGTATGTCTCTATATGCCAATCTCTGTTTCTTTATGTCTGTGTCTGTATTTTTGTGTGTGCCTGTGCCTGTATGAATGTATGTCTGTGTTTGTACGACACTGTACCTGTATGTGTAGATTGTATGACTGTTTGTTTGATTGTGTGCCTTTTATGACTGTGTGTCTGAATATGTTTGTGACTGTGTGCCTGAATAATTATGTCTGTGTGCTTGTATGTTTGTGCATTTGTGCATGTATGTATTTTTGCCTGTATCTATGTCTATATGGGATAAAAAGAGAGATAGAAAGGGGCTGGGGGGAAGAAAGAGACAGAAAGGGGCTGGCGGGGAAGTAAGAAATACATAAGAGGGGTTGTAGGAGACATACTAAAGGGGGGTGTAAGGCACAAAGGGGTAAGAGAGTGGATATGCAACACTAATGGGGGTAAGAAATTCAAAAGGGGGGACACAGAGTTGAAGATGCATTGGGTTTTTTGGGTTTGGGGGGGGCGTCAAAATGCATCTTCGCCTGTGTAGACAAAAATCCTAGCAACGGCCCTGGGTCCTGTACAGGTACAAGATGTTGATTTTTAAAAAAGATGCTTATAATCTGCACTTTTCTTCAGCTTTCTACAAAAGAAAATTAGACAGTGGTGAAGAACAAACACAGCGATGGTTGGTATACTCCTCATCTGCCCATAAAGTATTCCGTTTCTCTTGTAAATTATTTGATAAGAATCCTGAAACATTGCTTGCCCTTGGAGGATTAGATGACAGGACACATATGTCAAATATTTTGAAATCGCATGAAACCTCTAGTGGTCATTTTACAACCCAGCAGATGTGGACTGAAAAAAAACTGAGACGGAAATCAAAACACGCGATTTACCAAAACTATCAAAATCTCGTGGAACTATTAGGAAAATATGTGATGGCATAACACTTACACAGGGTGGTATCAAAAGAAATTGCAGACCACTACTGCGGAAAAACTATTCCAAATGAAATAAAAAATCTTATGGCAAAACAGGTAATTGAGGACATTTTACAACGCTGCAGAAATGCAAAATATTCTCCCTTGATTGCACTCCAGATATTAGCCATAAGGAGCAGATGTCTCTTACAATTAAATTTTTGGAAGACATTTCTGGAAATGTTCAAGTAAAGGAACATTTCCTTGGTTTCAATAAAGTAGAGGATACAACTGGAAACGGATTAAGTGATTTCCTCCTTGAATTTCTTTCAGGAAAAAATTTGGACATTGATAATTGTTGTGGACAAGGTTATGACCATGGAGCCAATATGACAGGAAAAAACAACAGAGTTCAGTCCAAAATTTAAAACATAAACCCAAGAGCAGTATTTGTAACGTGTGGCTGTCATTGTCTTAATCTTGTCATTGGAGAATCAGTACGTTCCTGCAAGGAATCGATGCTACTATTTGGGATCATTCAGCGCCTTTATGTTCTATTCTCAGGATCCGTAAAGAGATGGAAAATTTTGTCTGACCACGTTTCTGGCCTCACTTTAAAGCCTTTGTGCACCATGCGGTGGGAATGCTGTATAAATTGTCTTAAACCGCTAAGACATAATCTCGGTGAAATACAAGAAGCACTGATTGTTTTGTCTGATGAAACCCACACTGAACCGAACATTTGCCATGAGACTAACACACTATCTCAGCAGATTGTGGAGTTCAAATTTATTGTGTCATTGAGTGTTTGGTATGAGTTATTGTAAGAAAAGCTATGCAGACTGAGGCTGCTGATATCATTTTAGTCTCAAACGTTATCCAGAAATGTCACAAGTTTTTAATAAATTTCAGAGAGTCTGGATTTGAAAGCTCCTTCCAGCTTGCAAAGGAACTAGCAGAAAAAGTGAATGTGGAGCCTGTTTTTAAAAAGCCTTCTCGTATCCACAGAAAAAAAGTCTTGTTTGATTATGAAAGCCAAGGTGAACCTTTAACCGATCCCACAAAGAAAATTAAGATTGATTTTTTTTTTTTATGTTTTGGTTGATGTTGCTCCTAAATCTTTGGAGGAGCGTTTTACTCAAATGGAACAACACAACAAAGTATGGAGATTTCTATACAACATGAGACATCTTCCAGCAAGAGAAAACTCAAGGGACTGTTTCCTGCAGTTACAGAAGGCATTAGAGAAGAGCAGCCAATCGGACATTAATGGTCTAGATCTTTCAGAGGAGCTTTGGCATATTCAAAACCTACCACCTCAAGATGCCATAGCATCCTGCCATATACTCAATTTCATAGTGAGAAATGGCCTGACTGACACATTTCCAAACATTTGGATAGCGTTTCGGATTCTATTAACAATTCCTTTTTCAGCACATTATATTAGCTCTAAAAACCAATGTTAAAAAGATTGCTGTTAGCTGTTTTTTTCTGTATTTAATGTATTTAATATACATTATTGTTACCAATCAATCCAGTTATTTATTATTGTACTTGTTTGCGCTTGCACTTAAATTATCTGTAATTAAAAAACTGTTTGTTACAAAGACTGTTTTCCTCCTTGTGTATGTTTAGGTGACTGGGAGGAGAGGGGGAGTGGGGAACAAGATTAGCTCGCACAGGGCGCCTGAACACCTAAGGCCAGCCCTGTACAGGTTACACAGGATTGCAAAACCATGGTTACCATTGTAACCAGACAAATGGACGCACAGGAACAGAGAGGTGGAGGGACCTGCACAATGAGCTTACATGCTAGAGGGAGTGGGCTATAGTGACACAAAGAGTAAATGTAGAGGTAATGAAATAGGTTGCTAGAAAAGTAATCGTTGAGAACTTAGTAGGTAATTTTTTAAAGTTGCAAAAGAGGAGATATGGAGGGGAGGGGTTGGGGGGGCTGCTAACAGTTTAAATGATATGCTTTCCTGAAGAAGTGTGTTTTCAAAGATTTTTTGAAGGAATGGAGACTGGGTGAAAGTCTAACGGAGAAGGGAAGGGTTGTTCACAGAAAAGGTACAGCCCTATACATTCAACTATTAATTTGGTTGCACTACTTTCCATAGCAGCATTATGTAAATATTAACATTTATATTCAGTCACCAGAGGGTGCTGCATGGCTAGAAAATTAACAATGTATAGCGTGTAAATCAGGAGTGCCCAGAAGGTAGATCTCCAGATGGTTTTCAAGTACAGCTTCCATGACGCTTTGTCATTGTAAAGACATTCTAAAGCATCATGCAAAGCATCATGGGACTTGTAGTTCTACAACATCTATGGATCTACCTTTTGGGCCCCAGTGGTGTAACACGACTGCTACTGTCACAAGACCCTTTTAGGAGTTGTTGGGACCAGGCTCATTGTCTGTGGGCAAGAGGTTGGCATTCAAGCCTCTCCAAAACGCTGTGGCACAGGAGCTTCTATTACAATTATATTTTCCAGGACTTGAAAACTATAGAACTCTCAATGTATTGAGTTATCCAGGTAAACACACTTTGTTACTCTTAATCCAAATTCACCTCAATCAAAAATCTTCCCCCTATTTTATTATCCTTCTTGTTAAACGAAAGTTACATATTTTCCACAATTAGTACAGACAATCTTATCTGTTTCATAACTGCAAAGCAATTTGTAGATAATACAGTATATTGCAGTATTGGATAAGGGAATAAGCGCAAAAAGTCTAGGAAGTGCTCAATTCAATCAAAGGTCACAGGAGCACACCTGCTTACATTCTAAACAAGTCAACCAGGAAGAAGAATAAGTCAATTTCATTCTAGTTCAAACAAACCATGGCACTACATCAAGACCTCAGCCTGTGGCAGAAAGTTTTACTGGGGATACTTTGCTTCCCATTTCTTCCCATCTACCTATGTGTCTACTGCCTGTGTGAGTACTGAATCTGTTATTTCGCATGTCCCATTGAATTATATCTACTATGAAATGTATAAAATGTGTGCGTTTAGCAACTCAGTTTTGCTTTTTTTTTGGTCCAGAAATGGTCATAATCATTATTTTTTCTAAAGCACCATCTAAAACTTCAAGTATGGAAATGAATTAGTAGCCAGTTTACCGAGACTTGCAGGTGGAGAAAATGGACTTCACAATAGAAGGGTGTCGGTGTACTGCATGGAGTGGAGAATGACTATGAATTGCATGTAGAGTGTCTGAACTGCATGGAGTGGAGTGCGTCTGTGACTTGCATGGTATGTCTCTGTGTAGTACAGTGAAGGTGTGTCTGTGAACTGCATTGAAATTGTCTGTGAGCTGCATGGTGTGTGAATATGTGTCTAAACTACATTTTGTGACTGGCAAGTGCCTGATTGACCCACCAGTTGGACCTGTCAGGACCAGGAGAAGTCTGCCAAGGAGTCAGAGTAGAAATATGACAGAGCCCTCTTTGAAAGCCAGATAGGGAATAATAACATATAAAAAGTGCTGACACAACATCATGTTATACGAACAAAACTAAAGGAACATTCCAAACACCATAAACACTGCACTGCTTCAAGAGAAATGAGTACAAGACATGGGAGCACTTTAAGGAGTTTGGTTACTGGGTTTTCTTTCGAGATCTTTGGCAGAATATTATGAATGCTTTCCTATGCGACCGGCTGAATGCGCGCGCAGCTCTTGCCGCACGTGCGCATTCAGCCAACGGGGCGGATCGGAGGAGGAGAGGAGGCAGAGAGCTCCCCGCCCAGCACTGGAAAAAGGTACGTTTTTACCCCTTTCCCCCTTCCAGAGCCGGGCGGGAGGGGGACCCTGAGGGTGGGGGCACCCTCAGGGCACTATAGTGCCAGGAAAACGAGTATGTTTTCCTGGCACTATAGTGGTCCTTTAAAGTGCGTAATAATTTGGAACGGTGCATTGTAAGTATTTTATGTTTATTGTTCAATAAAATTTGAATTGTACCCTTAATAGTTGATAACATGATAAGTATGCTGACTGTTATTTACATTAATTATTTAGGTAAATGAGAAAAATATAATTTGCATAATAATTTGGAACAGGGTGTAGAGGTACAGACCTTCCACAGCATGGGTAGAACTACAGGAGGTGCAGCAGGTACAATTGCACCAGGGCCCACCAGAGTTTAGGGACCCACTCTTGGCCACCCATCAGAGGAGGGAGAGCAGCGAGGGCCCCAGCACAGGTGAGCATGTGGTGAGAGCACACCCAGTTTTTGTACTATCAGGCAAGGTTCCATGAGCAATGAATTCTAAGTTAGTTGCTGCCTCCATCTACCCCACCCCTTTTGCTCCAGAACGCATGCTTCCTTCCTTGTGGCACGGGAAGGAACCTTCTTCTGTGGTGACTGAGTGGGTCAGCCTGTCCATTAAAAGAAAGGGAAAAGGAATGAGGCCTGGCTGAGAAGGGTGGTAAGGGCTGTTTGCTACCTTGGTACTTTGATTTACCACATTAGATTTGTCTGTAAAATTTCAAACATGTAGTGTGCCTGTGAACTGCATGAGGTGTTTGTGAATTTCATGGTGTGGTGTGTACTGCATGGAGTGTGTCTGAACTGCATGGAGTGGAGTGTGTCTGTGAATTTCATGGAGGGTGTCTGTGTACTGCATGGAGTGTGTATGTGTACTGCATGGGGTGGAGAGTGTCTGTAAATTGCATAGAGGGTGTCGGTGTACTGCATGGAGTGGAGAATGACTATGAATTGCATGTAGAGTGTCTGAACTGCATGGAGTGGAGTGCGTCTGTGACTTGCATGGTATGTCTCTGTGTAGTACAGTGAAGGTGTGTCTGTGAACTGCATTGAAATTGTCTGTGAGCTGCATGGTGTGTGAATATGTGTCTAAACTACATTTTGTGACTGGCAAGTGCCTGATTGACCCACCAGTTGGACCTGTCAGGACCAGGAGAAGTCTGCCAAGGAGTCAGAGTAGAAATATGACAGAGCCCTCTTTGAAAGCCAGATAGGGAATAATAACATATAAAAAGTGCTGACACAACATCATGTTATACGAACAAAACTAAAGGAACATTCCAAACACCATAAACACTGCACTGCTCTACAGGAATTATGGTGCCACTAGTGCCTTGGCATACTCCAATGTAAGTAGAAGGTTTTAACTGCTTATATGAGGTCGCCTGGATTTGCTCCCTGCCTTTAATGCACCAGCAGAGTAGGGCTTAGATCATTGGCTGAGAGTGATCAGCTAGACACAATTACAACCTTAGCAAAGATAATTTCTCAACAGTTCATAGTCCATGAACCTGTCTAGGCTTGGCATAGTCTGAAGTAGGTCTAAATGTTGGCATACAGTCACTGAATGATCAATAAAAGGACTGAGGATTTTTATTGGAGTAGCAAATGTGTAATCATGCAGTTGGCATATTGTAAATTAATGGTGAATTCACATATACACAGACAGACTGCATGCCAGTTGAAAAAGAAACATTTCAATTTGATTAAACAATGTATAATTAGATTAAATGTCAATAAGGAAATAAATAAGGTGTTCTGAATGGATAAGAAAAAAATGAAATAATTTTAAAATCAATTTTTACTGCAGATAGGTATGTCACGCTGTGCAATAAAAAAACATATTGTATGATATGACTGAGTACTGGACATACAGTTGTAATCAAAATTATTCAACCCCCATTGAAAATCCGGTTTATTGTCAAAATGTAGAGGTTCAGCTGTTTGCATTGGACGAAAAAAACTAAAGCAATTGAAACAAATGCTTTAAGTGGTTTCCCCAAATTTAACTGAAAATGTAACTTATAATGTCTTCTCCAGTCTCAAAATTATTCAACCCCCTGCATAGAATCCCTCACAACAGCAAAAATATACAAAACAGGTGTTGTCTCAAGCACATCTGATGCAACTAATCAAGGGCTTCATTCGTTGCACAAGGTGTGCTTGAGCTGGACTACTTGAAATACCCGAATTGGCTAGGGGTTTGTTGAGACACAGTTGGAAGCATAGTTTGCGAGTTCAAAGTTGAAGGAATAGTGGTTACGCTACCTGGATTGGGCAGAAGGGAAGCTATCAATTGCTGCAACCAGATTCTTAGAAGACAGGTTGTGAAAAACCCTTAAGTGACTGCAAAAGGCCTGCAGCAAGACTTGGCTGACAACAGGCACTGAGGTTTCAGTGAGCACAGTAAGGCAAGTACTAAACGCAGAAGGTTTCCATGACAGGCTTACAAGACGTACACCACTACTGACCTGAAAGCACAAGACAAGTCAGCTCCAATATGCTAAAAATCATATAAATTAGCCACAGAAGTTTTGGGGTTCTGTGCTGAAGAGCGATGAAACAAAACTGGTAACTTTTGCCCCAATGGATCAGCGTTATGTCTGGAAGGAGAAGAATGAAGCGTATGCTGAAAAGCTCGGTGACACCATGGGGCTACTTTGCATCTGGAAACCTGTAGCGTGTGGAAGGCAAGATGGATTAATTGAAGTATCACAAAATCCTAGGATAAAACTTCAGCCATCTGAAGCATGGGCATCATTTTGTCTTCCAACAAGGCAATGATCCCAAGCATACCTCAAATTCCAACAAGGCTTGATTGCAGAAGAAGTCCTGGAATATTCTACAGTGGCTATCGCAGTCACCTGACCCTATAGAAAATATTTGGTGGGATTAGAAGAAGGCGGTTGCAACACACAAACCCAAGAATATTACTGAAGTGGAGTCCATTGCTCATGAACAATGGGCTAAGATTCCTCAGGAACGCTGCCAAAAGATGGTGTCTGGCTATGCATCTTATTTGCAGCAGGTCATAACAACAAAAGTGTGCTATACTAAGTACTAAAGATGCTTGCAATGAAGGGGTTGAATAATTTTGAGACGGGAGAAGTCATTATAAGTTGCATTTTTGTTGAATTTGGGAAAACCACATGAAGCATTTGTTGTGTTGAGCTATTTCAATTGCTTTTGTTTGATTTGTTCATTGCAAACAGCTGAAAGTCTGTACATTTTGACAAAAAAAATCTGATTTTCAATAGCGGTTGAATAATTTTGATTACCACTGTATATGTTTCATCCTTTCCTTAGATTAGTGAAATAATTTGCAGTACCAGCCACTCCTATTTTCATTAATTCAGCTTCTCTCCCATAAATTATATGTCAGAAAGGCACTGAGGAGAGAGAATCAAACTGTCTCTTGAGGTCATTCACTAAGCAATCACTGAATTCCAACTGGGCTTGCCCAAGCAAATCTGCAGCAAATGTCCAGATGTTCACAATCTTAATAAAATTTGGGGCCGTATGCATCCGTCAGGATGAGCATTCACAAGTTATCATTCACTTGCTTTCGTGCAATGGAACAATAATTTTAAGTACTATTTGCCTGCTGGCAGTGCCGTCAGCCAGCGAGCAAATTGTGAAAAATAAAATCCTCAGCAATTCGAAGGTTAGCAGTGGCCAAAGCTTGCTAGCCACCTGCTACAGTAAAAAAGTAAAAAATAAATAAAGTAAAAGCCAATGGGGGTGTCAATAAGACCACCATATTTCTTTAATGGATGTTTTAAATTTCCCTATACCCAATGTGGCAGGTGGAGATATATGTACTAAACATTTCAAACTAGCTACTGTGCAGCCAAAGATCCATGGGGATAGGGCCTGTGAAATAACTGGGGGCATTGATTAGGGGACTTTTAAATACATAATGGGAAGTCCTCCCTATCCCCATCCATTGTGGGTGGACATGGGCTATAATAATAATAATAGTCAAAGGAAAGGTCCTAAAGTCCCCTCAGCTCCCCAAACCTAACTTAAATATAAAAAAAATAATATATGTTTCAATTCTTCCCTATAATGAATCCTGTATTGCACTCTGTAATAAGGGATTTAAACATGGTCTTTCAGCTGAAGTAACAGACTAATTACACACTATAGAGGATTTTTTTTTCTATAAATTCAAAATCACCTACGTATCCCAAGGTAACCCTTAGAAAAAGTCTGCTTCATTAATAACACTGAAATACTTAAAAAAACACTATTCAGTGTTTTTTTAAACAACATTCTACAAACTCATCTCCAATTTACTGAAATGTATTTTCCCCTGCTGTGAATTAGGTCTTGTTTTTATTCTATTGTTGCCATTATTTTGTTTTTCTGTCAGGTTTTGATTGTTTTCTGGAGGGTAATTAGGACTCGCATTACTTGACTTGGGTATGTGGAAATAAATGTTATTTTATTTCTTTAAAGTCAAGGTTAGGGAAACCATTGTAAACCTTACCGACACCTGTTGGTAAGAGGAAATGTGGCAGAACGACATTGCACCTGGTCCTGAGTGTTTAATCCTTATCTGTTCATTCCTTCCAGATTATTTTTATTTATTTATTTTTAATTTTCTTCTCTTGGGGTTATTCTCTGAAGTGTGAATTTTGGGGAATTCAATGTGATTTCCAAATTGAAAGCAAAAATGCCGAACTGAATACTTATCTGAAATAGAGAATTATTTCAATTAAACTATTTTGATTTATAGTATGAAATTTACTTTAATGTCATTTTGCATTTACAACAATTCACACTATATAACCCTGGTAGAGGTATGGATTTCTACTTCTTTTTTTATTTTTCTTTATTTTATTTTTCTTTATTTATCTATTAAGGACAATCTGGGCTTTCTTCACTTTGTTTAATTCAAGTCATTATGCATTCAGTGGATTTCCTCTTATTTCTTACAAGAATTTACCAAAACATTGCATTTTTCTTTTTCTATTATGCTTTGAATAGTTGAAGATTGGTGAATTAGTGATGCCCGTCTGCATTGCTCTATATTCTTATCCAAATTTCCTTAATCTCCTGTTCTTCTTCAGGTCTCAAAGAAGATGACAAAGAAAATGATTTGGAAAAAGGTCACCAAGATACATGTGAGTTATCGGTTATAATCTGCACAAAGCAAATATCCTTCCCCAAAACAGGATACACTGTTACTAACCCAACATTCATATCATATCTTCAGCAGCTCACACAGGCAAGGCCCAGACTCAACAAAAGCTAAGCAGCAATAAGTTATCAATTCGTAACAAAGGTACGAAAAAAAAAAAGAATAAAGAATAGAGAATTCACCATGATAAATCCTTTAAAAGCATTGTTTCTTGCAAGTTATTTTCACCAGCAAAAGTACTTACTAATATCAAATCATATCTTCAGCAGGTCACACAGGAGATGCCCAGATCAAGCCAAAACGTAATAGCATAAAATTATCATTTCGCAACAAAGGTACGAAAGAAAAAGAAGGGAGAATTTATCAAAATAAATCATTAATTCTGTTTTTATTTCACATACTTTTTACCAGCACAGTCATTTACTATAGAATGTAGGTAGTGGGGGCAGCCTGTGTGTCCTGGAACCACAGGGGAGAGAGCAAACATCTAGACAGGGCTTCCTGATGCTCTTATTAGCTACAGGCTATGATTGCTATTTTTGATTGCTATTTGTGATTGCTATTTTTGATCCTACATCAGCAGACTAGTTAGGTTAAAGGAGCACAATAGCATAACAAACCTGTGTTTGTTATAGTAGTAGGACAGGAGCTATAGTTCTCCTGTCCTACTACTATACAGGTCCCCCCCTTGGTTTGCAATAAAAAATTATAAAATAAATTTTTACTTACCTTTACCCAGAACCAGGCACCCTCGGCACTGCTCATTGTCCACCTCCAGCAACGTGATCGAGGAGGAATGGCCATCTGCAGCGACCATCTAGTCCAGTGGTTCCCAACCCAATCCTCAAGTACCCCTTAACAGTCTAGGATTTAGGGATTACCCTGTTGTGTCTAAGGTGTTTTTAGAAAAAGGGGAAAAAACACTTTAGACACAACAGGGTAATCCCTAAATTCTGTACTGGTAGGGGGTACTTGAGAACAGGGTTGGGAACCCCTTATCTAGTCCAACGCTCTTCATAGATTAGCATTAGGGACTTGCTGTGCATGCATTCAAGCCTCCTTATAGGAAAGCATTGTATTCAATGCTTTTCTTTTTACTTCTGAGTCACATGACTGAGTTTTACTCAGTCAGTGCATTGCAGGTGTCTCTAGTGTCCGTCAGGAAGATGAATTGGTATGGGTGACTTTAGTGTCTCTTTCAGCAGCAGTCGGTCAGATAGCAATCGAGTCTGACCCAACAGGCAAACAATCTGTCATTTTCTTTTCAAGTTACAGAAACTTTGGAGTGTGGTTAAAAAAAATCTCAGGTTGTTAAACCAGAAACAGAAAGTACTAAGATAATGTAATACCACGGGTGCGGTTATCATATTTGTTATATTTTAATTACACAATATCTAATACAGGCAATCAAGAAGCTGCCAATATAGTTCCAAAGGACAAAGACATAAAGTTTCCAGTCATCAATAAAGGTATGATTATAAAAAGGATGCAAAAACTATAAAGTTATATATTTAGATATTTGTATAGCTAGTCAGTAATATACTATATATATATATAAAGGGATAAAGGAATATATTCTCCCTTTTTTCCCCATGTTGCAGACTGCTGTCATTTAATTTTTTATATCAGTTAGCAGCGGCAGAGGACAGAAAGATATTATCAAGCATAAAGATCAAGCATTCTGTGACGAATATATACAATCACATATATTTACAAGTCAATGGTAAGACCAGTCACTCGTTCTCGGTCCACTGCCGCTGCTGACTGATATTATTAAACAGTAAATGCAACGATATGGCTGCAATTTTTTTTAAAGAAACAGAAGATTATAGTTGTACATTTTGCGATTTATATGTGCTAGAAAAAAAGACATCTTTGAGGGGATATGATAACTATTCAAGAGGCCATTGCAAACAGTTCTCTGGTGAACTGCTTATAAACAGAACTATATGAAAAGCACAATCATCGGTACCTAAAGTCTGGCTGGGTAATGAGTAACTGCAGTCAAAATGCCAAGATCATACTAACTAAACAACCCCCTATTCCGTTTTGCACCATCCCTATACTCCTCTATCTTTTGATTTCATAATTTATTTGTATGTTTTTTTTTCAACAAATAACACAAACATATTCATACACATTTTATTTTAGAGGCACTTTTATGTTTTAATCTTAAACAATGTAGGGTATATTCACTAAACACTGATTTTAAAAATGTTAGTTAAAATAGCCAATCTGTTACTATAAATCGATTTAGAAATCTTTTTTAGTTTTGGCACTTTTGTCCCTTTTTACAATTCGTTTTTTAATTCACTATAATTCAGGGTTTAATGAAAAAACTGCAGAGAATTTGTCAGTGACAGGAATGTCTATGACAATGACTCAATGGCACAATTTTGACTTGTTCCTAACTCAGCTCTGAGCTCACAACTATGAGTGATTGCTGGCTAAGTGTCATGAGATTTGGATTTCTACGTGAGTTGAAGCCACCTATGGGGTGCATGTGGAATATTAGGTAGGTCCCAAAACAGTCCACTCACTCAGGACTAGGAAATCTCCCAGTGGGTCACAGTTGTCTGGGGCTGAACCTTTACACTGTGCTCCTCAGCCACCCCGTACTACTGCTCTCCCTCCCCACCAAGCAGTCACCAATTAATACTCTGCTGGGTGCAGTGTTTCAGCTGCTTGATGCTCAAGTTTACTGTAATGTAATCCTTGCAGGGCATTAACTCTTATAAGAAAGTGCCCAATGGCACTGAAACACACTAAGTTGCCTCAAACGCTGCTAAATCAACCTTCTCTCAACCAAACCTGTACTATGTTCTAATAATGGCTTATGGAGAGCATTACTCTTTCATATACGTATTATGGAATCTCTGTGCAGGAACGAGTATTGTATCATTGCAACAAATGTAAAGGAAATACCTGTCTGAAGTAAATCAGGTATCACTAACTGGTATAAAAAGGCAGGATTAAACAAAGTAAACATTGGCACATGTTTAACTCAGCACGTCTGCTTTAGCATTAGGCCAATGAAACAAACTGTGTGCAATAAAGACGATACCAGGCATTTGGAAGGACTTTCTCAGGGATACCGGAGTGTTGTGGTAGGCACACTGATGTGTCACACCACCAAGTCTTCTCCTTAACCACCATCTTTACACATAGCATGTGCTGCTGGCATAGCACTGGCCAGCTTGGGCATTGCTACTGTCCTCAGTGGATAAAGGAAGCAGGGCCTAGTAGACATTCATTCTTGGCCTGGAATCTAAGGAGCACAGAACGGTGGCAATCTGGGTCTGAATCCAATAGTGTTCCCTGTTTATCAATCTTTATGTTTGTCATGTTTCTTTTTCCAGGCTTCCAGAATGACGAAGAGAGTAACAATGTGAAGAATGGTGAGTAATCACTTAACATATATTATTTGCTATACCTGCAATGATTTAATAACATTTACATCATCCTTGTTGCGCCAAAAGCGGTGCAAGGAAGGACAACCGGTGAACCTGTGTCAAGGTCATGGATGCCCAAGGCTCATTGATGCATGTGGGGAGTAAAGGGTAGCCCGTCTGGACCAATTACACAGAAGAACTACTGTAGCTCATTGAAAAACTTGATACCATGATACAAAGGTGACAGAAAAAAGAATACATCACAGTTTGCTACATATGGAACTGCATAGCTGCACACCGGTCAAAGTACCCATGAGTACCCCTGTCCACCATCATAAATTCCTTTATTTGGGATGTGAGCATCAGAACTGAATCATGGAACAGTGGAAAAAGGTTGCCACTTAATCATGATTTATTTTAGATTAGGCGAATGGACGGGTGCGTGTATGTTGTTTAAATGGGGAAGAGATGGCAGCAGGATGCATTATGGAAAGAAAGCAGGCCGCCAGAGGCAGTGTTAAACTCTGGGCAATATTCTGCTAAAAAATCTTGGGTCCTGGCATTTATGTGCATTTTACTTTGACATGACCTACCTAGAGATTGTTGCAGACCATGTACACCTCTTCATGGCAATGTCATTGCCTGATTGTAGTGGCCTCTTTCAGCAGGATCATACACCCTGCCACACTTCAAAAAATTTTTAGGAATGGTTCGTGAAATATAAGTTTGAGGTGTTGCCTTGGCCTCCAAATTCTTTGATCTCAATCTGACTGAACATCTGTGGGATGTGCTGGAACAGCAGATCTGATCTATGGAAGCCCCACCTCACAGGTTGCAGGACTTAAAGGATCTGCTGCTAATATATTGGTGCCAGATGTCACTGGACAGGTTTAGAAGTGCTGTGGAGTCCATGCAGGGCCGGCTTTAGGCTTTTAGGTATTCTGTGTGAAAAATCTTTACAGTGCCCCTCCCAGACCTGGATTGATGTTGGTTTAGAGAAGAGGCTGAGATGGATTACACTAGTTGATTTGATTTGAGCACACTTTTGCTTTAAATCAAATCCTCAAAGATGTGAGTAACTAGTGTAAGGATTGTCAAATGATTGAGCTTGACAAGGACATGTAAGAACTATGAAGAGCAGGTTCCAGAAATCAATATGCAAGGTAAAGACTAAACTCGTACAGGGTGGATAAAATAGTTTTGACCAAATCACTTTTGCAGAAAGAAAATATATATATATTGGGGCTGAATTTCGGCCATATGGCGGTTCTATCAGATGGAGAGGGGACACAATGCTCATTCCCCACCCAGGGGAGTGGTAGGGGATAACACTGAGACCCACCTCCTGAGAAGTTCCTGTTTAACTCCCTTACAGTGGGTAACCCCAAAGTAAGTAAATATAACAAGTAAATAAATGCCTGTAGAGACACCCGTCGGACACTTGTCACTTTTTTGTTTGACACTTTAAGGGTAGCACTATGGGCACTTTAGTTTAAGGTCTATTTTGCTTGCAGTCTGAGGGATAACTGGTGCAGGTGGGCACTAGCCTTGCACGGTGCTGAGTTAATTAGGGTGTCTATAGGCATTTCACATTTAGGACAGCACTTTGGACTGATTTACGTCTGATAGACATCAGTACTCGGACTATCACAGTGGTTACCGCCCACATTGCCTTTAGCATTTATGCTTACAGCCTTTTCCTGCAGTTTGGTAATGAGTGATGGGAATATTCCTGCCAGTACTTCATACATTAGCTTGGTGTGATTTGGGGCTTTCTGGAAGAGGCTATATGCTCTGGACACTACGATGACAGACACAGCAAACCTTCTTGCCACAGCTCGCATTGATGTGCCATCCTGGATGAGCTGCACTACCTGAGCCACTTGTGTGGGTTGTAGACTCCGTCTCATGCTACCACTAAAAGTGACCAAAACATCAGCCAGGAAGCATAGGAACTGAGAAGTGGTCTGTGGTCACCACCTGCAGAACCACTCCTTTATTGGGGGTGTCTTGCTAATTGCCTATAATTTCCACCTGTTGTCTATCCCATTTGCACAACAGCATGTGAAATTGATTGTCACTCAGTGTTGCTTCCTAAGTGGACAGTTTGATTTCACAGAAGTGTGACTGACTTGAAGTTATATTGTGTTCCCTTTATTTTTTTTTGAGCAGTGTATATACATAATATAAATAATATTATTTTTGTTCAGTGCCTCCAATGTTTGGGGGGGTGTCTGTTCAGTTTGGTTAAAATTATTTCAGGAAAACTAAAATTGACTCAACTGGATACCTCCGCAGTACTGTGAAGGTCATTCATGAAGTTGCTGGCCATGCTGGGGCTCCTTTCAAATAATAATGTAGCAGAAACATAGTGTTTCCACTGTGCCCCCACCAGTGGCCAGCAGGACTTCATGGTTTTTATTTGGCTTTTTTTAGGGCTGAAAACAAGATTTAAGAAATTAGAAGACATCTAATGATAATTTTGCAGGGATATAGACTTATGCCACAGTGGGGGCATGGAGAGGACACTATGTCCCCTCTCATTTCATTGTCTTACTTAAAGGCACACCATGATGGGCTTTAGGTGGTGGGGTTTTTAATACGGGAATATAGACTTACTGCCACAGTGGGGACACGGGGAGGACAATATGTTCCCACCATTTCATCATCTTATGTAAAGCCCTGCCATGGGGGCAGGTGGGGTGAACAGATATTCACCCCCTGTTCTTTAAAGTGAAGCATGGGTACACAGAGTGTACATTACTAGCGACAGGGCAGCAAAATCTAATGGCTGAAAGTGCCAGCATCGAGCAAATAGTTAACCATAATCCCAAATGCAGGACATTTTTTAGGGCATTTATTGTTGTTTCCACATTAGTTTACAGTTATGCTGGAAGTTCCATAAGGCAAGGATAAAGATTACGTTTAAGAGGTTAAGAAAGTGCAGGAGTGTACTGATAATGGGCAGTGTGTACACCTGCAATTCCTGCTTATCTAAAATGTGGGTGTGACAGACAATCTATAAATGCAATAATGAGCTTGAGGTGGAGTGGGGTGAGGAGGGGAGGGGAGGGGAGGGCGGTTATCAGACTTTCTTGCCGCAGTATTGGGGATGGAAAGATTGGAAATCAGGCTGTGGAAGAAAGATATGTGAGGGTAAAATAGACCTGCAACAAAACTAAAACTGAGGGAGGGGGATTTGCATCTAAGCACAGAGATGAGGGGATGGCTATTCAAAAAACAAACAAAAAACATTTGGGTTGATATCAATAAAAGTAGGGAGGGGTCAGAGGGCTGAAATCAGAAAGGTCTACTAATGAGCTCATGAACACATGCTTGATTGCACCTTCTGGTAGCTCATATTCACCCCTGTCTTTCTTTCTTTCTTTTTCCAATTTTGACTTTGAGATGGGGTCATCCAGTTAGAGACACAATAAGGAAAAGTTAAAGGAAGGAGAGGTATATATGGGTGTCAGTGACTTGATTTTAGCAATAGTTAGGTCATTATATCTCTGGGCAAATAAAAGAAGCCATATTGAAGAAGATAAAGAGGAGAGGCTTTCAAGCCACTATAATTAGAAAAGGAGTAGTTATATGGGACAGAACTTAATAAATCCAGATAGAGTGCACTCATATAGCGTGTTTACAATGTTGTTGGTTACCTAGTTAGAAAACTAGCATACATTAAGAGAAATTTCAGGAATACAGCCCCATCAAGCAAGCCATACTCCTTACATCTGCCTCATTAGATTTTGTTTTTTTGCAATTTGGTTGGTGTATTTCTACATCTTCCAATAATAAAGTATGGAATATCACATTAGTCTTAGTGAGAAGTAAAAACTAAAATGTAATCTACTAAAATAACATTTGGAAAAGTGCACGTAACATATTAATATCTGATCTTGTTTGTTTTTTGTATTCAAGTCATACAGACATAGATGGTAATGTTGGTCAGTAAAGAAAGAAGAAATCTTTATAAATCAGTAGATATAAATTGTCATATTTATCAGAGTTTCGGTGCATGACTCTATCCTACTTGTCATTTCAAGTTGAAAGCTACATTCATTTTATTAATTATATTCTAATGTTAAGATAGTAGATAGGGTGATGTGACAAGGACTCTGTTGTTTTTGTACCAGAAATGAAATAGATGGATTGTTGATGAAAGTTTGCCTCTTATTCCATATTCTGATTTAATTTATCCTTGTGTTGGCACATATCAATGATATTTTAATGCAGAACAGGTAGGCACAACCATAATACAAAAATCAAAATAGAACCATAGAACACAAGAATTAGGGTGCTCACTCAGAAGCCTTATTTCCATATTACAATTATTAATGAACCATGAGAAGACACCCAATGAACCAACATGACGGCATAAGATACCTAGTACATGATCGATACTCAATTTTCCATCCTACAAGAGCAAGGGCAGGGGTTTGGAATGTTAACAGTTAAAATGAGCCTTTGGCATCCTCATTGTGTCTAACTAACACGCTGCAACATGCTTTTTTCGACTGCGATTGACAGACTCAATAAAATTGTTTGCAAATAACACCAATAAACATCAGGGCATCAAAAGAGTGTGCTGCAAAAGGTGGCCAATTATTTTTTGGACTTGTAGTGACATCTTCTCGTCTGAAAATTCACATAAAAAAATGTTAATCGTGTTTTTTTCAGGACAATATGATAACAACAATCACCTTCAGGAGAAAAAGAAAAGAAAGGACATTCATGCTCGGACCTTCAGTAAGGAACCTGCTTAGCACAATTTACTACTGAATATTTCTTTAGTGATAACAACAAACGTTATGGCATTATGCAGACATTGATGAATAACTACCAAGAAAGTGCATTTAATATTGTTTATCGTCTGCATTATTAATATATTCTAGCAAGTTTGTGTAAATGAATTCTCTTGAATTGAGCTGCTATTCATGCAGATACTTGGGTTTAAACCAGGCCATGCCGCACAATCTCATTTTTCTATTTTTATTTTTTATTTTTTTGCTGTACATTTTGTATGACACCAGCAGTGTCAATGCATGAATGTTTAATACAGTTAGGAGGAACAGAGTAGAAATGGGTTGAAGATGATGTCAAAGGTCCTGCCAGCAACACATCTACCGAACTCTTTCTTGTTTGCTTTTATTATGTGTATTTAAAACATTTAGACAATAATAGAGAAAGGAGAAAGCAAGCAACTTTTAAACCTTGACGAACAGGTATCCATGAATGTCTTTTTTTGCATATGAAACCCATAGACCTGTGTTAATTAGGCTTGGGAAATCGATATTAAAAAAAATTCGCTACAACCTAATAAATTTGTCTGAAACCTTTTTGTTTTGGTCATTTGGACCGGAATTTGTTCATATGGCATTTTAGTTCAGGGGCAACTTTCATCCATGAAATAGTTTCATGAAAAACCCTTCAGATTAAAACAAAATATCATGAAAATTGGCCAGTGTACTGTACAATATGTACATAATATAAATATGATCTATGTATTTTGCAGGTCACTGACAGGTGCATTTTTCCAAGATTTGGTTCACAGGTTAAGTGAGATAGAGAAAAAAAAAAGGAGGAATGGTAAAAAAAAATTAAAATTATATATATGTATATATATATATATATATATATATATTATATTCATATATCACTTTTCACTTGATCTGTTGATAAAAAAATCAACATTTAGTCATGGTCACCTAACCATCAATCATCTCAATTTGTGGCTCCATGGCTGGAACTCTGAATCACGAAACAAACAAAACTGTTGTTCATTGACTGCTTTGGCTGTTTCATGATATGACCATATGGCGTTTTGAAAATTTGGAATTCAGACAACCTGCCGATCACCCAAAATTCAGACGAACCACAATTTGTTTGAAACAGAATGCTCAAGTCTAGTGCATGCAGTACATGGGTCTGAAAGGTTGAATATGCTGAAGTTGGGAGCTGTGACATCATGCATAGTTGCATATATGGGTCGGCACACACTCTATAAAAGACCACCACAGTGCTTCCAGGGCAGAGACATGGGACAACACTGACTAAACCAACAACGCAAAGAAAAGAACCTGGCACATATGAACAATCCAGAAGCAGGTATTTGCACAAAATCAAGCTCGCACTGTCTAATAAATCTGCTTTTGGATTGTTCACAAGTGCCCAGTCCTTTTCATTTTATCATGTATCTCAGCAACCTTCATCACTATAACAAGAGCTATATGAGGAATTGTTTGGAATAATCGTGACGCTGACTAAGAAGTGGTCAAAGGCTATGACATTCTATAAAAATGTTTTCTTTGTCTTGTGATACAGAATATCCCTGGGACAAGTCAAGTCTGAAGTCTCTCCCACTGGACCTGAAGTCGTTTGAAAAGTTGGACAGTTATTCCTCAAAGGTAACAAAAATGTCTCAGAAACATGAAATAGAACGAAAAAAAGACCAAGAGCTGCTAGTAGGAATGGCTTAATAAGCAGATGCAAACAGCAATAAACTGAAAAAAACGCAAATGGAAAACATGGGTAAATTTAATTCTAGAATTTTTTTCTTTTATTGAAGGGTTTATATGGTGACCTTTTGTATTGTGTTTAGATAGATATTTAATATACAATCCCCATTTGCAATAATTGTAAAACTCAATGAAAGCTTGTAATGAGAGAGGTGGAAAGGATACAAAGAGTTGATAAAAATAGGATGAATCTAAAAAAGGAAGAACAAAGAGCTCTTAAAGAACTTAGGGAAGACAAAGAGGTGGTCATAAAACCCGCCAACAAGGGGGGAGGTATCGTGGTGATGGATAGAACATACTATATCGAAGAATCCCTGAGACAACTAAATGATGGAGTCACATACAAGAAGTTAATAGGAGATCCTACTAAAGACATGAAGAAAATATTTTTGGAATATCTAGGAAAGGGCCTAATGATGGTTCTGGTACATGTGAGTTTACTCCCAGACACACTTCTGTATTTCCTCTTCTGTGTTATCAGGTAGTCTGCACTATATATTGTTAATATTTTTTTCTGATTATATATAGAAGATGCCATATCCACTGCAGTTGTTAGCATGCTCTGTTTTTTAGTATCTTTTGTTATTTTGTGTCACATAGTGTCACTCTGGGGTAGTGTAGCTGCACTGCGTATATTCTCAAGCACTTTGACATTGTTTGGTTTGTGACAGAGTCTATGGGAGGGTAATAGAAGGAAGGCATTTAGTACCCAGAATCCTCCATAGCCTGTACTCATTCACCTGCCCAGTTAGCAACTGCTAAGGCTTTAATTAGCAGGTCTCAGAGCAGAAAGGGGAGATACAATCTGACCTGCAGAGAGAGCAGGTCTGTGCAGAGCAGCACCAGAAAAAGTGGGAAAAGTTGGTGAAACCAATGTTTATTGTGTTGATTTGTTTAGATTATTACCCTGGTTTAGTAAGGGACATTACTTTATGTTTAATAAGTGCTCAAATTTGAGCTAGGATTTTGTTTGTAGATTTTCCTTTCTGTTTTGCTGCAGTTTTGAACAAACTGATTGCTGCATGGATTTTTGTGCACGATGTAAATAAACCACACCATTTTTGTTTAAGAGACTGTTGTTCTATACCTGTTACCCTAGAGGACTGTGTTGTTTTGCCCATAAAGGTCACAGGTTCAACATCACCTTCAATGGTAAGAGGGCAAGTAAAAAATTTGTAACCGTGATATAGTTAATATGACGGTCTTGACAGCAGTTGTTGCAACAGTGTCAATGGTATTAAAATTATGCACTATTAAACACTTCTTATGAACATGAACATAGTGCGGACTTATGAAGTCATTTACTAGTGAAGATTCCTTGATTTAGATCTATTCCGTCTATATGTTTTCTATGCTATGTTTTGTATTGTATAGTTTAGTTTTTACTTCTCTTTCTGTAAGGTGATTGGCAAAGGATCCATTGAAACATTAGTTAAGGAGCTCCTTCGTGATGTGTCAACGGATTTGGAGAAAACTCGAGCTATCTGGATATGGATATGTCACCATATAGGTAACTCAGAGTTAAATAAACATGTGACTTGGTACTTTAATTTGTTTACCTTTCTTGAAGTCCACATAATTCTATGTTCTATTTGTCATGTTTCTGAGCAGGTCAGATGGGAGACTTATGCAGGGGTTGACTTGAGGTTCTTTATTTTGACCTTTAGGCATGTTTAGACAAGGAGACAATAAGAGTAACAGGATATAAAAGGGAAAAAGGAACAATAAAGACAGAGGGAGAAGGCAGGACCTATAAATGGGATTATAGGTAAGAATAGTAAGAGGAAAACCTATAAGTGAAATAATAGGTTAGGAGGAAGGAGTGGTTATAGAAATAACCAGTAAGGCAATATGCCCCAGGAGAAATTAGGAGTAAGGCAATATGCCCCAAGTAGCTCATCAGGTAACAGGTATAATAACAGAGGAACGACCTATAAGAAATTATAGGTAAGAGACAAACAATATATAATAGAACAGAAACAGAATATGAAAGTATAATGAAACCAGGTTAGACATTTAGTAAATCAGAGTCCTTTGGTTGAAGGCGGTAATGTAGTTATAGATAATTGCAGTAAGGTTACTCCGGATTGAAGCAATCAAGTATGGATAGTCAGTATTATCCAGGTAAGTTGTGATGGATCTGGTTAAATGTCCAAAATAACAGAAGCAATAAGGTTCGATGGTATTAAAAGTCCAGTAAGAATTAAAGCAGGGTGATATTGGTGATCAGGTTTTGTTTTACCAAGCTTCTTTGAGAAGAGCAGACTGGAAACAAGCAGGTTTGATGAGTAGATCAAGATGGTTCAAAGTAAATCAGATTTGATCAGGTTTCTCTGGATGAGCCAGGAGCAGAAGACTTGTCAGGTTCAGAGCAATAACTTCTCTCATTGTGAAGGCCCTTTGGTTTAGTCAGGTGTGGCCTTTTATAGCTTAGTCCAGGTGATTATTTTAGGCAGGTGTGAGAGACTGAGGATAGTCTCGTTGTTAGAGAGGCCACTCGTGGTGGAAAACATGTATTGCAATAAACTAAAATAGAAGAAAAAGAAACATATTCATGGTTGTCAGGATAGGATCCTGACATTATTATTCTAATGTTCATTTGATAATAGTCTTTATGAACCAGACTTGACTAAGGCAAGCATGCAAGATTGATCTACAATGTTACTACTAACATAGATTAAAGCTAAGTAATACAAATTCCAATAAAACACATTTTAATTCTAGGCTGTTACACTACAAAATGTGGAAACATCTTAGGGAGATGAATACTTGCTGTATTTATTTTACCATAAAAAAAAAATGTGGACAAGTCATGTTTTGACCAAGCAGAATTTTTGTTCTGTGGTAACTTAGCTTCTAAAATGTAGGTATACAAAGAAAAGTATTTGAAGTGATGGGAATTTGGCCCTTAATTGGGCGAAGGTCAATAATTTTGGGCGTGTAATCCCTAATGTATGCCAGAGAGCCTGAGTGCCATGTTCAAAAAGGCTGATTGGCCATGCCATTGTGACAGTTTGGGTTTGGTAGAAATGTGAAGAATCGAGAGCGTTGCCAATGTAAGTTGAGTTTAAGTCTCATGAGTTTCCACATGTTAATAGTGGAGAAAAGTAGAGGGTGCTTGACACCCTCTGGTAAAGTTGTGTATGGTGTATGTTGTAGATTGGTAAAGTAGATTTCAGGGCAGAACTCTTGTTCCAGTGCAGAAAATGTTTCATAGCCTGAAGTTCAATCAAGAGCATGGTGATAACTAACCGCCATGTTGTAGTCAAATAAATAGGGAATGTTGAGGTCCAATTTGAATTGAGGTTGCTGCAGCTTCCTCAGGCCATCCTTGCTGGCTTCTCATGCCAATTTGAAACTATTTTTATATTTACAATTGTTTTAGGTGTCATGTATCAAATACAGTTGCAAGAAAAAGTATGTGAACCCTTTGGAATGATATGGATTTCTGCACAAATTGGTAATAAAATGTGATCTGATCATCATCTAAGTCACAACAATAGACAATTACAGTCTGCTTAAACTAATAACACACAAAGAATGAAATGTTGCCATGTTTTCATTGAACACACCATGTAAACATTCACAGTGCAGGTGGAAAAAAGTATGTGAACCCCTAGGCCAATGACATCTCCAAGAGCTAATTGGAGTGAGATGTCAGCCAACTGGAGTCCAATCAATGAGATGAGATTGGAGGTGTTGGCTACAGCTGTCCTGCCCTATAAAAAACACACACCAGTTCTGGGTTTGCTTTTCACAAGAAGCATTGCCTGATGTGAATGATGCCTCGCACAAAAGAGCTCTCAGAAGACCTACGATTAAGAATTGTTGACTTGCATAAAGCTGGAAAGGGTTATAAAAGTATCTCCAAAAGCCTTGCTGTTCATCAGTCCACGGTAAGACAAATTGTCTATAAATGGAGAAAGTTCAGCACTGTTGCTACTCTCCCTAGGAGTGGCCGTCCTGTAAAGATGACTGCAAGAGCACAGCGCAGACTGCTCAATGAGGTGAAGAAGAATCCTAGAGTGTCAGCTAAAGACTTACAAAAGTCACTGGCAAATGCTAACATCCCTGTTAGCGAATCTACAATACGTAAAACACTAAACAAGAATGGATTTCATGGGAGGATACCACAGAGGAAGCCACTGCTGTCCAAACAAAACATTGCTGCACGTTTACAGTTTGCACAAGAGCACCTGGATGTTCCACAGCAGTACTGGCAAAATATTCTGTGGACAGATGAAACCAAAGTTGAGTTGTTTGGAAGAAACACACAACACTATGTGTGGCGAAAAAAAGGCACAGCACACCAACATCAAAACCTAATCCCAACTGTGAAGTATGGTGGTGGGGGCATCATGGTTTGGGGCTTTGCTGCGTCAGGGCCTGGACGGATTGCTATCATCGAAGGAAAAATGAATTCCCAAGTTTATCAAGACATTTTGCCGGAGAACTTAAGGCCATTTGTCTACCAGCTGAAGCTCAACAGAAGATGGGTGTTGCAACAGGACAATGACCCAAAGCATAGAAGTAAATCAACAACAGAATGGCTTAAACAGAAGAAAATACGCCTTCTGAAGTGGCCCAGTCAGTCCTGACCTCAACCCGATTGAGATGCTGTGGCATGACCTCAAGAAAGCGATTCACACCAGACATCCCAAGAATATTGCTGAACTGAAACAGTTCTGTAAAGAGGAATGGTCAAGAATTACTCCTGACCGTTGTGCACGTCTGATCTGCAACTACAGGAAACGTTTGGTTGAAGTTATTGCGGCCAAAGGAGGTTCAACCAGTTATTAAATCCAAGGGTTCACATATTTTTTCCACCTGCACTGTGAATGTTTACATGGTGTGTTCAATAAAAACATGGCAACATTTTTATTGTTTGTTTGTTATTAGTTTAAGCAGACTGTGATTGTCTGTTGTTGTCACTTAGATCATGATCAGATCGCATTTTATGACCAATTTGTGCAGAAATCTGTATCATTCCAAAGGGTTCACATACTTTTTCTTGCAACTGTACATGACTTAGTAAAACTCCATTGAATTTCCTGCATGTGGTAATGAATGATGATGGAAAGACGAGTGGTAACATCACTGACTGAAAGACAGGAAACCCAGGTTCCCTTCCTGTTAAGACCACCTCACTGGTAAATGTCTTTGGACAAGACCCCTAACGATACGTGGCTGCCTACATCAAATCCTCGTAGATTGTAAGCTCTTTTGAGCAGGGCCTTCTTTTCCTTTCTATACCGGTAAAGTGTTGTTCATGTTTGTGCTGTATACATGCTAATAATAATATAGACATGACATTGGTAGTATCCTTTTTTTTTTTTTTTAGAGTACGACATAGTGGGTTATAAAAATGAACACCTGCGATCTTCAGATCCTAAAGATGTATTTAAGACGAGGAAGGGCGTCTGTGCTGGGTACTCTTCTCTCTTTGAACATATGTGCAGGTAAAAATGACAAAAAGAAGTAAAACATTGACTAGGTTACAGAAAATAAATTGTAATGTATTCTTCAAGTTCAATGTCCCATTATTTCAGCCAGCAAAAGGTAACCTGGCAACTCTTAATGTGTTTTTACCAAGCCAAAGGATAGCGCCGCTATAGGTAAATTCATTGTAAGGATTGTAAACTTTGTACATTTGTTAATAAATCATGCTAGCATCCAAAATATGCCAAATAAAATACTTTGATTTCTATTTATAACTGGCACACCAGATTTACCTGTTTAGATTCCTGTAACTAGCACTTACGGTAAAAGTCCCAACCCTGAAACCACATATTGTCAGTGCTTATCAAACTAAAAATAGAAAACAAATAAACCTTAAAAAAAAAAAAAAATCTGAAATATTGTTTCTCTTCTAGGAAAAGGTTCAATAGGTGCTATGCTTGGAGCTTCTCATTAGCCAAGTCCTGCAATGCAGTACGTCAAGCTGAGTTCAGAGCTAGAGAGGCAGAGAGGGGCATCTGATGGATCCAAAGTCAAATGGTTTTATTACTCGCAAATTCAGCCATTTACAGATTCACTCACAGACACTCCAGATTCACACACTCACAGATCCACACACATATTAGAGATACACAGTTATAAACGCTAGCCATTATTTTTTTTCCTCAATAAAAGAAGGTTAACACCAAAAGAAAACAAATAAAACTATCATTCAAAAATTTTATTTTAGACACCCTCCAACTTACTTACTATTTTGATGTAGGAAGGTGGCTTCCCTTATGTCCAGTGACACACACTCCGGCTACCCTCTTGTGCAGCTGTCATAGAATTCTTGGAAGAAGTGACATAAGATCACTACCTTCCAGCGCTACGATGGAGGAGAGAAGAGGAAGCAGCTCAATGACAGTTCCTTGAGCTGTGCATCCTGTGTGCTTTTATAGGTCGTACACCACTAAGGTCAACCCTGATCTGGTGACCCTCATGAGGATCCTTGAAAATAACAGAGAAGAAAAAGGGGGGGGTTACTTTCTCTTCCACTGTGCCCCCCACCCCTATTTTTATGATTAACTTTTTGCTTCTGATTTCTTAATAACAGCAACTTGGATGCAAATGCAGGAACTTGTATAATTAGTTCAAGTGTAACAGCTCAGTTTGCTTACATATCCGTATGTGTTTGGTGATCAGGCTGCCCACTGCCGTCATCATGCTGTGTTCCTCTAGGACTGGCAACTCTGGGTCTAAATGTCTGACTTTCTGCTTTATCAACTAGAGGATTTTTTTTTTAAATTCTTTATTTTTGCATTTGGAAAATGGTACAGCATATTGTAGTACTCTGTACATAACAAATGAACAAAAATAATAATAACTAGAAAAGCTACAATTTCTGGGGAAATTGTGTGAAGTGTTCTTGCCTCCACCAGTAGTCTACAACTGGAGTGGGCGGAGTAACTGTTATCATTTATATAGCACATTTAATTGCAACGTTGTTGCACAGTTACATTAAACCATACATTTATAAAAACATTAGCAGGTGTTCAAAAGGCCCTGTCTATGACATCACTTGCTGCTGCAGCCTGGCACAGGTCAGAGTATTTTGGCGGTTGCGAATTTTTATAGAAGGGTTAAAGCCTATAGCGAAAGACATAGAAAGACAAATAATGACAGAGGAAGAAAAGTAAAGGTGAGTCCTCTCGTAGAGGTTGTTTGGAAGTGTAGTGAGAGTGACATCTGGATGACGGAGCGGACAGCAAAGATTGTGGGACCAAAATGACAGTAACGTTCTAGGCTAGGGATCCATGTTCAGAGAGTTGGGGATGGTCATTACATATGCTGAAGCGTGGGAGCGATAGGCAGTCCTCTTCCCACCCCATCGCTCTAAGCGAAGTTCAAATAGCTAGTCAGCCATGGTTCCCAATCTCTATCAAACATCCTTAAAGTGCCTTTAACCTGTGCTGGCAACTTGACCAACTACAGGATTGTAAGCATTTTATCATACCTGGTTACGATTCACATGACTTCATTTTTTCTTTAACATAAGCACATTTCTCATTCAGCCATAATACGGTGAATGAAGATGAACATATCGGATTCATTCTCTATCATTTTGAAAATGAGATTTAATTTGTTGCAGTGTAGACAGAAATTGTATCATTCAACCCATACCCAAACCACTGTGGGGAATAGTTTTGTTTTGCAGTGCTGAGTTCCTGAAATAGTTCCATGCTATTTGCAACTCTGACATAACCTCAGCGAAAACACTTGTTTATAGTGTTCCTTTAACAACACGTCCTTTTTATTAACAGAGACACATAGTCTTTTTTTCAAATTAGTTGTTTTTTCCATTTTCTTTTTTTTTAAACTCCACAGTAGCAAATGCTCTATCGCTTTATTTCCATGCTAAATAATGACATTTGTAATACTAATGTGATAACATTATACTTTTGTGCCTTGATAACTAAAGTTTCAATATGTCTTTGTAGCATTGCTGGTGTGCAGTGTAAAACTGTGAGCGGTTACGGCAAGGGTATGTCATACCAGGTAGGACAGAAGATTACTGAAGATTCTAATCACGCCTGGAATATGGTCTATTTGGAAGGAGGTTGGCATTTGCTGGACTGCACTTGGGGAACAGGAAATTGCAACAATAACATGTTTTCGTTTAAGTAAGTAAAAACAAAACTTGGCTTGTTGTTATGGTATAAAATAAAAGGTAAATGTTTTATAATTATAATAGAGTAAATAATGATTTTTGCACTGGATAATTGTATAGTGTTAGATGCACTAACTAGTGTAAGGTGTCCATAGGCTGAAACATATTGTCAATATACTGACGAGTGTACATAATATATATGTAACATCATGCATTTAAAAAAATAATACAGCTATTGAACAGGAGTAAGGTTTTAATATATATAAGATGATTTCCATGTTGCGCCTAACAGTGGCGACTAAGGAAATGTAAAGATGGTGGGGCGCTAGACTCCGGACTTGACGTCCTTTTACCCCATGTACTCAATTCCTTTCTCAAGGAGACGTCAAGCCCTGTTCAGCAACATTAGTCAATAGATACATGTATTTATGAAACAATAACTACTTTAACCCCTTAAGGACCAAACTTCTGGAGTAAAAGGGAATCATGACATGTCACACATGTCGTGTCCTTAAGGGGTTAAAGAGGTTTGACTCCACTCCTAAACCTAAACAAAGCCAATAGGAGATGTTGGTTTGAACACACTAAGCATGTCTGATGGATTTAAACACAGATAATAGGAGGGTTTTTCAAAAAGTCCCAAAATCTCAACATAATTAGTTTCTCACATTTCAGTAGTATCTTCATCCATCAATAATGGGCAGGTATGAAACTTTTTCTAGCATTCAGATCCTTACCATGCCAGTAGATGTGATCTTATTTGAGCAACAAAAACAGGGGGTCCTGTCCCATCTGCCCCTATTGACCAGCCTTCACTGTTCTCACTTTACTAAGTGTCTCTTTGATTTGTCCTCTCACTATGTGAGAAAGCTAAAGGTTATCAGTGACAACCATACCCGAGGATGTCTCACATCTTAAGTAGAGGTTTCTGTTTTGGAGCCAAGAAGGATATCTCTTCCCGGAAAAGAGATATTTCACCTGCAGTCCTGGCAACTATTTGCGAAACTCAAAAAACCTAGCTGAATACTAACAGATTTCTAGATATGACAGCCACCACCCTCATAGCATATCTATCCTCCCCTTATACACAAGTATGTCCCGTCTAGGCCCTTACGATCTAGGCCCTTACGATTCTGTCCGTACTCCCACCTCTGATGCTCGCCTTCAAGATTTCTCGAGGGCTGCACCGTCCTGTGGAACTCGCTTCCCTCCTCCGTCAGATGCTCACCCAGTCTCCACTCCTTCAATAAATCGTTAAAAACCCACTTCTTCATAAAAGTGTATCAATTAAACTGTTAATAGCTCCGGACTGATTCCTCTTCTGCAACTGTCACTAGTCTAATACTATCCTTACCTTTTTGTGTCATTTTACCCCACTCCATCCAGCATGTAAGCTCATTGAGCAGGGCCGTCAACCCCTCTGTCCCTGTGTGTCCAACTTGTCTGATTACAACTACATGTCTGTTCGTCCACCCATTGTAAAGCGCTGCAGAATTTGATGGCGCTATATAAATATCATAATAATAATAGTAATAACTATGAAAAAGCATATTGTGTAATGTGATGTAATTTATTTATCTTGCCTTTGTTCCTTGGTGTATATCTAACAACAGCTGCAAAAGCTGAACCTCTCTTGTCTGACACTTTTGCAACCCTTCCCTTCTTCCCCATCCTAAACTTTTGTGTGGCTGTCCAATCACAGACTTCCCAAGTCTTTGCAAGGCAGCTGCTTTGGGCAATTGCTGCCTCTTGAGTTTACTACCAGGAAGTAACAGGACTGGTTGTCTGATTGACAGTCAGGGGGGTGTAGCAATGTTAATTTACAAAAACGCTAATTTCTATTGAAATCTGCACTTTTTGTAAAATGATAAAAGAGGACAAACTCTACACACAAAACGCTGAAGTGCTCTAGGGGTCTGGAGTGTCCCTCTAATAAGTCAATAAATCTGAGTGATTTCTATGTTGCAGATACAATGAGTTCTATTTCCTGACACATCCAGCACTGTTCATTGAAGATCATTTACCCGAAAATTCAGATTGCCAGTTACTGGAGCGACGCATTTCTCAAAAGCACTTTGAGCAGATTGTATATCGTACACCATATTTTTATAACCTGGGGCTGTTGTTCTCTGAACCTGACACAGTGATCATTGAAACAGGTAACTGGATTATTGTCATCATAATTTTTTTTGTTCTAGTGTATATATAAAAATGTTGACTTTCAGAATTGTTTTTTGTTTCTGCTGATTTTTTCATCTATTGATTGTTCGTCTGTTTTAAATTATATTTTATATATGTGGGAGCAAATTGTAGTTAAAATTCTTTACAGGAAATTTTCAAGAGGAGAAAGGTGCGAGAGAGAAAGTAAAATAAATTTGTTAAATTATATACATCAAGCATGTCAAACTCAAAGTCTAGCACGGGCCAAATAAACAAGGTTTAAGTTTGTGTTAACAAAAAAAAAAACTTTTCATAGAAACGTAGGTTTATTTTGAAAAGTACAGTATAAAAAAAAAGCATCCCCTTCTACTAAACCAGAGCACCCTCCTCTACTAAATCCCAGTCCTCCCCATATACTAAATCCCAGTCCTTCACCTATACTAAATCCCAGTGCCACCCTCTACTAAATCCCAGCACCCCCTCTAGCCAACAAGCAGACCCCACTCACATTGGCGCTGCCAGTATGTGACTCCGGAGTCCAGCCTCTGGTATACCCCAGATGGCGCCGTCCGCACCCTGTGCCAAAGCGGATCCTCCCGCTATTTCTTAAGACCCTGTGAAGGTGGAGCACGTCAACGTAACGTCGGAATGTGACGTGACCTTGCGTGCCTCCATGCACTTCCAGGTACTCCACTGTCCAGCAGCGCCCATCACAACATTGACCTACATTCAAACACTCACTGACACACACTCACTGACAGACACACACACTCAATGACAGACACACAAATGCACACACACACAGACTCTTACTGACACACACTCACTGACACACACAGACACACACACAGACATACAGACAAATACACTCACTGACACACATACTCACTGACACATACACACAGACACACACACACTGACAGACACACCCACCTTTACACATTCTTGCACACACACATCATTTTATTTATTGCTCCCTACCTTTGGGAGCTGGTGTGGGGCCTCTCTTTGTGGTCCAGTTTGGATCTTCTATCTGGAGATCTCCTTCCTGCTCCTCACTGCTCCCTCACATGCAGTTTAGTGACATCATATTCTGCCACCCGGCATCACTACAGACGGTGCAAGCGAGGAAGCAGTTAGGAGCAGGAAGACTGAGGTCCTCCAGTGACCTCTCCAAGTCCTGGCCAGGTAAAATTTTAGCAGATAGGCACCTGATATGTGGAGAAAGCAGGTGCCTACTCTGCGTTAACACTAAGCATGTACTTATGGCTTGCCGGGCCACAAAGAGTTTGACCTGCTTGATGTACATCAAGTGCCTCCACATTCAGTCACACAGGGGCATGTAAATTGAATACTCCTATTGGCTAGTGTTTGTCAGCTCAGTTTAGTCAACTTTTTGCTTTTACTCTAAAGGGCTCTTGTGTCTCTCAGAGTTGTAGGAATTGCAAAGAAATAAATATGATTTTTAATGTCTGCATACATGTAAGATAAGCTGTTCGTAAATATGTCTATTACTTTTCTTTCTAGTGAAAGGAATGGCCTCTATTGTCATCGAGAGCAGCTCCCGTGTGCTATATCTTTTTGACCTAAATGAAACAGAAAAAACTGGTTTTGTGCGGCTAATGGAATGCAAGGCAAAGTTTTTTATTTATCCTGAGAAGACTGGAAAACATAAACTAAACATTTATGCAAAATCCCATGATTCAGAGGGAGATTATCACTCTGTTTTAAGTTATGTGGTAGATTGTAAATCTATAGAGACCTCCATGAAGATCCCTAAGTGTCTCCGAATACCTGCAGGTCCAAGTTGGTTATCAGAGAAAGCAGGACTTTTTCAGCCCTCTCACCCAGACCCAATAATTTACACCAAGGACGGCTCTTTCACTGTCAGCTTCACAGTAAAGCAGGATTTGAGTCTTTTTTGTACCTTGAACTCTGATGACCTGCAGATGACTTCAGAGATGCAGCACAGACACATCTTCCAAACACAAAAAGAAGAAAGTGTGGAGTTTAAAGTTCGTCTTCCTCAATCAGGAACCTTTGTTCTAAGTGTGAACATTAAGGATAAAAACAGTGAGGTATATACATCTAGATGCAACTATCTCGTCATATGCTCTAATCCAGCTGTTCGCTGGCCAGTGTTCCCCTTGAGTTATTCAGACTGGGCCAAACACTATGACTTGGTGGAACCTTTAGATGGAATTTTACCCAAAAATAGCAATGTATTTTTCAAGCTCCAGATTCCTGATGTGGCTGGAGTCACTGTAGATCGCAAAGACTCATTTCCTTTGACTCTCAATGACCAGGGATACTGGGAAGGAACAGCAAGAACAGACAATTGTAAAGAACTCTATGTTACTGTTAATTATAAAGAACAACCAAAGAAAAGAATGTATGTGTTGCAATACCAGATACAGTGAAGAATGAGACTATTGATACATATGTCAGAAGATGGATGATAAAGCAATACAAGTTGGAACAGTTTTTGGGTCAGATGACCAATCTGTGGATATTTTTCGTTATGTAATAATGAATATATGGTACCAATAACAATGCAAAGTCCCAGCAGTCCTGCACACTCTATATTGCAGATATGCACTAATGGCCTTCTTAACCAGAGTGAGAGGGACTGTCAGTGACTTTTTTCATTTAAAAAAAACTTGGTTTATGCAAGAGAAAGACATTATACTCACACAAAACACTCCACAGACATCAACACATCTGGAGAGTGGTGGAATATTCGTCTATTTGAAATACATTAATTAGCAGGAAAACTTTCTATTAAACTGTTTTTTTCTAGAAAAAAAAGTTTTACGGCTGTCATGTGCTGGAAGAGAAGCCCTATAGATCAGAATCCTCCTGTTCCCAAACCAGAGTTAATACACAACTGCAGTGTTGCGAAATAGACAAGCCCATAGGCCCATGATGGGGTCTGTAGGACAGCACGCATTAGACCTCCCCATAGGAAACCACTGAATCAAAGTTTAACATTGCAGCACTAACTGCAAAATAGACACTACACCCAGACCACTTCAATGAGCTGAATTGGTCTGGGTGCCTACAGTGTACCTTTAAGGTTTTTTTTTTATATCTACACGTAAAAAAATAATGAAAACATATAATGTTTAAAGTGTGTTATTTATTTTGTATTATTTAGTTTGCATTATTGTTTCTTAACCTTTCCCCCTATCTGAATGAACCCTTTAGGAAAAGAAACAGCAATGTAAATTAAACTCCTTAATTATAACAGATGAATCTTTACAATTAATTTAATCATGATGCATTCTTAAGAATACTGTTTGTTAAAAAATGAAAGGAAAACACAAATATAGCTGGCAAACAATATTATCTCAATAATATAGATACACGGTAAATTATGATATATGATCTATGGCTATATCGTAAACACAAGGATTGAGTTGCAACTCTTTATTACTCTTAAAGGGATTTGGTTTCCTTACAATGAATCTAAACACCCTTTGTTTTTGTTTTTTATTAAACATACTGTTAAATAAAAAAAACAAGATTGTGTATTTTTGTGTATTGCAATCAAGCCCAGCAAACAGAATACTTAAGAATGAAAGTGCTTGTGTTTAAAATACAAAAAAAACAACAATTATTTGGGCAAAATGCAATAATTGTGCGATATATTGTGCAAATACACTCCAAATCACTTTTACAAAACTCCACATTAAAGTACTTATCAATTACTAAAATAATATACTGTGAATTACTGCTGTTTCAGTCAAATAAATATTTCCTTAAATTAAATATTTTGGATATTTTTAATCCACTTCAAAATGTATAACATGTTATGTTTCATCACCCAAAACATAAGGCCTAAATTGTCCTCTGTCCCATCATAGCTAGAATAGGTTTAGTAAATGAAGGTTTGTCAGAACAGCACCTGCATCCTCTAGTGGTCAGTCTGACAAACTACAGCAGATATTCTTAACATTCTTAAATTTAAACTTAAAGAGGCACTCCAACCCTGATACAGGTACTCCTCACTTACCAACCGGGTACCGCTCCTATGACCCAGTCGTAGAACTAATTGGTCGGTAAGTGAGGAGTTAAGGGATTCCCTGCTCTGGTGCGCTTGTATATGTTCAGGTAAATTTCCCCGAACATAGATGAACGCAGCAGAGCAGGGAATAGCTCTAATTCCCACGACGGCTCGCACTTACCACCCCGCGAGAGAGCTGGTCGTAAGTGCGAGCCATCATTAAAAAGGGAGGTTGCAAAACGAGGACCACCTGTAATAAAAAAATTTTTTAACATTACAAAGGCTCTATGGGGCATAATTAATTGGTCTCTCCTTGGAAAACATGAGAAAAATAGGTTTTTAAACTTTCCTTAATCCAGTGCCTGGAAAATCTCCCAGCACTGATCTTCCACATCCATTCATTATGTCACTCGGTTCTTACGTGGTTCAATCACAGGCTTCTCCTAGAGATGTTTGTGATTAAACCGTTTCACCGGCTCAGAGTGTATGCATGCAATGTGATCCGGGAGGGAGAAGGGGACGGAGGATGGAAGGGGAAAAAACACCTTATACAATTTACAGATGGAGGTGGGAGGGAGCACACAGTGAGAGGGAGGGGGAAGTAATCTTCCCCTTGCATGTGTTCTGACTGTAAGGGGGAAGATTTTTACATCTTTCTGCAGAGTGCAGTGGACACTGATGACAGATGAAAATTATATTGACACAAAGAATTGACACAAGACAGCCCAGGTTCTAAACTGCTTAAGTTACGTGTGCAAGGGGTGCAAGTAGCCCTTTAGCACACAGCAATAAATCTGAATGTGCAGTATCTCAAGTAGAAACACTGCACATTTGGACTCCTACCACAATGACCATTTCAAATCAACGAAGGTACAAGGATTTTTGGCAGCAAAGGCAAAGATGCATTTTGTCGCCCTCCCCCATTTCACATTGATCACCATTTTCTACCCCTTGATTGTGCAGCACTCACAAAAGTATTGTGAGTTCGCTGCCCAGTTCCGAGACTGACTGTATAAGAGATTCATAGTCATGACTCTCACAGTCACATATATGTACGTAGTGGGGAATCGTGATGCAGCATAATAACAGAGAACTATCACACTTACCCCCAAATAATGACAGACAACGTAGTATGGATGAAACAGGCAACAGCATTTATTATAACATATGATAAATAATGTATAACATATCCATAATTTATTTTAATCTTTATCTTTACTTGATATTAATCAAACATCAAACATATATAACCATAACAACAAATAAGTTAAAATATAGTGTCATACAGTATAATCCAACCTTTCTTGCCAGTATACTGAACATGAGCCTATGCACCACTTCTCTCACCTCATAAATTCCCTTTTCGTCCCAATGCTTACCACCAGCCAACCTTTTCATCGCTTGGTGGGCACGTCCAAACAGGTGACCTAAGGTTAACCGTTTAGAGCAGGGGAGGTTGAGACCTGAAACCTGACCACCTCATTCCACATATTGACACAACGGCCTCAAACTTAAAGGGACATTCCAGTGCCAGGAAAACAATCTGTTTTCCTGGCACTGCAGGTCCCCTCTCCCTCCCACCTCCCACCTCCCACCTCCCATTCCAGGTTGCTGAAGGGGTAAAAACCCCTTCAGTCGCTTACCAAAGGCAGCGACGATGTCCCTCGTCGCTGCTTCTTCCTCCGTCGCCGCTCATCCCCTTCATTACATCAGGCGGCTGGGGAGACTGATCCTGCCCGCCAGCTGGGGAGACCTAATGCGCATGCACGGCAATGCCGTGTACGCGCATTAGACCTCTCCATAGGAAAGCATTGGGAGGACTTAACCCTGCAAAGTAATTATTGCAGTTTATGAAAACTGCAATAATTACAGTTGCAGGGTTAAGGGTAGTGGGAGTTGGCACTCCAATGGGCAGAAGTGGTCTGTGTGTCTGGAGTGTCCAATTAATTTGCAAGGACATAACCCTGGCTAGCTGCGACTACAATCGGTCGGGTGGGAGGGAAGCTGTTTGCTGGTCCGAATCCCAAGTAGCACTGAGGTAAGAGCACCCCCACCAAACTCACACACCATATAATCCCACCCACACATTCATACACAACCAATCACACGCATCCATCCCCACACTCATACATGTGCCCTTGTCTGCTTAGCTGTGCTAACTCCCCAGGGCCTGGACCTGTATTCATGGTCAGTTTTACTTGTAAGGGATTACTCCAACCAAATAACAGTGTTTTAATAAAACCCCCTCCTTTAAAATAATGAAATATAGAAAATGTAATGACACATTTGCAGTGCATTTGTGGTTGGTCTAGCAAAGAGTATTGTGCAGTGGTTACAGCCACGACCGTGCCCGTCATGCCAGGGGTCCCAGCCGCCCTGCTGATACCTGCAACTGTGGACTGCTGAGAGGAGCACTGTCACAGGGGGCTCATCTAAGGCACCCATAAATCACCGCATGTACAGTGAGGCGGAGTAGGCACCTACTTACCTGAATGGCAGGTGCCTACTCTGTCGACATACACCGGAGGGGAGGGGAGGAAGCAGGCAGCATTCATTGTCAGTGGCAAGGGAGCACTGATCTGCCCTCTGTGATGCCGGGAGCCGGAATAGGACATCATTTCGGCCCCAGCATACTAAACAGTGTGCAGGAGGAGAGAGGAACTGGCACAGCACAGTCTCATGGAGAGGACCCTGACCAGCTCTCCCTAAGCTAGGGAGGCTGGATGGGCCTCAAAAAATTTAATTATTTTTGAGAGTGTGCAAGAATGTGTGAGTGTGTGTGTCAGTGTGAAATCAGCTTTACTTACCTTCCAGGACCTTGGTGAGAAGGTGTTCCCAGTTCAGCTGATGACTCATCATCTGGAGTGACAAAGTGGTCTCGCGCATGCTCCTAGCCTCCGTCAGATTTTCCTATCCGTCAGGAGTGCAAGCACCCATGTGCAGCACAAAGAACAGCTGATCTGCGTTGTAGCGGAATATATTTGTTTGAATAGACTTTAATTCCTTTTGTTCAGCTGTCCGTACACTCTCCGTTCAGTTACCGAACCAACTGTGTGTGGTCCCCTTGTTAACAGCTCATAGTCACCAACAACCCCTGGCTGTTAACCTCAAATGAGCAATTAGCTCAAGTGCTTTCCCTGTGTGGCCGCCGTTCGTATAAACGATCACACGTGCTCCAAGAATTGGCGGCCATTTTGTCCCCCGAAAGCAGGTAGCGGTACATAGTCATCGAGTGTCTGGAACTGTATGTCGGCTACACAACCCCGCGATCACCTGGGAAACTTGTACCGCTGCCCGAGCCACTTCGCGACTAGTTACAAGAATGGCGTTTGGGAGACAGGAACTACTGAACAGCGGGAGCATTCGCTCCCTAAAAGCCAGGGGTAGCATTCGTCTGTGTTTGTATGGGAACCCCCAAAAGAAGACTGGTCGTTGCCTTATTTTCTGTGGAACTGTTTTGTGACATCACCTTGTGGTCAGGGCCGGCCTTAGGCAATTAGGCGCCCTGTGCAAAAAGTCTTCACGGCGCCCCCCCCACCTCCCACCAAGTTGCCTGAATACAGTAACACACACAGGCACCGGGGACGTGTGTATCACGAGGCAAACAAGGCATCTGCCTTGGGCGCCACTTTGCAGGGGGCGGCAAAAAAAAGCATCCCTCCAAACCCCCAGGCAGATCCCTTGCTTGCCTCGCATCCTGGGGGGCTCAAGAGCTGACCGGCTGGCCACTTTTGAGCCCCCCCAAGGCTGGCAGCGGGCAGCGAAGGAGCATACTCACCTGAGCTCTTCCTGCTCAGCTTCCTCTGCGCCGCTTAATGAAGCCGGGAGCCAGAATATGACGTCAGTCCGGCTCCCGGCATCACTAAGCGCTGCTTACTCAGCCTGTGCGCCCCCTGCCTGCCTGCCCAGCAGCCACACTGGACTGCTGGTAAGAAATCCACTCCAGCTTTCCCAGGGAGGCTGGGTGGATTTAAAATAAATGTAAAAAATATTAGTTTGTGAGTGTTAGTGGAAATGTCTGTGTGTGTGTCTGTGAGTGTTTATTTTGAAGTGAATGTGTGTGTGTGTGTGTGTGTGTCTGTAAGTGTGTAATTGTGTGTGTCTGTAAGTGAATGTGTGTGTGTCTGTGAGTGAATGTGTGTGTTGGTCAGTGAGTGTATATGTGTCAGTCAGTGAGTGTGTATGTGTCAGTCAGTGAGTGTGTATGTGTCGTCAGTGAGTGTGTATGTGTCGTCAGTGAGTGTGTGTCGGTCAGTGAGTGTGTAAGTCAGTGAGTGTGTAAGTCAGTGAGTGTGTAAGTCAGTGAGTGTGTATGTGTCGGTCAGTGAGTGTGTGTCGGTCAGTGAGTGTGTGTCAGTCAGTGTGTATGTGTCGGTCAGTGGAGTCGTGCATCTTTCAGTGAGTGCTTGCGTCTGTCAGTGAGAGTGTGCATCTGTCAGTGTGTGTCCAAGTAATAGTGCATGTGTGTATGTCATTGTTTGTCAGTGTATATGAGAGTGTGTGTCTGTCAGTGAGTGTGCGTCTGTCAGTGAGTGAGCGTCTGTCAGTCAAAGTGCGGCCTTGACAGGAAGGGGTGGGGGAAATTTAAACTCGGTTACAGGCATGTACACACACACTCAGTTAAAGGCAGTCACACATACAGGCACAGGCACAAACAATGGCACAGCTACAGCGACACACACAGACAGACAGTCACATAGGCAGTCACACACACAGACAGACACACAGTAACACACACATAGACAGTTATACACACACAGACAGTTATACACACACAGGCAGGCAGTCACACAGATAGAAAGTCACACACACAGGCAGGCAGTCACACACAGACAGATAGTTACAGACAGACACACACAGGCAGGCAGTCACATACAGGCAGTCACACACACAGGCAGTCACACACACAGACAGACAGTCACACACACAGACAGTCACACACAGGCAGGCAGTCACACACAGAGACAGTCACACACAGAGACAGACACACACACACACAGAGACAGACAGTCACACACACACACACACACAAGGACAGGCAGTCACACAGACAGTCACACACACACACACAGACAGTCACACGCACACAGGCAGGCAGTCACACAGACAGTCACACACACACACAGACAGTCACACAAACAGGCAAACAGTCACACACACACACTTACCTCTTTCCAGTGGATGCAGTTGGCTGATGGGGAAGCATCTTTCCCTCTTCCTGTACAGCAGGGGCTTCGGGAGGTATTAGCCCCGTCTCCGCCTCTCGATAAGCCCCGCCTCCGCCGCTCGGTAAACCCCGCCCCCTCTGCCGCGATTTTTTTTTTTTTTAAATAGACCCGGGTGGAGAATAATTAATCCTCCAGCCAGGTACCTCTTTTAGCTCCCCTGCACTCCGGCCATGAGTGAGCTGTGTCGGCCACAGGGCGCCCCCTGTTCCATGGCGCCCTGTGCGGTCGCACAGCTCGCACACCCCTAAGGCCGGCCCTGCTTGTGGTCGACCAGTCCAAACCTCATTTGAATGGCGAATTCAAACCACCGAAGGCACGGGAGCACTATTTCAACAAAGTGGGCACTCAGACTCACGCTATTCGGGGATATGACTTTAGTGGGGTTCCTGCACTATTTTGATGTATTTTGGGGGGAATTTTGTATTATATTGTATTGTTTTCTGTAACTGAGAGATAATTGAGTTATCCGATTTTAGGCTCAATTATCTCTCAGACACAGAGACTCCTGTGAAGAAACCCATGTATTTTTCATATGAAGACCCCATGCTGGGGGTCAGTGCATAAAAACTATGTGTGGCCAAATAAAAATCAGTTGACTTCCAGAACTATGTGTCGTCTGGTTGCTGTGGTGAAAGGTCTTTTAATTACTACAGGGCTTCCTACAGCTACGATGAAGAATAGTGGAGATACCTAGCCATAGTAGAGGAGCTCTGCTACATGCGTCACCGGACATAACGTGGGGTAGGGAAATCTGCCAGGTATGGAAATACGACAGAACACTTTCCAGGTTTAAAGATGGCCGCCACCAAGTGCAGATACCATCATTAAATGAATTAGCACGGCAGCTGGCCCGTGTGAGTGGCCCAGGGCATGACAGAGATCTTGCAGGCCCCTCTCTGGCCTGGACCCTCAGGCATTGCCCGAGTGCATAAATGGTCAGTCCGCCACTGACCTATACCCAATTGGTGATTTAGAAGTCATTAAAGGAAATTAAAGGATTAGGAGAATAACTCCAATGATAGTATGTCACACAATGGGTGTTTTGGACATGTTCTTTTTTTATTTTAGGGCAATCAATATACATGGACATGCAGTTTTAACAGTACTTCAACAGGATAGGCACTGTGTTGCTGTGTACAGCAGACAGGGCTGGTGCAAGCATTTTTTATGCCCTAGGCAAAAAAATATTTTGACGCCCCATTCGCTCCACCCACCCATGCAAACTGACGCACATGCAATGACCAATGCAGACTGACACACACTGACCCATATACACACACTGATACATGCAGACACACAAATACAGACACACTGACACATGCAAACTGATGCACACGCTCACCGACCCATACAGACTGACGCACACTGACCCATTTACACACATTGATCCATGCAGACACACACATACAGACACACACTGACCCATGCAGACACACACGTATAGGCACACAGTGACCCATGCAGACACACAATCTGACCCATACAGACACACACACTGACTCATGCAGACACACACTCACCCATACAGGCACACAGTGACCCATACAGACACACAATGACCATCCAGACACACAGTGACCCATACAGACACACAATGACCCAAACAGACAAACACAATGATCCATACAGACACACAATGACCCATACAGACACACACACTGCCCCATACAGACTGACATACACAAAAATACTGACTAAAGCAGACTAACACACATCTTACCTTTTGTTAAGACCTGCAGTGGTTATGGTACTGCGGTCTTCTATTCCTTTCCCAATAGCTGAGCATAAGTGATTATAGCTCCAGCAGGGAGTAGAGGAATAGTGTAGATGAATGCAGTTTCCAAGATGATTCTCCCGAGCAAATAGAATATCCCCCAAACATGAGCCTAGACACGTGAAGGGTGTAACAGGAATGAAGTTTATTTAAAACACACTGGCTTTTATGAGAAATCCTCCTGCAAGAGGCCCTCCCACAGCAAACAAAGACAATAACCAATCACTATACAGATTTACAGTAATAGCCGCCCTCTCTCTGCCTGGGAGATATTGAGATAAGTTAAGGAATAAATCAATTATCTCCAGGCAGAGGGCACACAATTTTCTCAAAAGTTGGAACACTCCTTTCCACACCAGGTATCCCCACAAATTATATACATATCCCCTGATAGCCCCAATCTGGGGGACAAACATATCAAAATTTCACCCAGATTGGTTCAGGGGTTTTTAAAAAGTATGGAAGTCCCATTTTACCGACCACACACGAGGCTCCTGCCCAAAACAGTTCCACGAATTCAGCGTGTGCAGTCGGTCAATTCAGAAAAAGTTAAAAAACGAACAAAGTAATGAATGGATCCTCCTGGCTCATAGGAGCGATTGCTACCCTTGTCCGTATGAACAAAACTACCGAATGGCGTTCTCCTGGCTGTTCGGCAACCGAAGGAAGCAGGCGTTCGGTAGTTTCAGCGGTGGTTCGAGAGGTCCCACTGCCTCCCCTCGGCTAACGAACAGCGGCCGCCCAGAGAGCACTTAATAGACGGTTCCTTTGAAGTTAATGAGCCAGGAGGGTGGTCAGTGTTCGGTAGTTTCAAACTACCAAACCAATAAATTCAATATACATACAATACTTGTAGGAAAAAGCCAGAAAAGAAGAAAATACAGAACAAAAGTCTATTTTCTTCACACCTTTCCTTTCCTTGCCTGCACCTGGTGGCCCATCACTTCCTTTCTCAGCAAAATTTCTGATATGCTCCCCCCACTTCTCCCCACGTACAGGGGAAGGGGCGGGAGCGAGCAATTGAAGCGCCCTTGCGCTGCAGCCTCAATGGATGTCTGGGAGGGAGGCCTGGCTCTGAGTGTTGATGTGGATCACAGGGTTGAGGGGCAGAGAGACTAGGAGTGTGATTTGAACTTATACAGCAGCTGGTGAATTACACCTAAAAATATCCAGAATGGAAACATTGAGGAATAAACAGAAAGGTGGTCTACTTAATAGAAATCCAGTACTTTGAGCAAAGGGACTGAGAGTTTAGTAACGATTGTCCTTTACTGAGTGTAGACTCTTTAATGGTGAGTTCTGTCTGCTTGACAAGTAGAAGTTCAGAATTTCCTTAAAGTAGCAAAGTGAGCAAAGCAGAGTCATTAACTAGAGATTGGTGGATACTGTGCTTGTTTCTGATGTGAATTCGTTAATCACTATTCGTTGGCAGGCTGTAATTGCTTTTGTAGTCTGTTCCCGTTTTGTTAGAATGTATCGAGTATCACATCTTACTTTGGAAACCAGCATTTCGACCTTATATTTCCTCAAATTATAGTTTTCATTACTGAGCTTTTCATCAGCAAATTTCACGTATGTCCTTCTTGCCATTTTCTTTTGATCCAGAAGAAGGTTAGATGGATTTCAAAACTTGTTTTTCTTTGTATTGAATTAGCACTATTTTCTCTAATTTGGATATAGGTGAATGATAATTGCAAGAAGTAAATGTTTCATTAAGATTTCATGATAGGACAAACTTTCACTTTAAATATTTTAGGTAGATACAATTTCACTTTAAATAGCTTGAGAATTTGAGCAGAAAACCTAACAACTTTAAATAGATGAACAGTCACTTTAAACAGCTTGTCAAGTTGAGCAGAAATTTGGAACAATTTGATAAGACGAAAAGTCACGTTAAACTCCTTAAGCAGTTGAGCATTAATTTTTAATATTTTGAATAAATGAACCATCACCTTGAGAGCCTTAATAGAATACACAATCACTTTAGAAGGTTTGGTAAGGTGGAGGGTCACTTTAGTGAATTTAAAGAAGTGAAAAGTAACTTGAAATGAGTTGACAAGATTTAGCCAAAATGCAGACTCTTTCAGCAAAGGTGAACTGAGTGTATCCTGGCAGCTTAAGGCCTATAAATTCCAAGATAAAATACTTCAAATATAAGTCTTTATAATCAATGAATAACTGTATACAAAAGGAATATTCAGAAGATGGTATAAATGTATATTCACTTAATTCCAATTTGGAAGGAGATAATCTGCTTTATTTTACCTTGAAGCAACCTTTAGTGTGATTAAGCAAGATAATATGGCCTGGTGTCTAAGGTCAGGATTGGAGAAGTTTGGCAAAACGATGTCACAGGCAAAGGTTCGGTACACAAGAAAATGAAGTCAGGATCGAGCTCAACCATTGGTCTTGAATCACTGGGAAACAATTGAGTGAGTGATTCAATAGGCTTCATCTAAATACGAGGGCGTCTGACATCAGATGCGGAGGTGGGTGATTGACAAAGCCCGGAAGAGGAGTAAAGGGAATCACCGATGTATTGTGACCTAGAGCAGGATTCAAAATAATGCAAGTAATGGGAGTAAACTCTACTTAAAGGGATACTATAGGCACCATAACAACTTTAACTTAATGAGGCAGTTTTGGTGTGTAGATCATGCCACTGCAGTCTCACTGCTTAATTCGTTACCATTTAGGAGTTATATCACTCTGTTTAAACAGCCCTAGTCCCACCTCCCTGCAGGTAACAGGCACAGCCTTCCTAAACACTTCTTGTAAAGTGAGATCTAATGTTTAAACTTCCTTTATTGCACATTCTGTTTAATTTATAATGTATTATCTCCTGCTCTGTTAATAGCCCTCTAGACCCTGCAGAAGCCCCCTGTGTGTGATTAAAGTTCAGTTTACAGAACAGGAGATAATTTCTAAAGCAAGTTAACATCTGATTGACAATGAAACTATTTTTTCATGTATGCTGTGTGAGTCACAGCCAGGGAGGTGTGGCTAGGGTGACGTAAACAGGAACAAAGAGATTTAACTCTTACATTTTAGTGACTTGAGCAGTGAGACTGCAGGTGCATGATCTATACACCAAGACTGCTAAAGTTGTTTTGATGTCCATAGTGTCCATTAAGCCTTACTTTATTCTAAGCCCACAACAGTATGCAGTAGTGGTTATAGAAACATAGAAACATAGAATGTGACGGCAGATAAGAACCATTCGTCCCATCTAGTCTGCCCAATTTCCTAAATACTTTCATTAGTCCCTGGCCTTATCTTATAGTTAGGATAGCCTTATGCCTATCCCACGCATGCTTAAACTCCTTTACTGTGTTAACCTCTACCACTTCAGCTGGAAGGCTATTCCATGCATCCACTACCCTCTTAGTAAAGTAATACTTCCTGATATTATTTTTAAACCTTTGTCCCTCTAATTTAAGACTATGTCCTCTTGTTGTGGTAGTTTTTCTTCTTTTAAATATAGTCTTAGTGTTGATTCACTTTATGTATTTAAATGTTTCTATCATATCTCTCCTGTCTCGTCTTTCCTCCAAGCTATACATGTTATGGTGCCAAGAGATGAGTATTGAGGAGTTTTCTTCAACTCCTCTACCTGCTATAGTTTCCTTTGTGCCTATCTCCACTCCTCCTGTTTCTACGGTTTCTTCCATATCTGTCTCTTACTACTGCTACTGTTCAGCTTCATTTACCCCTTCCTGCCCTTCCTACCCTGTCCCCTGCTTCTTTCCCACCCCCTTCTCTATTCCCTTCTTCCCTCCCCTTCAGCCGAGGCCTTGCCTCCTTGCCCTCCCATGCCCTTTCTGTATTGGCTGCATCTACTCAGGCAGCCAAGGTCACCCCTGCTCCCCCTCTGCACTGCACCCAGTGTCCCTGCCCACTACTTTACCCCTACCTCTGTGGCAGACCCCAGGCAGATCCAAGCCCTGGGGTCCTTCAGGGCACACTTCCTGCTGCCCCCTCCGCTCCCCCTCTGTCTGTGGCCGCCGGAGTGTTTCCCTCAATTCTGGCGGTACCATGTGGTCCCTCTGCGCGCACCGAAAGTCCAGCTCCGGTCACGCGGTTTTTACCGGCCGACTGCAGAGAGGTCCCCAGGGCTCTTCCAGGCCCAGGAGAGGTAAGTCAGGAGCTCCTGGGGTTACTTTACCTTCACTTGCTCCATTCTCCCCTATGCACCAGACTGTTTGTGTATCCACTACTGTGTCACTGTGTTTGGCTGCTGGAATGGGTAGCCCACACGCAGCAGGGTATAAAATCAGTGCCATGCATGCTCCTCTTGGAGTAGATATGCCAAGCAGCGCTCCCGCCTTCTGATTCTACTTTTCGCCCTGTTAACCCTACATCCACTGCTGATCCTTCTCCTTTTCATGCCTCTTCTTCTGATGATCAGGAGGCTGCGGTGTCCTTTGCCCTTGGGTGCTCCCATCTTATCTTCTGTTTTGCAGGAGGTGCTGAGAAACATTGAAATTCCCTTGCACCGTATCCAGAGGGTCCGCAGGTCAAGTTCCGTTACTACAGAGGGCGGATACAGCTTGCCCCGTTCCTCCAGTGGCTGGATGGTCTCAGGCCAGGTACGTAAAATAATTTGTTGAGTGGCAGCGCTGCTTTCGGGTGCTGGCTTCCTGTTTCTTGGAAAAGCATCCAGCGCAGGCCATTCCTGGCATCAAGTACATGGAGACGATGGATTATATTTATCAACTTTTAGGGAAGTGGCATGGAAGGAGTACGATTCAAAGTTTAGGAGGCGCATGGCGAGTAATCCCTCTCTGTCCTTTGGTGTCCAGGATATGCACCTGTGGTCACACTTGGGGCCAAAGAGGGTCTTGCCTCCTGAGGGTAGCATTTTTTCCCAGTATTCCCATGATTTTCGCTGTGGCAGGCAGAAGGGGCGTGAATGCTGGAAATTCCAAGATAAGCAATGTGACAAGGGAGCTGCTTGCTCCTTTCGTTCATCACGTCTGCAGATTCTGTGGGGGTGGCCATCCTGGAGCTGAGTGCAATCGACCTTCTCAGTCAGTCCTCTGGTCACTCATTCTCCTCTCTCAAAGGCTCCAACCCCGCTGAAGGTGGACGCAATTGAGAGTTGGCTGACTTTTTACTCTCCCCGGCAGCTGAATGGCTTCTGTCTGGTCTTCGGGAGGGTTTAGTGATCCAAGTTTCGGGCTACTCCCTGGTAAGGTTCCTCCAAGGAATCTTCAATCCGGTATTCTCTCCCAGGGACAAACTGGTCAGGGACAAACTAGCTAAGGATAGCTGGCCCCTTTGCTCTCCCACCTATGGAAGACTTGGTTTTTTCACCACTGGGTGCAGTGTCCAAAAAGGAGCCCAGCAAGTTTAGGCTCATTCAACACTTGTCATACCCTGACGGGGCATCAGTTAATGACGCCATTGACCCAGCCCTTAGTTCGGTCCACTACCAGTCATTTGATGATGCTGTGGCGTTGGTTCGACAAGCGGGCCAGATGGGCTTTGTTCTTCCTCTACACCCTTCTTCGTTCCGGTAGATGGGTTTTAAGCTTGATGGGGCTTATTCCGTGGATAAGTGCTTACCGATGGGCTGCTCGATGCTGTGTGCTTTCTTTGAATCCTTCTTTGCAATGGGCCGTGGCCTCTGCTGCAGGTAGCACATCGGTTGTGCACTACTTGGACAATTTCCTCCTTGTGGGTCCTGCCGGCTCGCCTCATTGCTCCTATTTGATGACCATCATGAGGAGTCTCATGGCTGAGTTTGGTGTTCCCCTGGCAGAGGACAAGTCTGAGGGGCCTACACAAGTGCTTTCCTTTTTGTGCATTGAAATAGACACCTCTTTAATGCAGTGCAGGCTACCCCAGCACAAGGTTGATAGGATGCTGCTTTCGCTTCGTACGGCTGTGGCAGCACAGGTTTTGTCCCTGAGGGATTTGCAATCCCTTTTGGGCCTCCTTAACTTTTCCTGCAGGGTTATTTCCATGGGTCGGGTTTTCAATAGGTGTCTGGAGATGACCCTCCGCGGCAGTCCAAGGGGCAAAGTTAAGATCTCCTTGTCTAAGGACATGTTGGAGGATCTTGTTGGGGTGTTTTTTGCAGGACTTCAACAGAGTCCATTTTTGGCAATCGGGTCCTTCCTTCAACCAGTCTCACCATTTGTTTACGGATGCTTCGGGTTCTTGTGGTTATGGGGCTTATTTTCAGAGGTCTTGGAGTGCCACCCACTGGTCGTCTTCATGGTGTGCTAGGGGCCTTACGAGAAACCTTGCTCTTCTGGAACATTTCTCCATACTGGTGGCTGTGGAGTTGTGGTGCTCGCGTTTCTGTGACTGGTCAGTTGTTTTTTGGACTGTCAACCAGCCGGTCGTTCACGCCATCAATTGGTTGTCTGCCTCTTCTCCCCTTGATGTTAGGTTGCTCAGTCTGCTGGCTCTCCGTTTCTAATTCTCCTACTTTTCTCTGGCAGATGATGGACAATGGAAGCTTCTTTTCCCCTTGGTGAGAGCTTCACTGGCTGCTGAAACTTACGTTGTACATCTGCTGCTGGGGCAAATGGGTCAGTTTCTCGATTGGTATCGGGGTTCGTGGTGTGGAGGCCTCCCAGGTGGCAGTTTTGAGTTGGCTGGCTACATTGCGTTCCCGTGGTTTTTCAAGAGCTATGGTGGGGACCAGACTTTCTGCCCTTTCCTTCTTTTTGAGATTTACAGGTAAACCAGACCCTTCTAGGTTTTTCATGGTTAGGCAGGTTCTCAAAGGTTGGAGTAGGTCAGAGTCTCATCCGCCAGACACTCAGGAACCCATATCCCCTGCTCGTCTGATTTCACTACTGCTTTCTTTACCGTAAGTTTGTTCATCTGCGTTTGAGGTCTCTCTTTTTTGGGCAGTGTTTGTCCTGGCTGCGGGATCCAAGCTGCTCATGTCTCCCTTTCCCCTCAGGCAGTTTTGCTGTTCATTCCCCATTCCAAGTCCGACCAAGAGGGGCGAGGTACGTGGGTATCCATGCCTGCCTCGGCGGATAGTGTTCTTTGCCCTGTGCAACTGGTTAGTTCCTTCGCTCACTTGCGTCCCCTGAGCTGCACCCAGTTTCTAGTCCACGCGGAGGGTTTAGCGCTGTCGCGCTTTCAGTTTACTAGAGTTTTGAGCTTAGCAGTGCGTCAAGCGGGGTTGTCAGCCTGCTATATCACTTCCCATTCTTTTAGAATTGGTGCAGCAACTTGTGCAGCTGTGCTGGGCCACCCTCTGGATGTACCTCGTCGCTTGGGCCTGTGGAGGTCGCAGAGGTACAAGCTATATGTTAGACCCCTATCTAGGTTGAGGTGTTACCTGTTTTGTTTTCATTTAATCACTCTGGTTTCCTTTGAGGAGCTGCTCCCCCCACCCGTGTTTGGCTAGTGGGTCACGCCTTCATCCACTGGGTGTCCTTGCACGCACTCTCCTCATCGCTGTGCGAGGCTCTGGGGTCCCCAGCCTCTCTGGTGTGTGTCCACTGGTTGGAACAGCGTGGGCTTTGCCGGAGGCTCGGGCTCAATGGGGGAGTCCGCACATCCTGGTGCTCCATCTTGGTGGCAACGATTTGTGGTCTGTTCCAGTACTATACCTGGCTCGGGTTGTCTGCTCGGATTTCCATTGGATTTCTGCTTGGTTACCTGGTTTGAGTTGGTCTAATGTGTTGCCCAGTCTTCAGTGGCGCAGGTTTTCTTCTCCAGGCGCCGCTTACAGGGCTCAGAAGAAACTTAATAGGCTGGTAGGTCAGGTTGTTGCTGAGCTGCATGGGTTCATCATTAGGCATCCGGACATTTATGCCGACCGGGTTGAGCTTGTTCAGCCTGATGAGGTCCACCTCAGTGCTGCTGGTCTGAACCTTTTTTTGGCTGACTTTAATGAGGCTCTGGTGGCCCTGGTCTAAGCCAGGCTGTTAATATATATATATATATATATATATATATATTATTATGGCTGTTGGTTGCCGGCAAGGGATGGTATCTTTTGTGGCGAGAGGGTGTGGCTTTAGGGCATGGTGCAGAGAGAGACGGCGGGAGTGACGGCGGCTTTTCCCCCTCTTGGGCAGTCGCCCGGCTGGTGCACTCGCCTGCAGTCTGCATTCAAGGTGGCCATACCGAAGATTCTCCCTTGCTGTCCTTATGCCTCTGCTTGGGCGGATGCAACGGGTGCTCCGCTGCAGGATTAGGTTGAGCCGCATCCTCTTGTGGGCTGAGAAGCTTAGCCTTCAGTGCCGCCACCCTAGCTAAATTTGGTTACTATTTCTATTTTACATCCGTTCTGTTTGAATGGTTTTTCTGCCATGATGCCGTGGTGATGTATTCAATAAATGCAGCCAGCAATGGCTTTACCTCCCAACATGGTGTCTGTGTTATTTATTTCAAGGGGAATGTTGGGTTAGGGAGGGTGTTATAGGGTTAGTTATTTGGCTAAAACGAAGGGACATAGGAGATTACCCATTAAGTATACCAAGCTGGCAGTGTGTGTTAATTGAAGCCAGTGGCCCCTAGATGGAGCTCTATTTCAACTATAAAATACACAGAGCATTATAATTCCTCTCTAGGTAGAGAGAACACCCTGTTCAAACTAATGATTAACCAGAGAAACTATAAAGCTAAAAGCTAAACAGGGTGTGTCATTCAAACACAGCACTAAACAAGTCATTTGTTTTGTTTACAGAAAAACTAGCAGACTGCAGGTACAGTAAGCTATGAAATGCCCCTATTCTAGTGCGGGCTCCAATACAGCAACAGGTGAATCCATAAAACAATTCTACACTGAAAAACAGGAAGCGAGGAAAGTTATCCTTTGTGATTATGTTCTTAGTTTATATCAAACATTGAGGAAACGTTTAACCCCTTCACTACTTTGTGATTTGAAAAAAAAATCTCCTTTTTAGAATCAGCATTTTGTGTTCCAAAAAGATATAAGTAGTTATTTTCTCTTCCCATAGTGCTGGATCAGAGAGAATAGCCCTGTGTTTAGCATTACTTGTAGCACTGCCCAAAACTGTCCATCACACCGTGAGCTGCTTAGGGGTAGCAAGGGCATATTTTGTACATTATATTTGTTTGCAATAGATACATTTATTTGCAAGCCTGCCAAATATAGACAAACAGTGTCACAGTATAGATGTACAATGTTTCCTCCAATACAGCCATGATATTTGCAATGAAGGGGTTCATCACTATCTCTCAGTTGATCAATGCTCTCAATGGAGCCAATAAGTCAAGTAATGCTACTGGACTATATATGGAATTTGTTTGCTGTAAAGATCAAAGGATGTAAGATTTTCTTTAAGATTACTTTGCTGATGAATGACAGAGGAGGACTGATGACGAAATCAAACAATGAGTTGGTCACTGCATGACAGTTACTATCGGAGCACTCGGGGTCAAATCATTTGTAAATGGTTTGACTCCTTAAGGTAAGATGGGGCCCAGGACCTCCGGCACCATAACAACTTCATTAAAAGGTTGTTATGATGCCCGGATGTTCCGTTTGCACTTTCTATTGGCCTATATATGTACTTATAGTGGATCTTCGTACAGTATAAAAAATGCAGAAGAATAGAAGGGTACAGTAGCATTGATGGAGAAGGTATGTGTTCCTGTTGGAGAATGAGATGAGAGAGATTATATAAATATAAAAGTATCAAATAAATTATTTACTATAGTGCAAATTGTCAGGAATTCAAAGTTGATTTTAAATTTCAGAACAAAATAGACATCCTGGATGCATATCTGGCTTGGTGAATGTTTCTAGATCAGCAATTTTTGCCTTAAGGTGGATGCTCACTTTGAATTCTTGACAAATCCCATTCTAATAAAAAAAAGCCTGTCTATTTTAAAATACTTTCAGCGTTTTCTCTAAAGTGTGAATTCCAAGCGAATTTCAAATTATCGGCCAAGATAGAAAACTGGAATTATAACTTACATTTTCTACTTTGGCTATTTTTACCTAAAATTTGAAATTTAATTGGAATTCACTTTGCATTTCAACTAATACACGTTTTGGTGAATAAGCCCGTTACAATGTCCTAATAAAGCTCTGTAGCTGGCATTACTAAATGCCCACCAATAGAAACACGTTTACACTGTCATTGGCAGTCAAACAAAACACAGCATAAAGTCTAGGAAGTAATCAATGCAGGCAAAGGTTGAACAAGCACGCCCTGTTCATATTCCGCACAGTGTTGTTTTGACACACAGTCGTATCTATATTATGCATATAAACTTTAACTCAGACATTCTTGCAGTTGAGTACACGGCATGTAACCAGGAAAAAGAACACATTTATTTCATGTTGGCTGGAATAGACCATGGCACTGCATCATCGACTCAGCCCGTGGCAAAGAATCTTACTGGGGATACTTTGTTTCCCAGCTCTCCCTATCTACCTGTGTGTCTACTACCTGTGTGAGTACTGATTGCATCATTATTCATGTCAGTCTGTAATTATATGTACATGTTCTGCAGGTAGAAACATATCGGTGTGTGTTACGCTAAAAAGCTTAACAAAGCTTGTTGTTGTATTTTAGAGCAATTTATGTACATTAACTCTGGTACTAAGAAATCTTTTAGTGGCTGTGTCTGTATTCTCCCTAGGATGGGACTGGTGTGTCAATGTTACAGTTCATTTTTTACAGCACACCTGTATAACCCTAAAGATGGACTTCTCTTGATGTAAGACCATTATAATAATTACGAAACTGCCCGTGCCAATGCAGGAAATGTAGACATTCTATTTACCAAGCAAGTTATTATAGTTTATGGGGATTTTAAAAAGCATTAGGAAATTATTATTTTTTTTTTTTTACTCTGTTGCAGTGAAATGAGAAATATGTCTTTGCTATCATAAAAAATGTAATGCTTAAAAAAAAATGCAATTTATTATACAAAGAGAACCCAAAGTCAGAGCAACGCTGCAATTCTCCGTACGGCTTGATACCAATCAATGTCATCAGATATTTCATTCTTAAACTTCTTGCTGCTAATACTCATGTCAGTAATATGCCTTGAAAAGCTTCAATATTTTCAGAGGTTTATGTTATAGAATTTATCATTATAGTATTATGTACACTATAAACATGAATGCCACTTTCCTCAGCACTTTGTATAAAATGATATACATTGTAGATTAAAGGAACACAGTGGCATTAGTAATACAATCATGCATTCCTGCCTCTATAATGTTCTACTTCCTATTTAGATTCAGGCCCCCCCTAAGTTTCATATACACAAGCTGTTACTTACCTTTCTTATAGAGCCAAGACTCCCTCCTTGCGGCATCCTGCTCCGCCTCCTGTGACATCTTCCTGGGAACTGTCTCCTCTTTGTCTTCCTCTTCGAAAACATTGCCATATCTACAACAAAAATAATGTTTTACAACAGGTCCACTGTCCCTAGACCACTTTATTGAGATGAAGTGGTCTGGGTGCCTGTAGTGATCCTTTAAATGAACACTCTAAGCACCAAAATTACTACATTTAATGTACCGATTTTGGGGCATTTTCTCTGGCAATGTAAACGTAGCTATTTCAGAGAAACAGCAATGCTTACATTTGTCAGAGAACATACCTGTGGCTGTAAGACTGAGCCAATAGAGGCACTTCATTATTAAAACCTTCAAAACTCGAAGTCCTTACATTCATTATTACCACTCCTAGCATGATGACACCGGATACTGTTAATGCTTTGCATAGAAAAACATTAGATTTACTGCTTCTCTAAGAGAATCATTGCATATGAAATACATTAAATTGAGATCATCACAACTAATCATATAAGAGCGGCTGCTGAGAGGAGATAGTCCCATTCTTTTGTAAGTTACGTTAAAGGGTTACGCTAACCCTTTATAAAAACTTGTTTCATTTAATTTAGAATATCCAGTAGGGAATTAGTCATTATGTCACCCCTCCATTAAAAACCTGTAAAATTAAGTAAACCAACTGGAATCCAGCACCGGGCAGAGCAACCCACGCTGGATTCCACACCCCATTTTGACCTCATCGGTACCCTGTAGTGGTCCAGTAAAATGCTAACCATAGAGAACCATTTGATTGGACCACTCTCCTGGCTCAGGGTGCATGCACACTCTCTGAGCTGGTGAGAGAGGTTGGAGGGATGGAATACGAACTTAAAAAAATACCAATAAAGGTGAGGAGGCAGATGGGTTGGGAGGGAACAAGGGAGGGGGGAGTTTGGCTTGCCCTTGCATTTGCTCTGCCAGCAAGGAAGACCTTGATTACGTATGTCACAGCATGCTGTGCACATACAGATTCTTACCACCATAACCAATAAAAGCGGAACTAGTCATGGCGGTCGAAGTAACCCTATAAGCAAGTTGTGTGGCTTTCGTTTTGTATTTTTCTATTTTCAAAAGGGAAACGGAGCATAACCTAAAAAAAATAAATACAAATAAAAGAACTCTCTAAAGTTAAAAATAAATATATTTATATTTAACATTAGAATGTTCGCTTACAATCTTACAGGCAGTAACTTATTCATTCATTTTGTACAGGTATTTATCCAATAATCTATCAAAGTGTCAGTAATTATTTAACGCTACGGTGCTGTAAGAGAAGCTGGTGCTTTGTGATTAATAATATGTTATGTACGGTATCCTGTCTCTGCCTGGCTTTTAGCTAATATCAACGATACCCTAATTAACAGACAGGAGCACAAATCCAATATAGAACATCTAATTAAGATAGCTTTTATCACTTTTCATCTGAATAAAGGTAACACACTGTTTCAAGCAAACTCTATATCTGTCTGCCACTAAAACAAAAACAGAGAAATAAAAAGAAAATTAAAAGATATAAAATAAAAACATTCGTATTACTACTTAAAAGTGTTGTCTTCTGTCATAAGTTAGCGTCTTCTCACCTGAACTGTAAAGGCAATTGCCAGTTTTTAACATTAATTATAAATGATTTGTAACTTGCCATTGGGGAAATTACACGTAGTGCGCTAGTGCAAAGAAACGATCATAAAATGTGTGATCTTAATTAACTTTAAACAGCCTTAATCCCCAGCACTTATACATAAATGATGATTCACGTTAAATTCTCTTCTGACTGGTGGTTCTTGGAATGCAGGTATCTTCGCTATGTGTTTAATATTCTTATCTTCCACGCCCTCCTCAATAAATCTCTCAGCTTCTCTATTTTTTTTATTGCTACTGTTATAAAGTTTGCTTGTAAAATAATGGTATTTAATACACAATTCTAAACGCTGGAAATTCACAAAACAAGGGCATAAACTAAAGTCATTAAAAACGAGAAAGCTTGCCCATTTTTTTACTGATTAACGGAAATGGGTTATGGCTGCCTTGTTATTTCGGTGTACTGTGTGAAGATGTATAAATATCTTCATTTATCTCCATATATATCTGGATTGTGCTGCTTTTAAAGCAAACGTCCTTATCATAACCTTTTAATTCCTGATTGCCAAGCCGACAAGACAGCTTCCTACCTATGTGGTAACTGGTTCTGAAGTTTTTTTTTGTTTTTTTTTGCTATTTTTGCTGCTCCTTCTTATAAACTCTCACAAATCTTGGCTCAACTTGAAGATTTTTTCTGGATCCATGGTTCCACCTCCCTGGTCTAATTGCTGTATACACCCACTGGAACACAAGTACGAACAGCAAGAAGAAAATACTAGTGTTGCTAGCGGGAGGGCAAGATGTTCCATGCCTCTTTCCATCTTAGCCAAGCTAGATATGACCAACGAAACATTTAAATGAACAGATTGCCGCAACTACGATCTCATGGAATATATTTTCCAGGTATAAGATGGAGATAAAATGTAACATACACATACTTGATGCTAGACTTAGTAAAACCTCAATTAAAAAACCGATCCCCAAATGATCCCTAATGTCTGCACACTCAGACATTAGTAGTACATTCCACTGCACATACCAATCTTCTTATAAAAGGTATATTTATTTGCAAAACATATAAAACATGGAAATACCAGCAAAAAAGTTGCCTAAAAGAGTCCTCACATGCAGTCCTTCAGAAAGGCCTGTGCCAGGTGTGAAACACATTCAGGACATTCCGGTCCTTACTTGGGTCACTTCTATGTAAATTCTATCCCCTTCTCACAGATGCCGTACTTTTATCATTTTCTCATAGCTTCTGTTATACCTTTGAAATATGTTTTTCCCAGTGGGGTTTACTGCATGTTGTGATAGGCTAGCATAACAGATCATGTTTGTTATCAACCTTCACATAGCATATGATATTGGACTGGCGCATATGAGGACTGTTCTGGGAAATTTCTTTTGCTTGTATTTTCATGTTTTATATATTTTTGCAAATAAATGTATCTTTTCTAAGGAGATCGGTGTCCAGTGGAATGTACTAGTAAGGTCTGAGTGTGTGGACATTAGGGAAATGGTCAGCCTACATCATATCTATTCTGAGGGCTGTATCCTCCGATGAGTCTTTAACTGTCCTTTCTCATTGACGCTTGACCACGCATGTTCCTCATCATGGTAATTCTCTTGCTGCTTTATTGAATATTCCAATAGGAGGAGCATGTAATGTTGACTCCATTTTATACCATATTTATGAGTAGAGACACTGCAGGGCCTCACAAGAAGTAGAGGTTGCAGTATCAGATCCCTGCAGTTTAGCAATATAAGATCCATCATACTTAAATATTTGCCAGTTCTTGATTCACAATTTAAATATGTGTCTGAAAAATAGTGGAGATTGGCCGCCAAAAAATGACCATTCTCACAACATAGTTTGTTGAGGTCAGGTTAATCAAGGTCCAGCCCACCAAATATTCTTACCTGGTTGTTAAATATGTTGCAGTGAGGAAATTATTTTCTTTTGCTGTTTCACAAAAACATATACAATGCAGGAATACATTAATCCACACATCTCTGCAAAATTCCATTTGATTCTATTTGAGAGCCACATTTCTTGTAGTTGGCCACCAGGTTTGCACACATCTCAGTGGAGATTTTGTCCCACTCCTCTTTGCAGATTCTCTCCAAGTCATTAAGGTTTCGAGGCTGACGTTTGGCAACTCGAACCTTCTGCTCCCTCCACAGATTTTCTATGGGATTAAGGTCTGGAGACTGGCTAGGCCACTCCAGGACCTTAATGAATGCTTCTTGTGTTTTGGTTCATTATCATGCTGGAGTACCCACCCACGACCCATTTTCAATGCCCTGGCTGAGGGAAGGAGGTTCTCACCCAAGATTTGACGGTACACTGGACTGTCCATTGTCCCTTTGATGTGGTGCAGTTGTCCTGTCCCCTTAGCAGAAAAACACCCCCAAAGCATAATGTTTCCACCTCCTTGTTTGACGGTGGGGATGGTGTTCTTGAGGTCATAGGCAGCATTCCTTCTCCTCCAAACATGGCGCGTTGAGTTCATGCCAAAGAGCTCGATTATGGCCTCATCTGACCACAACACTTTTACCCAGTTCTCCTCTGAATCATTCAGATGTTCATTGGGAAACTTCAGATGGGCCTGTACATGTGCTTTCTTGAGCAGGGGGACCTTGCGGGCGCTGCAGGATTTCAGTCCTTCACGGTGTAGTGTGTTACCAATTGTTTTCTTGGTAACTATGGTCTCAGCTGCCTTGAGATCATTAACAAGATCCTCCTGTGTAGTTCTGGGCTGATTCTTCACCGTCCTCATGATCATTGAAACTCCATGAGGTGAGATCTTGCATTGAGCAACAGACCGAGGGAGACTGACAGTTTTTTTGTGTTTCTTTTTCCATTTGCGAATAATCGCACCAACTGTTGTCACCTTCTCACCAAGCTGCTTGGCAATGGTCTTGTTGCCCATTCCAGCCTTGTGTAGGTCTACAATCCTGTCCCTGACATTCTTGGACAGCTCTTTGGTCTTAACCACGAAGGAGAGTTTGGAATTTGATTGATTGCTTCTGTGGACAGGTGTCTTTTATACAGGTAACGAGCTGAGATTAGGAGCACTCCCTTCAAGAGAGTGCTCCTAATCTCAGCTCGTTACCTGTATAAAAGATTACTGGGAGCCAGAAATCTTACTGATTGATAGGGGATCAAATACTTACTTCACTCATTGACTTACAAATCAATTTATAACTTTTTTGACATGCATTTTTCTGGAATTATTTTTGTTATTCTGTTTCTCACTGTTAAAATACACCTACCATAAAAATTATATACTGATCATTTCTTTGTCAGTGGGCAAACGTTTAAAATCAGCAGGGGGATCAAATACTTTTTTTCCTCACTGTACATGCAGAGAGGAAAATGAAGAAGACAAGTTGCAAAACATATTTAAGAATGTAACAATGAAAACATTGTTTTCTTTACATTTCAGGGGATTTAGTAAATTTTTCCGCTACCAAGAGTCTGAGATATTTTGCCTAAACTAACTGCCTGGAGGGTTTTTTCAGATGTTTGTGGATTTTTTTTCTTATCACATTTGTTTGCACCTATGTGATCTGACTGCTGCATGTATTAATGTTTTCTAATAAATCATCACTTTTCATGGAATCTCCTCGTGACATTTTATTGGATACCATATAAGTACAGTTTTTGTGTATTTTTGGCACCATGGGAGTTGTACATGACATCTCTTGTTCCACATCTAGTGCTTGCCTTGCCTTGCCTCAGTTCTTGGTGCTGAGATGTCTTCAGTGTAATATTTTGCTACATTCTAAGCACATTACAAGGAGTGGCTAATGTAATTCGCACTCCTTATATTGTTCGCAGTGGGCTGGCTATCACTGGACTAGTGTTTCTATGGAACATATGGAGTGTTATTACCTGGACCTGTTGATCCCACTGTGGGACCCCAAGATATCCTTTCATTTGGTGCTTCAACTCACGCGCATGAGGTATTTCTTTTTGTTCAGCTAGAGGTGATTACAAAACTGATACCATGAAGTTATGTCTACATTCTGGCTTGTCTGGTTTGGTGGCCTAGCACAGTTCAGCAGATTTTATTTTCTGTTTTTATCCATGGGGGGTGGGGGTTTGTAACTGGCAAGATCTTTCCCAGCAGGCTCCCAGAAGACAGGCATTCCTTGTCTTTGGAAATGATGTATAGTCTCAGTCAGCATTTTAAGTTTCTGATTTAGTTTGCAAAACAGATTGTTTGCGCCTATGATAACACAAATCCAAGATGGGTCAATTGAGATGAGTGGGAAGTAGTGATGTCCCGAACTGTTCGCCGTGAACTCCAGTCAGCAGACACATTCCAGCCAATCAGCAGCAGACCCTCCCTCCCAGACCCTCCCACCTCCTGGACAGCATCCATTTTGAAGCTGCATTCTTAGTGAGCTGTCCAGGAGGTGGGAGGGTCTGGGAGGGAGGGTCTGCTGCTGATTGGCTGGAATGTGTCTGCTGACTGGAGTCTGTGGCGAACCGTTCATGGCGAACCGTTCGGCGAACAGTTCGGGACATCACTAGTGGGAAGGTTTAAAAACAAAAAATGGTTACAGTAACCTTCCTGAGTGGTCTCAGTAACTCCCTACCTCTTCCTGACTGTTAGAATGCAACAATGACATTTCATTAACTCAAGCTTCCTTTACCGTGTGGGAGTGGGTCATGTTCCCACTAATGAACTGCTGTCTTCTTTCTGTACCAGTATTAGGGTCTCCCTGTCCCTGTTTTCATCACCTAAGATCCCTTTTGTGGTACACTTGGTATCCGTTGTGTATTATTATTTTCTACTGCTCACTCTCTGACCTGTTTTACTTATCTGCACGCCTTCACCTACCCATCTGTCAAATTTAAGCACATTTTAAATTAGGATCGAAAAAAAAAAAATTAGCACAAAAGTTACTGACGTGTATATTGTACCTCAACCATAGATATATTTGTTATACTTAAAGAGAAAATAGTCACAGCGCACACAGGTTCAATCTAAATCAATTTTTTTTGTGTGTTTAGCAAATCTTATCTTATGCAAATACAATGATCAACTTTTTGCTCACTGTTTGACAACCAGGAAATATAGATAGAAAAAAAAATGAGGGGATTTCTACAGGAACACACTAAAGAGTCCATTTAAGTTCATTATATTTTTAGGGATTTAAAGGGACCGGGTCTCAAACCCCATAAAATAACCTTTAAGCTAGCTCTCAGCAAAAATATCCTTTATGAAGGTAATGTAAAATATACATTTGATTTCTTGTAAACATCTAAATGTTTTGTGAGTTGGTTGAGTTCTTCCATCGTTTTAAATTAATATTTTGGGAGCCAGTGAAGTAGGTACCAAATGCATTCACCTGTACTTCCTGTTCAGGCTAGCCTTAAATGATCAATTCACTTTGAGTTCACGTTATTAAATAACCTGTAAATATCCAATGCGGTTAAAAATATCCAAACACTATTTCAAATTACATCAGCTTTGAAATGTTTAATATAGCTACAAATCAGTTCAAATGGAAAGATTTCAGGCCCATGTATAAACAAATCCATTGCCTTGAGAACTGGTTTTGACCAGCAACACAAGACAGGTGATCACGCTGTTCCTCCATTGCTAATAAAACGATTATCTGAGATTCCAAACACACATGTGATCATAAGAAGGGTTTACTAACACTAACCAAAAAAACTGTATATCACCATAGTGTCAGTAAGTGTAGTGAAGTATTAAGTATAAATAATACTTAGCTCAGAGTCAGAGTCGCTACCCAAAGGACGACCTTTTACAATATATAGAAAACCAAAACAAACATGCGGGATACGGCTGAACAAATCTAAAAAAGGAACATAAACAAAATATAGTGTAATACAGTAAGCATAGACAATTATGTGCCACACATAAGTGCACTCTCAATATTGCATTGAATAAAGCGCTCACAAGGTGCCTCCCCCGAGGTCGTGGGGTGCTATTGGTCCCACTCTCCACTTCAAGGTAATCGATGTTACACAGGACTCCAGTAGCTAAGGGTAGAAAAATCAGCAAATTTATTGTATTAAAAGGTGAACAATCACCATAAGCATAGGATAAAAAATAGAACGCGTTTCGTTCCAGAAGGAACTTCCTCAGGGACCACAATAACATTAAAATCAATCACAGTATTAAACTGTATAAAGAACAATATCCTAAGACCCCCCATCTAAAAGTCCTTTTAAATAGGGTTAATCTGTGTGTCCATTGGTGGATCCGTGGGCGTTTCCATCCCTCCGCAACCTTATTGGTGTGGGTACACAGCCTCCTCAGATGTTCCCAATCTCAGCATCTGCATCTCAATCAAAATTGGCGCGTCCATGTAAAAATGGAACCGGAAGTCAGTGTAGTTCAACAGTTCCGCGTTCCAAGTGCGTTCCATCCTGGTAACAATGAGCTATGAGGGTATATTGCCCTCTTCTACAAGCATTAATGGGCGGAATGTGTAGTGATATTTTATATCTACTAAAGAAAAGAGTATTAGTACCACAAGCAATATGATAACCATTTACTCTGTATTAGAGTATATGGTTATCAGAGGGTGGAATTCATAACACATGATACACTTTATATCATATTTAAATCCACATAATTAAGTGAGATAATTACCAATAGTCTTAAAGTGACACGTGCTAAAAAACAATAACAAAGAAAAATAAATTAATTAAATTGTCTAATCACATAATGTTCCTAAATAAAAGATCCTCCATAATCATTGGAGTAGCACACATACCTATGTCTAGAAAAAAGCTATTCATATACACAATGAAAAATTATACACCTTCTGAATGTGGAAGTAGCTTAATTTTTCATTATTGTGTATATGAATAGCTTTTTTCTAGACATAGGTATGTGTGCTACTCCATGCCGAACTTACCATTCTTTAATCGATTCTTCTTCTCTCCCTCTGTCAGGATCTGTTCTTTATTTCTTCCTGTCTGCTCTTGTTTTCTTTAAAACAGAAGACAAAGTAGGACTATTTGTCTTATGGAGGTTTCCTACGCTTGACCAGCTTTGACCAGCTTCGACCAGTGGAGGAACAAAGTGTGCTCCAATTCCTGTGATCAAAGCAATTTCCCCACAATTCTTACCTTTCCTCCATGATCTCGCGATGCTTCCTGTCAGTATACCCGAACGTCCTGTCATTTAGACAGAACACCGGCGAAACTACCGAATTTCGTCTTAACAGAATGAGAACAGTTTCTCCATTCGTGTTAGGATGCAATTCGGGACTTTGTTCAGATCGGAATTTCATTCGAATGAATGAAACTCCGATCCTATTCCTGCCGCGGCTGCATCTTGACGCCACTTAGTAGATAACTTCCTAATTTCTGCGGTATTAGTGAGCTATCTACCAAAAGGCTGAAAGACCTAAATTGGTCTTTCAGCCATTTGGTAGATAGCTCACTAATACCGTAGAAATTAGTATTAGTAAATTCTGCCCCTACTCGCTATGCCGTGAGTAGGGGCATGTCTACTAAACAGTAAACAGCCAGTGGCTGTTCACTGTTAAAAAAACAAAACAAAAACCCTAGTATCAAACCTCCCGAGCCCCCACCCATGTCACGCGAGTGTCCCATGAACGGCGGGTGGGGGCCCTAAATGAAAATGGGGGGGAACCTATTGTCCTCCCCCCCAGCTCCCACCCCTGAGTGGTGGGGGGCCTTAAATTACAATGGGGGGACCTATTGTCCTCACCCCCATCACCATCCATGAGTGGTAGGTGGGGGCCCTAAATTATAATAAGGGGGGGATCTATGGTCCTCCCCCCAGCTCCCACCCCTGAGTGGTGGGTGGGGGCCTTAGATTACAATAGGGGGGAACTATTGTCCTCCCCCCGGTCCCCACCCATGAGCTGCGGGTGGAGGCCCTAAATGAAAATGGGAGGGACCTATTGTCCTCCCCCTGCCCCCACCCATGGGCCCCCACCCATGGGCAACGGGTGGGGGCTAAGTGTAAATGCCCCCCCCCACGTGACTAGGGGTCCCCAAGCCCCTAGTTACTCCCCCGCACACACAAACAATTTTAGGTTTAACAATAATGGGCAAGCATCCCTAGATTGATATGTAGGGTTAGAAGACATAGGAAATAAGTGTTTTGTACTGCAAATGTATGAATGTACAGTCCAGTATTTGTATGTACACAAATAGAGATACAATGATAGCCCTGATCGAATCAGATTACAATCTAAAGGAAGTGCATCAGCTTGTATGTGTAAGAGTGATGTATAATTTGTATACAAATAGTGAAATAAACAAAACAGATTGCAAAAAAGCACTATTTTAATTAAAGAACCATTTTAACTTAATATGTACATTTTAAAATGTAATAAAAAGTATCCAGCACAGTCTTGGTCTCATTCAGGCAGCTGCACTACCAACTGTGAGATGATTTCTGGTCCAATCCAAACCTTCCCAAAGAAAAGCATGATGGACCAATTCCATTTTAAAAATCCAGTGGAACTTTGGGATATACATACCCACTGGAATATTTAGGCTGTATATGACTTATTTGTCAATGTACCTGAGAGCTCTAGGGTGTAGTGCAAAATATGGAAGAAGACAGCAGTTCATAAGCGGGAACATGACCCACTCCCACGCAGTAAAGGAAGGAAAGACACCAGAAGGTGACAACAGCCTCTTTAACTCTTTTTTTTGCAAAGAAATGTGACATTCATTAGCCTTCATATCGTACAGAGGGAAAATAAAGCATTATAACTTGAGATCTATGTCTGTCTTATATACAAATCTGTCAATCCCAAACTGCTTTGGTGCCTGTCAATGTCTGGGAGAAGGTCTGCCCAGCAGATTTGAAAGCATTGTGTGCACAGCCTCAGCTTAGAAGCAACAATTCACCATCTCTCATGGTGGCTTGAGGGAGCTACTCACAGAGTCCTTGTCATCCACAGGGTTCCTAGTTGCCTCAACCTTGGTTTTCACGCCTTGGTGTTTACTTTCTACCGTCGGTAGTTTTTGCAACCCCAGGTGCCTTTATGGCATTCTGAGTGAATGCAGTGTAATGGATTTCTGCAGCATTAACACTGTATGTAGCACAAGTGTGTAGCAGTCACCCTTTATTAAGTCTGATTTTCTATCTCAAACCTGAAAGTGCAGTCTCCATAATCAGATTGCACCTATAAACATCCATAGTGCACACAGTCCAGTACTCATTTATTATGTAGCCCTGGCTGAAGACACCTGATGTTTCTCTGATCGTTCTTCACCTCCCTCCCAGCACTACTGTTCCCATATCATGTCCTGTCCCCATCACTCCTGAATTTTCTAACTTCTCGGATTGGGACGTGTTCATTTGACTACAATACCCTGCTGCATGCATTGACCTTTGCATCGTGTGACTATACCTCTGCTTTCCGTTTTCTCTGATTTGACATTTGGACTCTCTATATGGGATTTTAGGTCCCCATGCCACCACTGACTTTCTAGGAGCCTATAGCCAAAACCAAGTGTTCCTAGTGATTGTGTTTATTAGGGTGTCCTACAAATGACAGCTATATTTTAAAATCCAAGGATACTTTATTCATCCCATTGGGCACTTCAAAAAGGACTGTAACCAAAATTATTTGGCATTCAACATCAAAATGCCACACATACGCACATACAAGCCTTATCTACATGTTTCATAATACAACTTTACTTTATTTAGGGTGTGCTGCCCAACTGCAATAAGGGAGCCAGTTCCAACAGGCCTTCCTGGGCCACAAAACAGTCTCTACAGACAGTGGAGGAGAATATGACATAAAAAAATGGAGAAGACAAACATAGAATAGAATCCTTGATCTCTTTGGCTTGGTGCCGTTGTACTCTAATAGTACTTTCTCAGGATTCACACAACATGCAATAAGAAAGTGTTTTAGAAGGGGGATGGTTGGATAGAGGTTTCAGGGTTACAAAAAGATCATTTATTTATTTATTGCAAAAATTATACCTAATTGTGCATGTGAAAAATCCAGCAAATTATATAAGCCAAGAACTAAAAAATGCATATCATTTGTTTTATTGCCCGGTGTGTCCCTTTAAATATATGATTATTATTTACTATAAATTCATTTAAAGAGCATAAAAAAATATCAGACAGGAGGAACATATAATAAAATGGCAGATTGATTGGAGAGAGAAGAAAGCAGAGGAGAGTGATTATTAAATAGAACATAAGTGAGGAGGGATGTGGTGCAGGGAATGTATAGAGCGGACCAAGTGCTCTATAATTTTAGAAAGCAAATGGTACCTGGTGTGTACGTCTACAAAAAAGCTACGACAATAGGTATCTACATATGACTCCAAAGTAACTGCTAAACCTAGAAATAACTCCTCCCAGTATAGACAGGTACCTCCTTACCTGCCTACAATTATTAACATATTTTCTTTGTTTTTTTTGTTGTTGTTTTTTTTTGTTTGGTTTACACACTACAGTGTTTATTTTGTGACAAAAAAAACTCTTCATATAAATACTTGGAGAAAGAAAAATATATTTTATAAAAAACTTTGTTTTAGAGTGAGATGCAACTCCCACACATGCTAATTATCTATGACTTAGCTCTGGAAAAAATATTCACAATGAGATCAGTGTTTTGTTTGATGTGTGTTTATAGTTGTGTGTGTACGCATTGTTGCTTTCGTAAATTTTTACTACTTCTGCTTTTTTTTTTTTATACAAAGCACAAGAAGGTCTAAGGGTGGCCTTGATCTCAATAACAATCTTAATTGAGAAGTGCAGCAAAGTTAAATACAGAGTAACATGCACTCGTCAGTAATACAGACAGAACAACATGTTTTACAGGCAATAAATCCTTGTCTGTAATCAGCTGGAGTCTGCGATCCAGTATGTCAACTATGAAAGCACATAAAGTCACAAGTATTACGTCAAAAGCATTGAAAATTCAAGATCTGAAAAAACAATAATTGTCGAACATTATAAAACCATATACAGCTTGGAGAGAATAAATCTTTGTGAAGTATATGAAATTGGGCATTTATGACCACTGTATTTCTACTACACAAAAGGTATGGTGAGAATTACAGGGGTATTCACTAACGTGAGAATTCATGTTATTCAAGTAATTTTCTAATTTAAGGCCATAGTAGCTAACTGCCACTGGCAACCCCCCTTGCAAAATGAGTATTTCATAGAAACTACATTGTCTCAGTATTTTTCTGATGCCTGACTCTTCTAGACATTGGACGGAGCTACGTCCTTCTAAAAGTGTAAATCTCCCTGCTGTCACTAGTGACGGCTGCAGAGGTATTAGCTGTATTTATGCAAGATCTGACGGTCTTGCGGGATTACCCATAGACTTCAACGCTGTACTCTCGCATATGCATGTGCGAGAGTACATCAGTGATGTTGACCAGAAAAAATCTGAGAGGGATAGGTTCAGATAAGTAAATCTTATCTTTCCCCCCCTCACCCCCAGGCCACCAGACCACCTTTGGGGGCCACCGGACCACCTTTGGGGGCCACCGTCTATCGGAGCTCTTTGCAAATTCTGACTTAGAAAATTCTTCCAGTTTGGCTACTTTGACCTTAAATATCAAATTCACTTTAAATTCTCACTTGAGTAAATAACCATGGAAGACATACAAAGTGAATTCAAAGATAATTTTAAGGCCAAAGAAGCAGAACCTAAAGTCTAACTGACTTGGAGAATATATCCAGTCTGGCTATTTTGATTTTTTAATTCACTCTGAATTCTCACTTAAATGAATAACCATATCAGCTTCTGGTGAGTATTCAATATCTTAGCTTTTGGGAGTAACTCCACCTGTATTTAGTGCAATGGACACTTTGAGACCTCAATTAAATAAGGTATTCAAATTATTCAATACTGTTGGGAAAATGTTTCAAATGGTTCAGCTACAGAAGTCGCCATTAAAGCCCATGGGAATTTTGGTAGATAAATCATTTGGAGATTTTTTTTTCAGCATTGACTCATTTGGAAAGCTTATTATATCAACCTGCCATTGTTATCACCAAACAGCAGCCGGTCTTGGGAGATTCTGAATAAATATCAACTTGTATCTTTCAAAAATTTATTCAGGCTGGCCTGTAACTATTTATGTATTTTATTCCGGATTTCAGTAAATCATCTGCACAGTTTAAACATTTAGCACAAAGTTAGAAGAGGTTTGCCTTCGTCTGGAGGTCCCAGTGACTAAATTATTTTGTAGAAACTGATTATTTAAACATGTTAAGGTTTAATTTCCCATCCTATCCCCATTGTAATTATTATTGTCTACTCCACTAAAGTAGAGTAAACAACTGTGCGATTTGCCGATTTTTGTGCAATTTATTATTTATTTCATGTAGGACATATGTACATACAGACATCCTGCTTCATAATTCTATGGATATTTGGGGTGGCAACATTTAACTGGTTTCCATTCTAACTCCTTCTCTTTGAGTAATTTGCTATTTTTGTTTTTTTTTAATGTCTGCAGGCCTCAAAAAACGTGCTGAGGAAAGTGGTCTCGAGGAAGGTTTTCAAAGTACCAGTAAGTAATCTATTATTAATATTATAGCACCTATTTATGGTATAGGGCTTTACAATTTCCAGTTGCGGCTGCACCTCTAGACCACAAGGTATGCGGGAGGTACAGTCTAGGACTGAAGTGATTGCGACTGGGGTACTATTTGGCTTTGATTGATATAACTGGACTTGGGGCTATGTAGGCACTTTAGACCAGTCTAATGTGATTGGGGCTTGTGATGATGGATAGTACACAAGCTTGACAAAGTTTTGAGCCACATTCATGTTTAAATGATTAGTAAAGGATATTTCTTGTATCATTGGGATTCTTGGGACATCATGATTTGCTTTTCTACCAAGTGAAAATGAGTTTACATAATCATCTATCTTAAAAAGGCTGATCATTTACTCAAAGAGCTTGCATTATTGGCTTACCGAAGCAACAGATCATTAGAGAAAAACAATGAACCTACATGGGCTGCCAACGATTCTGCGTGGATCAGGTGGCACTTCAACAGGATTGAACTAGTTACTATATGGTGATCCATAATGTACAATGGGTGGACTAACAGTAAGTTTTTGCAACAAGACAAATTGGACGTACAATAACAGAGGGTGGAGAGAGTGAGGTAAAATGACACGAGAGGTAAGGGTAGCGTGTATTTCATGTACAGGAAAAAGGAGGTTACTAAAATAGTTTACAATGAAGGCTTAGATTTGTGTGGATGATACATTTGTAGGAGAGGAAGCAAGGGAAAGCAATTAAAAGTTTCATTGATATAATTTCCTAAAGAAGTGAGTTTTTAATGATTTTTTTGGAGGAATGGAGATTGGATTAAAGTCTAACGGAGCAGGGAGGGGAGTTTAGGAACTGTGCAGTAGTAGAGAACTCTTAAAGGTGAGCATCAGAGGTTAGTGTATAAACAGAGGATAGATTCAGGTCTACGGCAGAGCGTAATGAGCCTCAACGGGACATACTTGTGTATTAGGGAGGATAGGTAGGAAGGAACATTATTAGTATTGTAAATTGAGCCCTATATCTTATGAGAAGATAGTGTAAGGATTGACAGAGAGGGAGCTGTTAGGGGTGGGAGCGGCAGGAAGACAAGTCTCGCTGCCGCATTCATTATAAACTGTAATGCATAATCATTTTATAAGGCAGGAGAAGATAGAAGCATGGATCAGCACCATACAGTGTTAAATCAAGGTGGATGCAAGCTATGTTTTTGAGATGGAAGAGGCAGGATTTGACGATTGGGTTGGAGTGAACACTTAGTCAGCTAGCCTGTGAGGTAGAGCCATTGATTTGGAGGGTGACATACTATTCGCTGACACTCTACTGGGGGCTGCCCAAGTCACAAATGCCAGGGGTGTAACTAGCTCCTTAGCACAAAAGTGCAGATATCTCTGGACGTGCAGCATTTCAAGCAGAAACACTGTACATACAGATGCCTACCACCATGACCACGTCTAAAACCTTTTACCTTGAAAATGACTATTAAAGAATATGCTATCTTAATCATAAACAAATTTACCACCGATCAATCAAACCAACAGATATAAAAAATGATTGCAAGTTCAAGACCCATTGTTCAGTCAATATTCCCACAGACCCAACCTGGTCTATGGTCTATTTTGTATTTTAACACTGTGTATATATATATATATATATTTCATTTTATTTTAGATTTAGATTTGAGCATAATATGTAGTAAAGATTGTAGAAAACTTTGAATGAAATGTCAAAAACACCATGGAATTGTAAAATTTGTAAACGTCGAAGAAAGGCCTTTTTTATTAGAGGAAGAGGTGGGGATTTAATTAGCAGGACATGGAATGAGAATATTACAGAAATATAACATGCAAACTGTATGAGTACAGGCTTTAACTACTAGCTGGGCATTATGGGGAATGCAGTCCATGGCCTCAGTGCTAAAGGTTACCTTGCCTTAAACCACAGACATTCTGTACTTTGCTCCTATGTGTTTGTTCTTTGATTGGTAAAAAAAATAAAGTTTTAACTCGTTTTAATTGTTTATAGGTGGAATCAAGCCTTTTTTTACATTCCATACTGTGCAAAAATAAAAAGTATCATAAAAATGCAAAATAGTTGACATTAACATACCTGCTAAACAAAATATTAGTGTGTAATTACATCCTAGTGTTAATAAATAGTTTTCACGGCTTATGAGTTTAACAAATAAATATAATTTAATAATTTTAGACCATATGTTTACAAGTACAAATCCCATTGTTTAGGTAATATTCATATTAATTGGCCTTTTTTGGCAATGTGGCTGTAAAATCATTAAGTCTCTAATTATGCTCATAAATGTTACCACTGATCCAAATGCCACCCTCCAGTTGTTTACAGATTTTATATATATATATTACATATTAAAATTTTGTAACTGCCATAAATAATGATTCAAGATTGATTAAAAGTAATTTTGTTTTTAATATGGGTTTTATCTGGTGAATATGTTAAGAAGAAAGGTACATGTTGTATAGAAGTGCAGGGATTTTAAAGTTTATTTTCAATGCCTCAGCTTTGTAAAATATATGTAAAAATGGCTAATTTATTATTTAGTAAATAGCAAAATGTAGAGACCTGATGTATTCTTGGTGTAGACTGAGAAATGTGTTACATACTGGCAGGCCCGGATTGGCCATAGGGCAATCCAGGCAAATGCCCTGTGGCTGTGATGGGCATGGGCCAAGGCCAACAGGGGAAATCAATGACTCCCCTGCTGACCAATCCAGAGCCGGCGCCCACCTTGCTTGAATATTCATGGCCGGTGGAGAGATCAGCAAGACCATGGAGGCTACAATCTGCTCTTCTGCTGGGTTCAGAGTATTCTTCTCACAAGCTCGCGGTTCAGAGCGTTGCTGCAGATTACTACGTTCACCAACAGTGGATCCTTTACATACACTAGATCTTCTTAGGGCACACACTGCATGACTTGGATACAAACAACATTCCTGACACACACAGTACATTCCATATACACAGTGTGGACCCCTTATGCACACTATATCCTCTATAGACACACACTGCACCGTCAACACACACAGTACATCCCATATACACACTATGGATCCCTTACGCTCATGCTAGATTCTCTATACACACACAATGCACCACCTACACACACACACACACACACTATTTCTGACACACACAGTGCATCCCATATGCACACACAAGATCCACTACAGACACACACTAGATCCGCTGTACACACTCACTCTCTACAGCCCCTACACTTACTAACGATATTAGTTTGGGTGCGCCCCATTAGTTGCTATTAACCCTGCCCTTTCCAGATTCTCTCAGACACTGCTCTAAGACTATCCTTTTTCTATCCAATTACCCAGTTGGGTCCTTTCCTAGAATGGATTTAGACTAACCTGCTTTGTTACCCATTTATTATTTTAGGTGTATTTTTACACCTTTATTAAGTCAAACATACCTTGCAGGATTAGCCTCTCCCAGGCTTTTATAAGTTTGGTGGTTAACTTCTAATCAATACACTATTTTAGTGTATGGTAATAGCATTTGGACTATATACCATTTTAGCATTTTTTTTTTCTAATAAAGGTTGTTTATCCTCTTCTATGTGACTATTTACATTATGAGGTACTTTGAATGAGGCTAGGCATTCCACCCACTTTTTTGTGAGTGGACTGTCTGCCCCATTTTTCATCTCTTTTTTTTCTATATATATTGTGGGGTTACGCCCCTTTTACCTCTGTAACCTTTTTGTGGGGTAGTGGTGATGGTTTCCCCACCCCATAGCCCCTCTCTCTTTCTTCCAATACATGCACTACAGTCGCTATGCACACGCTTGCTACATGCCCCTATACAAATACTACAGCACTTATACAGACATTCTCGCTCTCTACAGCCAATAGACACACACTACAGCCAATAGACACACAACACAACTGAAACCAACCTAGTTACACAAAACACCACACAACAAACAGCTCTCCCTACACACACACACACTGCCACAATTAGCCACCAAACACATGCACAATACTCTCTGACCTCATTGTCCTCTGGTATCCCACTTATAGCGACACCAGAGAAAATCACAAGCAAACACACATTACACAGGGTCTTTTTCCCATTCAGCAGAGCACCATCATGGGCTGCCCTTAAAGAGCATTAAACTGACATGCTCATTTAGGGGGGATATGTTGTTATCCATTTTACAAAAGAAGGTTGGTTGAATATATCTATCCTGGAACGCTGTTTTAAAATAACATTTTATATTTGTTTGACATACCTATCTAGCAGGGAAAATGTATCTGCAAGTATTGTCTTAAAGTATGTGAATGTGTAGATAGATTGTGATATTGTGATTCTCGTTTGTGCATTCAGTGTTCATTTCTTATCTATCTCTAACCTTTCCCAAGGACAAACCATTACTAAGTTAGAGAATGTTACAAAAGTGAGGGCAATAAATTCCAGCTACCTACAATATCTATGACATGGATACAATTTTATAATCCTGTAGTTTATATGAAGATTATAATTTTAATTGATGCCATTTTTTTTATTTATTAGTTGATTGATTGATTAGTCCTATAGATCAGGGATAACCTGCCAACTTCTTTTAAAATGTACTATTTACCATGCTAACATGGATTAATGTCTGTTGGAAATAAATTGCATACTGTCCCTACTTTGTCTTAGTATATTTATTGATCAGGTTGTAATTTCAATGAAATTCTAAGACAGTCCATGTAACTATTTCATAAAGATTTTATCTTTATGAAATTCTCATTTTATATGGGGGTGTAGAGGGGCAGAGCAGCTTTAAATGCTTTAAATTTAAAATTCCAGCTGCCTCTGTCAGTTTCTACACAGATTAACGTGCTTCACGCTGGTGTTTTTCAGTTTGATATATTGTCTTTCCTGTCTGTGTACTTAGTGTTGATTATTTTAGACATTTCGTATTTTCTTTGTATGTTACCATACAATATTAGTGTTTACACATACACATACCAAAGAAAATTGACACTGACTTGTGAAAGAATTCTGCTGCTCATAACAATACCAGTTTATTGCAAGTGCAGCGTCATTCCCTGATTTGCTTTGGAATCTGCATCCATGTGATGTTTAGTCTGTTATTATATGTGTAATAAATAACAAAAAAAAATTACATTGAATATGAACAGCAATGGTGGATTTTCTTTCAATGTGGGACTCTTGTTATAGGGTTTCTTCATCAATTTTTTTTATTATAAAAAAAATGCTTTATTGGTATTATTATGTATGTCCCCCTCTCCACCCCCCCAAATACAAACGCTATAAAAGTGTTTTAAAATAAAGTTTACTTACCTTAATTCAGCACCTGGCGAAGCTCCCCTGCGCTGCTCGGTGCACCCCCATTTGACACTATGGGAGGTGTGCCAAGGTCCATTAAAAGGTTTCTATTAGAGAAGCCATTGACTGGACAATTTTACTATCTCACAGTGCAAGCCGGCAAAAGGAAGGGAGAGCATCAGGGCTAGGGTGGGGAATGGGACAGAGAGGAGTATAGGGCAGCTATGAGTGTGGGAGGGGAGACAATAGCTTTTTTCCTTTCAGACAAATGTTTTTTATATTGACATTAGGCCCCGGCATACAATTAAAAATATCACTGCACATCCAGGCTCCTACCACCCTGCAGGTATAACCACTTCAGAAAGCAAAAGTGGTCGGGGTGGTTGGAGTAACCCTTTAACATTGTATGGAATATAGGAATATGGATTCTTTTTTTACTAATTCTATTCTATATGATATGGAGTCATGAGATTTGCAGACAAATACCTTTTCATGATATGTTGTTTTTATTGCTCATATTTCCATCTATTCATAGATCTGTTGTCCCTTCCCTTTCAGGCTTACAGAAAAATGAAGACAAAATAAACGTTAACAATGGTGAGTAGGTCCTTAACCCAGGACTGGCCACGGACATTGTGCTGCCCCTCCTCCCCCACCTCGCCTTGCACCAGAAGCACGCCAACATCCATTATGTTATGCAGTGTGTGTAGTGAATGCACTGTCTGTTTGCGTAGTGGATGCAGTGTGTATATCATATTCAGTGTGTCGTGGATGCTGCGTCTGTGTGTCGTGGATACTGCGTCTGTGTGTCGTGGATGCTGCATCTGTTATTGTGTCATGGATGTAGTGTGTATTGTATGCAGTATGTGTAGTGGAGGCAGTGTGTGTAGTGGATGTAGGGTGTGTGTGGCGGATGTAGTGTGCCTAGTGGATGCAGTGTCTGTGTAGTGGATGTAGGGTGTGTGTGGCGGATGTAGTGTGCCTAGTGGATGCAGTGTCTGTGTAGTGGATGTAGTGTCTGTGTATGTAGTACTGTATGTGTAGTGCATTTAGTGTGTGTGTAGAGTTGGATAAATGCTGATGGGGGTGAGCAGTTTAAATTAAATTGTGGTTATCCCCCTTCCTGCATCTTACCTGTGGGCTGGAATGGCAGGACAGTGTGTAGGAAGGTGACAGTATAGGAGGGCAGTGTGTAGGAAGATGACACTATAAGAGGACAGTGTGTAGGAAGGTGACGGTATAGGAGGGCAGTGTGTAGGAAGGTGACAGTGTGGGTGGGCAGTGTGTAGGAAGGTTGTGAGGGCAGGCTGTGAGGGTGACAGCAGGGCCGGACTGGCCCACCGGGATACCTAGAAATTTCCCGGTGGGCCGTCGGCACCTGGGTCCGGGCAGGCAGCTGGCTCTTCTGGCAGCTGCAGAGGGAGCTCTTTTGGCGGCCACAGGGGGAACTGGCTGTTCTGTCTCTGCTCCCCAGCCCTCGCGCTGCTTAATGAGACCGGGGACGGAACATGACGTCATATTCCATACAAAGACATACAGGCATACAGAGACACACATGCATGCAGAGACATATATACAGACATTCAGAGACAAACATACATACATTCATGAATATAGATACATACATACATGGATGCAGAGACATACATACATACATACATACAGAGACATAAATACATACATAGACATACAGAGACATACATACATACATACATACATACAGAGACATACAGACAGACATACATACATACAGAGACATACATACATACATACATAGACATACATACATACAGAGACATACATACATACATACATACATACATAATTACATACTTACATTTGTTAAATCTTGTCCCCTGGGTGCATGCTGTCTGGCTCTGTGGAGTCCCGTCCTGCAGCCCAGCTTCATCACTGGGCGCCAGTCGCGCTGTGTGGTACACAGGGAGCAGGGATAGGATGTAATTCATATCCCCCCCCCACAGCCTGCGGCAGACACCAGTGTAGATGGTGGGCGGGCAGAGGCTGTGCTCCGCGGGCGGGAATCTCTGGGCTGCGCTCGGCCACGCTACAAGTAGTAACCGGCTGGAGGGGAGCGCAGTGTGCTTCTCTCCTTCCGGTCAGCCTGATGTTGCGCCCCCAGGGCTGGTGCGCCCTAAGGTGGCCGCCTGGGCCGCCTTATGGTAGCACCGGCACATCTTGTGAGTGGTTTGTAGCAGTAAAACATATAATGCTGATATCAATAGTGAAAGAGCATTTTCTTGTGAAAAATGCAAAAAGCAATTATGAATGCTGACTTTGACCAGGGTTTGTTACTAGGTGGCTACTAAAAAAGTCTGGACATACCCCATTTTTAATCCCCTGGGTTGTGTATGTGGAACTATAATTTTTGCATGTAAATACTAATTAAATGCTTGTTTTATGTGTTTCAGTTGCAATAAGGAAAGATAAGAGCAATAGTCCAAAGACCAGCACAAAGCAATATGACACACCAGCTCAAAACAGTAAGTTAACACCTCAACACATTAAGTATATACTGTTAATACAGAGATAATATTGGTGGTACTGGCTTACGGATGTGCTTCATTCAGAAAGGTGGAATTGTCTGCTAACATTGTCCTTAGCACTAGCATGCATATTGAAAAAGGAGAAAACAAACTGCTACTCCAATAGTATGAAAACGATAAAACATAACTTTTATTCCAAGAAGAGTTGATAAAAAAGCATTAAACTTTGTCACAAACACCACCAGTGTCGTACAAAAAAATAAAGAATTACCTCACAAAATTATAATTTTTGGATATCTACTAATTTACAGATATCCACACTGTGCCACTGCACAGGGGATAGTTCAGACACTATTTCTGACCCCAAAACAAAACTAATTTCTGCAATTCTCCATCTGTGATACTTGGAGGTTTTTGGGCTGCTTGAACCATCCTCTTCACACTCTATTGAGGAAATATAGACACATGTCCTCTTACAGGTTGATTCATAACATTTCCAGTTAACTGGAACCTCTTAATTATTCCCCTGATGATGAAAATGGGCAATTTCAAATATTTTTCTATTTTCTTATAGTCACTTCCCATTTTGTGATGCTCAACATTTTTTTGCCGCACATCACAGCTATATTTCTTGATTTTACCCACTGTGATGAATGACTAAGTGAATTTGGCCTATGTGTTACCTCATATTTAAACCCCGATAAAACATGAAGTCTTGGATGAACAATTTCCTGTTCCTAGTCACCTAGATGCACTAAAAAATGTTTAAATATCAATGGTTATGCTGCAAATAAATATTTTATTTTCTCTTGTAAACGCATCTATTTATTGTGTTTGCAGTTATTTGATATCTATGAGAGCAGAGTACTTTTGTGTATTTTGTGAACAAAAGCTCAAAAGGTTAAACAAAAAAATATTTATTTTTTTTCACAACCTTCTTTGCTCATATTTACCAAGGGTGCCAATATTAGTGGACAGCACTGTATATAATATTTGTCTTCCTAGTGTAAATTCATGTACAACAATAGAGTAGGAGTATTAATTTGATATTTAGCTTATAGTTAAGAATATTATCTTTTTTTAGTTCAACTGTCATGTTCATCATCTTAATGAAGCATTGTATATTAGTTTTTTTATTATATATTTTTATTCCCAGTAGACAACAGAGTCCTTCAGGAGAGAACAAAGCAAGAAGACAAACGTCCAACAACCTTCAGTAAGAAAATCATTTTACTCAATGTTCCAGTGACAAAAATACATTGAAACGTTATGAGCCGTCTGTCAAACTAGAGTGAAAAATGTGTACATTCTCTTTAAAATTTTTATTAGTGATATTACAGAAGGTCTTGATGGTAAGGTATGTCTTTTTGCTGATGATACTAAGATATGTAACAGGGTTGATCTTCCAGGAGGGATAAGCCAAATGGCAAATAATTTCGGTAAACTAGAAAAATGGTCAGAGTTGTGGCAACTGACATTTAATGTGGATAAGTGCAAGATAATGCATCTTGGACGTAAAAACCCAAGGGCAGAGTACAGAATATTTGATAGAGTCCTAACCTCAACATCTGAGGAAAGGGATTTAGGGGTGATTATTTCTGATGACTTAAAGGTAGGCAGACAATGTAATAGAGCAGCAGGAAATGCTAGCAGAATGCTTGGTTGTATAGGGAGAGGTATTAGCAGTAGAAAGAGGGAAGTGCTCATGCCATTGTACAGAACACTAGTGAGACCTCACTTGGAGTATTGTACACAGTACTGGAGACCGTATCTCCAGAAGGATATTGATACTTTAGAGAGAGTTCAGAGAAGGGCTACTAAACTGGTTCATGGATTGCAGGATAAAACTTACCAGGAAAGGTTAAAGGATCTTAACATGTATAGCTTGGAGGAAAGACGAGACAGGGGGGATATGATAGAAACATTTAAATACATAAAGGGAATCAACACAGTAAAGGAGGAGACTATATTTAAAAGAAGAAAAACTACCACAACAAGAGGACATAGTCTTAAATTAGAGGAGCAAAGGTTTAAAAATAATATCAGGAAGTATTACTTTACTGAGAGGGTAGTGGATGCATGGAATAGCCTTCCAGCTGAAGTGGTAGAGGTTAAAACATTAAAGGAGTTTAAGCATGCGTGGGATAGGCATAAGGCTGTCCTAACTATAAGACAAGGGACTAATGAAAGTATTTAGAAAATTGGCAGACTAGATGGGCCGAATGGTTCTTATCTGCCGTCACATTCTATGACCGTATGATTATGCAAAAAAATTAAATAAATCACCATAAATAGCAAAAAAGAATCCAACTGTATCTTAACAACGTGCATTGTTAATTCTCTCATTTTCAACACAGAATATCCCTGGGATGGTGTAAATCTGAAGTCTCTTAAGCTGGATCTGAGAAATTTTCAGACTCTAGATAGCTACGGCACAAAGGTAAAAAGTGACTAGTTTGACAGTATCCATATTTCAATGATAGTCCTCTTTTGTTCCTATCAATAATCAATAATAATGAAAAAAAAACTATCACTAATAAATTATAATTTATTAATATGTATAATTAATTAAATTTATATAGTTATGCTATTTATAAAACATGAAGTCAAATTCATAGTATAGTATTGACTATACTATTGATAGCAGTACCAATCTTGGTGTTCCTATGAGTTCCAATGCTACACCAAATGTTTAAGAGTAGCTTGTTTTACGTTTTTTTTTTCCAAGTTGCAATATGTTTTTGTTTTTATTTTTGTAGCCAATATTATTATTAACGTATTACCATAGTTGGAGTATGGCAAAGTTTGAATAATCTATGAGGATAGAAGGGGCAGAAGAGCAGGGCAGGATTTACATGTCAGATGCCTGTAGACACATAATACTAAGACACCCTCAACCAAAAAAATTATGCGTGTGAAATAAGTATAATGCATTTATTAACTGGACAATGCAGGCCTAAAATACCTAAAAAAAAAAATACATTCATATTTGACAAATGCATATGTATACATGAATGTACAGTGAGGGAAAAAAAGTATTTGATCCCCCTGCTGATTTTGAACGTTTGCCCACTGACAAAGAAATGATCAGTTTATAATTTTAATGGTAGGTGTATTTTAACAGTGAGAGGCAGAATAACAAAAAACAAAAAAAAATCCAGAATAATGCATGTCAAAAAAAGTTATAAATGTATTATCATATCAAAGAGTGAAATAAGTATTTGATCCCCTATCAATCAGCAAGATTTCTGACTCCCAGGTGTCTTTTATACAGGTAACGAGCTGAGATTAGGAGCACTCTCTTAAAGGGAGTGCTCCTAATCTCAGCTTGTTACCTGTATAAAAGACACCTGTCCACATAAGCAATCAATCAATCAGATTCCAACTCTCCACCATGGCCAAGACCAAAGAGCTGTCCAAGGATGTCAGGGACAAGATTGTAGACCTACACAAGGCTGGAATGGGCTACACGACCATTGCCAAGCAGCTTGGTGAGAAAGTGAAAACAGTTTATGCGATTATTCGCAAATGGAAAAAGAAACACAAAATAACTGTCAATATCCCTCGGTTTGGTGCTCCACGCAAGATCTCACCTTGTGGAGTTTCAACGATCTTGAGAATGGTGAGGCCCAGCACTACAAGGCAGGTGGAACCATAGTCACCAAGAAAACGATTGATAACACACTACGCCGTGAAGGACTCAAATCCTGCAGCACCCGGAAGGCCCCCCTGCTCAAGAAAGCACATGTACAGGCCCGTCTGAAGTTTGCCAATAAACATCTGAATGGTTCAAAGGAGAACTGGGTGAAAGTGTTGTGGTCAGATGAGACCAAAATCGAGCTCTTTGGCATTAACTCAACTTGCCATGTTTGGAGGAGGAGGAATGCTGCCTATGACCCCAAGAACACCATCCCCACCGTCAAACATGTAGGTGGAAACATTATGTTTGGGGGTGTTTTTTTTTGCTAAGGGGACAGGACAACTGCACCGCATCAAAGGGACAATAGACAGGACCATGTACCATCAAATCTTGCGTGAGAACCTCCTTCCCTCAGCCAGGGCATTGAACATGGGTCGTGGATAAGTATTCCAGCATGACAATGACCCAAAACACACAGCCAAGGCAACAAAGGAGTGGCTCAAGAAGAAGCACATTAAGGTCCTGGAGTGGCCTAGCGAGTCTCCAGACCTTAATCCCATAGAAAATCTGTGGAGGGAGCTGAAGGTTCAAGTTGCCAAACGTCAGCCTCAAAGCCTTAATGACTTGGAGAGGATCTGCAAAGAGAAGTGGGACAAAATCCCTCCTGAGATGTGTGCAAACCTGGTGGCCAACTACAAGAAACATCTGTCCTCTGTGATTGCCAACAAGGGTTTTGCCACCAAGTACTAAGTCGAAGGGGTCAAATACTTATTTCACTCATTGACATGCAAATCAATTTATAATTTTTTTTACATGCATTTTTCTGGATTAAAATGATAGACTAATCATTTCTTTGTCAGTGGGCAAAGTTCAAAATCAGCAGGGGATCAAATACTTTTTCCCCTTACTGCATGTGAATATTTCTGCTCTGTTTGTCATGTATTGTGTCTGTATCTGCGAGTATAGTGAGTGTATGCTGCTGTGTATATACATTCAGGGTTCAAGGTATTGCTAGAAGTGGTTAGTGTAAAGGGGGGTTAAAGAAGTGTTAATTTGACATTCAATTTATAGTTAAGAATATTATCTTTTTAGTACAACCTTTGTTACTACAACATACCAGGCCCGGACTGGACATCGGGCACACCGGGCAAATGCCCGGTGGGCCGCGATGTCCATGGGCCGAGGCCGGCAGGGGAGATCCCAGGATCTCCCCTGCCGGTCTATGCAGGGCCGGCGCTATCCGAGCGCCGGCCCCGCTGTGTTCCATGAAGGGCCGGTGGGGAGATCAAAGATCTCCCTCACCGGCCCACATGTGCTCAAACGCGGGAGACAGGCGCCAGGAGAGAGGACCCGGCGGAGCTCTAACTTGCAGCTCCACCGGGTTTCTCTCGCGAGATCCGGACCGTTGCTATGGCAACCGGCCGGGTCTCGCAAGAGTGAACTCTAGCCCCAAAGGACTAGAGTTCACTTACCACGAGGACCACCAGGGATGGCTGGCAGGAGCACGACCCCCCCCCCCCCTTCCAGACTACAGGTAAGAATGGAGGGGGGGTGATATTATGTATTTATTATTTATTATTATGTAATTATTATTTATTATTATGTATTTATTAGTATGTATTATTATTTATTTATTATTATTTATTATTATGTATTTATTAGTATGTATTATTATGTATTTATTATTATTATTTTTTAGTAAAACACCTACCTGCCTCCCCCCAATACAAAATCCTTGCAAACACACACATCACCCTCACCCAGCACCCTAACACATACACAGCACCCTAACACACACACACAGCACCCTAACACCAGCACCCTAACATTGACACAGCACCCTAACACACAGCACCCTAACATTGACACACCCTAACACACACACAGCACCCTAACACCAGCACCCTAACACACACTCACACAGCACCCTAACACCAGCACACACTAGCACCCACCACACCCTAACATTGACACATCACCCTAACACTCACACAGCACCCACACACACAGCACCCTAACACAGCACCCTAACACACACAACACACACACAGCACCCTAACACCAGCACCCTAACATTGACACAGCACCCTAACACTCACACAGCACCCTAACACCAGCAACCTAACATTGACACAGCACCCTAACACCAGCACCCTAACATTGACACAGCACCCTAACACTCACACAGCACCCTAACACCAGCACCCTAACACACAGCACCCTAGCACTCACACAGCACCCTAACACCAGCTCCCTAACATTGACACATCACCCTAACACACACACAGCACCCTAGCACACACACAGCAACCTAGCACACACACACACACCACCCCAACACATACACAGCACCCCAACACACACAGCGCCCTCACTCACACAGCGCCCTCACTCACACAGTGCCCTCACACACACAGCACCCTCACACACACATACTGCACTCCCTCACACATATACTGCACCCTCCCACACACATACTGCATCCCCTCACACACACAGCACCCTCCCACACACACTATACTCCTCACAAACGCACACTACACCCCTCACACACACAGCACCCCCCCAAACACACTGCACCACTCACACACTCACTAGATCCCCAACACACAGACGCTGCACCACTTACACACACACTACATTTCTGACATACACACTCAGGATCCCCTATGAACACACTAGATACCCTTTAAGCAAACACATAGTGTCTCCATAAATGGGATACAGTGAGTATTCCAATTATGGAAACCCCCGAGACAAGTTTCAAGCAAACACAATGCAAGCATGTTATTAAATTTGCTTGCGCTGTGCAGATCAAATACAGGGCCCTTTTCTCATGCCCTGGAAGAGCATTGAACCAACATGCTCACTTTGAGATGGGGCGTGCTTGTCATTGGGGATGACAAAACACACCCTATCTGGCCCCGCCCCCTTTTCAGTGGGCCGCTGTAATTAAAAATGACCGGGCCGAATTTTTTCCCCAGTCCGGCCCTGCAACATACAAATCTAAATGTCTAACCTTATAGTGCCCTCTGGTCCCCCTCCCTCATGCCCCCCTCTCCTTCATGCTCCCCTTCCCCCCAGCATATAAAGGATTAACAAACCCTTCATTCACTTACCGTGTTCCAGCGTCAATGTCTCTCAGCACTAGGTCGGCGCTCTGCTTCCTCCAACGTCAGAGATAGAAAAATATTGCCTCAATGCTTTCTTATGGGGATTTCCATGATGGTGGATGCAATGCAGAGTCATTTAGGAGGCAGCTAGCACCCAGGAAGTGCCTCTAGTGGCTGCCTGACATCCACTAGAGGCACTCTTAGTCCTGCAAAGTAATCATTGCAGTTTCTCTAAAACTCTGCCAAATGGGATATCAGTCAAATACTTAGATTCTGGTTATTTGTAAGGAACTTAAAGCACTCATGGCTATGCAGCTAAAATGAAACCAAAAATGAATGTCTGCGTGTGGACATAATTAAGTACACATTACGTGTCTGTACTTTATAGGTCTTTGCAACTTACAACTGCACCCTGAGACAATCTTTGTTGTATATTGTCTCCTTTCTACTGTCAGAATAGAGTTATAAAGACCTGACTTGGTCAAATTAGCATTACAGTCAAGAAAGGGCTCCCCACTATAAGCATACATTCTAAATACACAAACATGAGTTACCAGAGACTGGAATAATTGCGGGTGCCGTGGTGGTACAACAGAGCCTAAATACAGATGTGACGTAATTTTTTTGCCCTGGGGCCATTGTTAGAAAAATCCAATTTTTTATATACAGTTTTGACGTGTCGATGGAGGCACTTTCTATTTATACTGTTGGCCAGCAACATAAAGAATTCTTGGCAAAAAAAATAAAACAAATTAAAGGCAAAACCAGAAATTTAACAATTAACAAGTACTCACATACTGGTGGAGAGTATGAGGAAAAATGGTCCGTCTTTGGTCACAAACGGGATTAAGAACAAAACACTATTGCTTCAGTTAATATGTCAATGTATTAATGAATTACAATATAAATATGGTAATTCTTCTTCTGCGGTATCTGTATTGGAGTACAAATAGTTAAATACGATTAAATACCTGATGCTGTAAGGAATACATCAGAAAAAATGCATATTATTAAACTACACATTGCTTCACATTGTCAGAATGTATTTTAAAATTAGTTTCGCCCTGTTTAAAATACAAAATTAACATACACCCCAGTGTTATAGACATGCACAAAAGCTTTATGCTCAATCCTTAAGATATATACATGCACCTTGGATCAGACAGTGATTGCAAACTGACAGTCTCTATGGTCTTCCTGCTTCTGTGCAGGGTGTAAAGCAGGAAGATCATAAGGGCTAACATAATACCCAAGATGCATGAACACTGATCAGCCACGACATTAAAACCACCTGTCTAATATCGTGTAGGTCCCCCTGCTGCTGTCAAAACAGCTCTGATGCTTCGAGGCATAGACTCCACAAGACGTCTGAATGTGTCCTTTGGTATTTGGCACCAAGTTGCTAGGTGGGGCTGTTTTGCTTTAGCATCCCACAGATGCTAAATTGAATGGAGATCTGGGGAGTTGGGGACCAAGGGAACACCTTGAACTCTTTGTCATGTTACTCAAGCCATTCCTGAACAATTTTATCAGTGTTGCATGGTGCATTATCCTGCTTAAAGATGCCACTGCCACCAGGGAACACTCTTGCCATGAAGGGAAGCATCTGGTCTGCAACAATCTCGAAGAAGTTGGTACATGTCAAAGTAACATCCACAGGAATGCCAGGGCCCAAGTTTTCCAAGCTGAACATTTTCCAGTGCATTACACTGCCTCTATCGGTCTTCCTTCTTCCCATAGTGCATCCTGCGGCCAATTCTTCCCCAGGTAAATGCCGAACACGCACCCAGCCATCCACCTGATCAAAAAGAAAAAGTGATTAATCAAACCAGGCAATCTTATTCAATTGCTCCATGGTCCACTTTTGCTGCTCACGTCCCCATTGAAAGCACCTTCGCTGGTAGACAAGGGTCATCTTGGGCACTGTAATCAGTCTGTGGTTATACAGCCCAATACGCAGCAAACTGTGATGCACTTTATGTTCGGACACCTTTCTATCACTGCCATCATTACGTTTTTCAGAAATTTGATCTACAGTAGGTCTTCTGTGTGATCAGACTAGACAGGGCTAGCCTTCGCTCCCCACATGCATCAATGAGCTTTGGGCACCAGTGACCCTGATGCTGGTTCACCAGTTCTCCTTCCTTACACCACCTTTTGTAGGTACTAACCATTGTGATCTTGGAACACTGTATGAAACTCAACCTTTAGGAGATGCTCTGACCCAATCATCTAACCATCGTTCTTTGGCGATTGTCAAAGTCACTCCGATCTCTTCGCTTGCCCATGTTTCCCGCTTCCAACACATGAAATTCAAGACCTGACTGTTCTCTTGCTGCCAAATAGATCCCTTGACAGATGCCATTGTAACAGTGTAATCAATGCCTTTCACTTCACCTGTCAATGGTTTTAATGCTGTGGCTGATCAGTGTGTATGGCTGAAGGATCCTGTCATATACTAAACGTAGGGATGAGGTTTATATATATATATATATATATACACATACATATATATATATATATATATATATATATATATTTATTTATTTTTTAAATTATTATTTTGAAGTAAAGGATTATTATATTAAAAAGTAGGTTTCAGGTGACAGCTGTCCCTTAAAGTGACTTTCAAATGTAAGGTCAAAGTAGCTGAACTGGAAACATAGCTGACTTTTTCAGTTCACTATTTTTGCTTTAAATTTGAAGTTCACTTTAAATTCCTGGCAGTGCTTACTTTAGTAGATAATCCTGATAGTTTTCAAAGAAAACAAAATCATATAAACAAGGTGCAAACCCCTCAAAGGCCACTAGATGGTGGTAAATACAAAATGTCAATTAACTCACAGTTTTTGATATTTAATATAACATAATGGAAAGATAAGTTTGGGTAGCCTTTAACATTATATTCTGAGCAACATGGGAGCCAGATAAACTGGGATTCCCTGTCTCCAATCTTAAAGACACAGTACATTGCATGCAATTTTATCTCATGGTTTTAAATTTAATAATAACAATCATCAATATATTCACAATAAATCAGTCAGAGCAATTAGCTGATAAATCCCTAAATCCTATACTGTTTGCCAGGGCGACTGCTGATTACCATAAACTACCTGGTATACAGATATTCACCAAAATAGGGATAGTGGGTACTTGGCCAAGGTAACTGCAAAGCTTGCCTTAAAATAATGAGACAACCTGTTATTTGCTCAGATTGGCTTCGCTTGGCCTAAACTGATGCTATTCGCTTTTTAATTATCGACTTGGTTTAGTGACTAACATAACTAATGTCAGGACATATATGCAGCTGTCAGTATTTCCTGTTATAACCCCATCAGGGTGACAGACAAAACGGGGGTGTTGCAAGATTCCAAAAACCCCTGGGTGTAGACCCAAAAGGAAAATCTGGTGACCCCTTCACTAATAGAGAAGTGGGGATATCCCTGCCTTTTCTGATTTTATGTCCCCTCCTCTCTGTCATGCAGGTAACAAGTGTCCTGTTGATGTTCTAAGGAATCTCAATCAAGGCATAGTCAGTCAGAAGAACATACTGCCCTACCCGATATACAATGTATTCCCACCACACTACCTAATAGAGGGATGTTCAGCTAAATTCTGTTCCCAACACTCCTCTGCACAGTCACGCCCTCCCCCTTCCATTCTCTCCCCCCCCACCCATCCCCCACTCCCTTCCTCTAAATAACCTGGAGAAGCACTATACTTCTCAAAGCTGCTCTGATGTAAAATTAAAAAAAAAACACCCTCTTTGCCTTCTACAGTAACTGGGGCTAAAGAGTGCTCCTTTTGAGTCCCCTAGAGGCCTAGACTGACTCACTCACCCCCAGCAAAATGTATCCCCTTTTCTTCTTTCAATACTTGTAACTCCTGTGATGACCTCTAGTAGTGACCATTGGAACCAATAACATTGATATCAGCAGTTTTTTAAAATTATATATATATATGAATGCAGTGTCACATACTTTTAAGACATATAACATGACCGCGTGCTGCAGAATATTAGCACATGTGAATATTAGCACAGATTTGTTATTTCTAAACAATGGAAGTCTGAAGCTGTGTTTTCAGCAATGTCCTTTCTATTCTATACATTTATTTCAAACTGTGCGAATTACAATTGTGTGTCTTTATTTTGACAGGTGTTTGCTGTTGGGACTCTTGAAGCTTTGATAAAAGATCTTCTTCGCGACACTTCTTCAGATTTGGAGAAAACGCGCATTATTTGGATATGGATATGTTACCATATAGGTATCTGTATAGTTAAACGATAAAGTCATTTTCTTTTCTTTTTTGGGGGATGTTTAGTCTACATGAGTCGTATATATTTCAATTAATCAATGCAGTGTCATATTTATGTGCATTTTAAATGGTGTACAATGAGGTTTACTATTTCCAACAACATAATATCTTCACTGTGTATTATCATGGACATCTACACATGCAACTTCTTGCTGTTGCAGAAATATACCACAAGATGGCAGCATGTGAATTAGAACTAATTTAATGGTGCACAAAAATCTGGCCACAAATTTATTTGTATTTTAGAGTTTTACCAGGTAATGCAAAACTTTTTCTTTAAAAAAACCTTGTGATGAAAACAATTCCTAGTGCTCAGAAATATTGATAGCTGGTAGACCTATATAGGTTCAATTGTTGATACTGTTTAACTGCAATAATGTATTTTTTTTGGGGGGGAGAGGGGGGTGGGTTTCTTAAGCTCTCTTCATATGCATGTTTTTTGTAAGGTAATATGATTTCTGTTTTTTTAATTATTAGAATATGATACAGCAGCATTCAGAAATAAGGCCTTGCATTCGTCTGACGCAGAGCACATATTTCGTACCAAGAAGGGTGTGTCTGCTGGCTACTCTTCTCTCTTTCAACATATGTGCAGGTAAAATCAAGGAGGAAAAAATAAATCGTATAGATATGTATTATATATTATGCTGTGTATATACTGATCTGCCACAACATTAAAACCACTGACAGGTGAAGTGAATAACATTATAATATTGTTACAATGGCACCAGTCAAGGGGTGGGATATATTAGGCAGCAAGTGAATAGTCAACTCTTGCATTTCCTGTGTTGGAAGCAGGAAAAATGGGCAAACGAAAAGATCGAAGTAACTTTGACAAGGGCGGAGGAGACCTAATGCGCATGCGTAGTAATGCCGCGCATGCGCATTAGACCTCCCCATAGGAAAGCATTGACAAATGCTTTCAATGCTTTCCTATGGGGATTTCAGCGACGCTGGAGGTCCTCACATAGCATAAGGACGTCCAACGATGTTATAGCACACGGAATGTGTGCTATGAACCCAGAAGTGCCCTCTAGCGGCTCTAGAGGAGGAGTTAACCCTGCAAGGTAAATATTGCAGTTTATGAAAACTGCACTAATTACAGTTGCAGGGTTAAGGGTTGTGGGTGTTGGCACCCAGACCACTCCAATGGGCAGAAGTGGTCTGGGTGCCTGGAGTGTCCCTTTAAGGGTAGTCATGATAGAAATTTCATATGATCGCAATCTGTTAGAAAAACTGCCCAATTGATTTACCTACAAGAATTCCCGTACATTTTTATGAAACATCTTCTATGGATAAATCTTTTCTAACAGATTGTGATTATTGGGAATGCTGATCCAAACAAATTAAATTGCGGCCAATGTTTCTAAGCTTTAAAAAATGCTTACTCTCTCTTTCTAGCATTGCTGGTGTGCAGTGTAAATCGGTGAGTGGTTATGGTAAGGGTACAGGATATAAGGCGGGACAGAAGATATCTGGAGAAATCGAACACACCTGGAACATGGTCTATTTGGAAGGAGGATGGCACTTAGTGGACACCACATGGGGAGCTGGTCATACTGACGAGCACATGAGCAAGTTTACCTTTCAGTAAGTAATCGATTAACATAGATAACAGAGATCTGCATATGGAACATCATTACACAGCATGTGAAATTTGGCATAGCAAGGGTGGATTTGAGGAATACAATCATGGGCTTATCTTTGACTCTTGATCTCCCAGAGTTTCACTGACATAACAGAGATTCTATTCTAGCAGAGAATATGACAAATGACAGTGGTTTTTATCAGAAGAGCAGTACATGTGACAAACACAATGTCAATGTTATATAAAGGAACATTGTGAAAATATCTATTTATATTAAATTGCTGTTTTTGGAGAGAAGACTCTCAAACAGAAATAGATTGACCTCAAAGTCATAATAAAATGTGGATTGCAATATCAGCTGACTAGGCCAATAAACATAGAACTCTGTCCAATCAGTCCATAATTATATCTACTTTTAGATAGTTAAAATATATCTAAAGTGTAGCAACATATAATTGTTAACACAGGTCTAATGTTAAGTCAAATATGTCATATTAATTAATAATTCATTATTAATTCATGATTATAATTATTTATTATAAAGCACATACTGCAATTATCTGTGGTGAAGATATGAAAAGGTGCATTGTGTCTTGCTCTTGGGAGACAGGCAGACAGGGGAGAGAAGTTCTGCAGTTTGTATCTGTACAATATGATTGTACAGGAACTGTACAAAAGTAGGAAGGCCTTGGATGAGGGTTGTCAGAAAAAGTACAGAGAGTGAGCACAATGGAGAGAATACGCATTATGTTGCAGACTGCAGTTACTTTCTGGACAAGCCCAATATAATTGATAAAAGATTCTTATATGATATGCTTCACTTTACAATTATCTTTAACCAGCAAGCAAGCACTTTTAAACAAACCAAAATAAAGCAAGCAAAACATTGGGAAGTATGTAACAAACATTTATAAACTTACCATAAATGTTGTGAGATTGCATTGTTCGGCACACCTCTCAGGTAGTGGAGTTTCTTCAGCCTTACCTTCCCCCCTTCTTACCCACCCATTTCGGTTTAGCTTAGTCCATGAATGACAGAGACAGGGCATCATTGTGCAGAGAAACCCCATGGAAATCCCCATGGATGTGGTAAATTGAAGAGATCTTCCAACTGTACATTTATAAATCTGCTAGGCATAACCAATACACCATTCTGGAAATTTTGTGGATAGAACTCGGATTGGTTAAATCAGTGTTCACCCCGTAGTTGGTGTGGAAAGCATAAGAAAGAAGAAGCAGGTAAATATGATTTATTTATTTTTAATACATATTTACTTGCTTTTTTCAGCATCCAGTGTAAGGCAACTTATTTATTCAAAGCTAAAGCTTTTGAACGAGACAGTTCTGTGAAGGTGATCCATGTCCCTTTAAAATAGGACTGCATTACTGTAAGCAAAACCATGTACATTTTGCAATTATGTGGGTCATATTGTATAATTATATTAATCATGCCATAAATATCAGGCTACTGAAACATTGGCCCATTCGATAGGCATAAGCAACAATTTGAAATCAGTGAAATTGCAATGTTTTTTATTGGAACCTGTCAGAGACTTGGCAGATGACACTGTTAAAAGGACATTCAAAGTACCACAACAACTTTAGCTTAATGAAGTGAATTTGGTGAAAAAAATGGCAGAGAATTGAGCATTGAGACTGCAGATCCATGACCTGTGCACCATATTCCTTTCATTAAGAGTTAATACTTCCCAACATTTTTGTCAAAGAGGGACGCTTTAACTTTAAGGGTGTGAGTGGAGGTGGGATCAAGGGCGGGGCTGTTGTGAGAAATATTAGAGGACTTACTAATAACAATTTATTCAACCAAAATGTAATTTAGAACATGAACAATGTAACTAATTTTCTGAACACATTTATTGTAGTTTAAAGACACATTGCTGTGAGAATTATTGATGTGGAGCTCTGTTATACTCTCATACATACCAACAATAGGGAGCTCCTAGTAAAGATGGACATTAGGATGGAAAAGAGATAGATTTGAATCCAAAATAGGGGCTGTCCTTCCTAAATAGGGACACGTGGGAAGTTGAGAGACATGAAAGTTGTTTTGGTGCTTATTGTCTACATTTAAAAGGACTCTCCAGTGACAGGAAAACAATCTGTTTTCCTGGCACTGCAGGTCCCCTCTACCTCCCACCTCCCAATCCTCAGTTGCTGAAGGGGTGAAAACCCCTTCAGTCACTTACCTGGGACCTCTGCTGATGTCCCTCGGAGGTGGGTTCGGATCGGCAAGCGCATTAGAGCTCCCCATAGGAAAGCATTGAAAATACTTTTCAATGCTTTCCTATGGAAAATTGAGCGACGCTGGAGGTCCTCACACAGCGTGAGGACGTCCAGCGACGCTCTAGCACAGAAGATCTGTGCTAGAGACACGGAAGTAGACAGCCACTAGAGGTGGAGTTAACCCTGTAAGGTAATTATTGGAGTTTATAAAAAAAACTGCAATAATTATACTTGCAGGGTTAAGGGTAGTGGGAGTTGGCACCCAGACCACTCCAATGGGCAGAAGTGGTCTGGGTGCCTGGAGTGTCCCTTTAATTCAAATCCTACTGTTCTCCATTGATTTACAGCACGTTTTGTAGGATTCAACTTGTAAAAAGTTTGTAAGAGCATGCTTTAGTATATATCCACAACATTTAGTAATTGAGCGCAATTATTTTATAATTACCTAACTCAGAGGTTAAATGAGGGAAATTAAAAGTTGAATAGAACTCTTAAATATTTAAACACACATTTGTCTTCTTATTATTGTCATATTGCCATGTCATGATAGAAGTTTAAATATAATCCAATTGGCAATCACCCTCTCCCATCACCATCCCCATCCCTATCACCATTTCGTTCGCTTTCCTCGCTCAGTTATGACGTGTGAATAAGCAGATGTCTTTATTTTTTTCTTGCAGGTATAATGAGTTTTATTTCTTGACGCACCCAGCACTCTTTATTGAAAGCCATTTCCCAGAGAAGGAAGATTTGCAATTATTGGAGCTGCCTCTGTCTTTAACACAATTTGAGCAAAGTGTGCACCGCCGAAGTCATTTCTATAATTTAGGATTTAAATCTTCACAGCCTGACACAGCAGTTATTGAAACAGGTAGATTGACTTTAAAATTGTTTCAGCAGTTTGTGTTTTTCCATGTGCAGCTCTGTTTGTGATGCTGGTATCTCAAATGAAACCTGACAGCTCTGTATGTTCGATGATTTATATCATGTCTGACACATGTCACGTATCATGGATCTGAATTGATGCATTTCCATGGATTCATTAGACTTTCACTTAAATTCCCTGTCAAATTCTAATTGACTAAAGAGCAACTGTCACTTCTGCGCGAAAGGCACAATTCTAACTGTGAACCAAAAGTTATCTATTAGTTATATTTTGTTATTTTATTTTATTTCTTTTTTAAAACAGCCCTTAAGTTTAATTTTATGTAGATTTAAATCAAATGAAAGACCATTAAGGCAGCAGCTTGGCATTTCATGCAAATTCCAAGTGTCCCATGACTATGTGACTATGCAAGTATTTAAAGGGAACTATGGATAAGGGATGTCACAGAGCATCTCATAAATATTAATTCCAGATTGAAGGTGTTTCTTACATTTAATTTGGCAGCCTAGTCATTCATACATATTACATTAATATTTATAAATATATTATTTTACATTTATTATAAATTATTTTACTGTGGAATGTATTATAAAAAATACTTCCGATACCCTCCAAGAGGCCAGGACATTACTGAAATGGATACATGGATATGGGACTTCAACAATATGCGATCATTTAGGTAAGGTATAATCACCAAGGCTACAAAAACATTCAAATCCTCATATGTCTGTCTTGTTAAGTCATGCTAAAACAACAAAGTCACTGATCCTCTTATGTTATTGGAGTGTGTCATTTTCAGGCTTGGACTGACCATTGGGTAAGACATGTCAAGTGTCGGCGGGTTCCAACTGTGGCCACTGTGCCTAAAGGGATATTACCTACACCTGCTGAAGATGCCCATAGAAGGCTGAAATAATCTTCAGGGGTTGCTGTATCTCTCGTGCTGAGGGAACTTGCCAGCATTTTGAATCTGGACTGCCCTTGTGGGCGAGATTAGTCTGATATGTAAATGGTATAGGTTCTTTTTGTAATGGCACAAGTAAGCAAAAATAATTTTCAGACCTGAGCACAGCCTAACAGTAGGGCAAGCAACTGAGTTTTTCTAAGTTTTTGCTAATTCTCAGAGTTCTCAGAGTTTTTGTTGCAAGACAAAGATGTGAAAGAGTTATACAGGACTAAGATGCTTCCTTCATGGAACTCTACTAATTCAGTAGGAATCAAAAAAGGTCACTATAGCTCCCAGACCACACAGCCAACAAAAAGGGGAGAAGGTGACTGTGGAAAACAAAAAATGTTTTAGACACTTTACAGTATGTTTGTTCACTGAACTTTTAATGATCTCTTTAACACCTGCTAGGCCTAATTTAGTTATTTATTTTCTGAATCGGATTTAAATATCTTCTGATACATGTTAATCAAATTATTTTAATTTGTGGCATAAATATTTCTGTACTATTTCATGAAAATATTGCATCAAAATCTTCCTACACATTTTTGCTTCGCTTTCTCGCAGATAATGGCAACTTGACGGGTTTGTAACGGTGTTAGATTTTATAGATTCATATACTTAAAGGGACACTATAGTCACCCAGACCACTTCATCTCAATGACGTGGTCTGGGTGCAATGTCCCTCAGGTTTTAACCCTTCACTTTTTAGCACTTATCTGATAAATACAATTTAAAAATGTAATTTCTGTTATATACCATTGTGTTTCTTGCACTTGAACCTCGCATATAGTGACTAAAGCATGAATTATCAGCTATTAAATGTGAAATCAAAGAAAAATTCATCTAAAATTTTAGGTCATAAAAGCACAAACTGGAAAAATTCTCAGCTAGGTTTTCAGATTTAACAATTAAGATCTGAAACACATCTTGAAATAACTTCATAACAGTTTATCCCTTTAATTGGCTAACGGGGATTCATCAAAGATTATTGATAAAGGACTTGTTTTTAATCTTGTTGCTACTTTAACCGTCCAGACACTGCTTGCTGTCACTACTGATAGCAAGTGTCTGTTTACCAACTGCAAAATTTCACCAGTAACGTCATGACACTCCACTGCCCAAATACAATTTTGTTTTTAAAATCACTATTGAGTAGATATACTGTAGCAACTGGTTACCTCCGCTACTCTGGAACCATTAAAATAAGCAGACATCCATTCCCCCAGTAACCAGATGAAACATCGTTCTGGGAGTCAATTGATGTATTTTTAACCACACACGGCTTTTTATGCACACACCCCTATTGGGGTCTCCAATACAATACCACAGGGTTTTCAATCCCAAGATCCTCTGTGCCTGAGAGATAACTGCATGAGAAAAACCTATAATTCAAGTATCTCTCATGTGCAGAAAATCGATACAAAATATACAGTACCACAAAAGTGTCTCCACCATAACTAAGAACCCCGCAAATGTTATATCCCCGGATAGCCCCGATCTGAGTGTATAACATATCCAAAGATCACTCAGATCGGTTGGGTGAAATGGGAATGTCATCGAGACAAAGTTCTGACTGGCCGGACACGAGGCGCTAGCCCAAAACAGTACCAGGGAAATAGGAGTCCTGGCCGGTCTCTGTTCGGGGGTTCCTGTGCGAACACCTTGCAAGGGATTCTCTTTTCAGGGTACAAATGCTCCCCCTGTTTGGTAGTTCATTGCTGCCGAACGTCATTCGCATAGTTGGTCGGGAAGTAGAATGGGCAGTGGTCGAAACTTTACTGTGGTTCATGCAAGTGCGTAGCCGAAAAGAGTTCCAGGCACTCGACGACCAAGTGCCCTCATTTGGGAAACAAAATGTCCGCCATTCTTTTGTCGACCACGTGCATTCAGTTCTACAAAATAACCACCCAGGGGAAGCATTCATTAATTACTTCCCTTGCGGTTTCGCACTTAAGTTGCTGGTGTGAACGTTCTAATGGAGTACAGGGGTGGTCCTCGTTCAGGAGACGAATGGAGGGAGTTTGTATATAATAACTCCCGAACAGAGAAGGGAAATAAACACATGAAAGGGGGCAAAACACCCAATGAAAACATCCATGCATTTTATTAGCATTTTTGTCATTGGGGATATATCTAAAAACAGCTTTTAAAAGTTGTATATCTCCTGTCAGTAGTCTTTGCAAATCCCCCCTCCTTTCCCAGGCCAGACTTTCTGTGGATGTCCAATCACAGTCTTCCTAATGCAGATCAATGAGAAGTCTTTGCAATTGCCTGCTTCTTGAGTTTAACCAAACCAGTAAGCAACAGGACCAGTTATCTGAATGACAGCTAGGGGGTGTAACAAGGTTAATTTATAAAAGTGTACATTTTTATTGAATTCTGCACTTTTTGTAAAACAGAAAAAGAGGACACATTCTTTGCACAAAGCTGGTGTGCTTTAGATGTGTGGACTGTCATTTAAAGCCAGTCACTAAGTAGTATTTAACAGCATACACTGCATTCTATGGAAGAAGGCTTTACCTGGGTAGCTTTGGGTGGGCTGAAACCTTGGATGTGAGACTCTATACCCCCAAATCTCTATAGGGCGGTTGGATATTAGTGTTACTATTAGTATTAGTATTAGGTATTAGTGTTTTTAAATTTTTAACTTTACTCAAAACAAGAGACTGAAGAAAGATCACAAAAAGAAAGATCACAAAGCACTCCAAAATGCCTCTAAGGAGGGCCATTGACTGCCAGGAGGGGTGCTGGGACTCAGAACTTTGCTCTATTAATTAGTAAGCATGGATTTCATTGAATATCACAAATCTTCAAAACGTAAGACCAGATTCTTGCCTGGTGCACACAACTTGACAACAGCTATCTCCCTATACATTCTGCATGAAAAACATACATTAGCTATATGACATTACATGAAAAAGCTAAAGCGCATAACAGAGCACATTAAACAATATCAAACTGCAATAAAAAGGCCAGACACATGATATAAAAAGACAAAATGATTCTCTAAGTAAAGTTCACGTGTCATTTAAATGGACAATTCCCATAGCAGAAATAAATCTCAGAGGTACCATAGATATATAACTGGCATAGCAGAAAGTCACAGTTTAATACATTATATACACTCTCACTATCTACTGCTACAGCCATCACATGACGATGTACATATGCGCAAGGTTTTTTGTGGTTGCTATGGTGCTTCGGTGCTTCACCAGTGAGTTTCTAATCTGTGACTGGTCGGAATCTTAGTTAGCAGATGTTATTGGCAATTAGCTGGTAAAAAATAGCAAGGAGACATACTGAGACACTAAGGGACATTGGGAGACATTATGGCAGACACTGGGACACTAAGGGACATTGGGAGACATTATGGCAGACACTGAGACACTAAGGGACACTGGGAGACATTATGGCAGACACTGAGACACTAAGGGACACTGGGAGACATTATGGCAGACACTGAGACTCTAAGGGACACTGGGAGACATTATGACAGACACTGAGACACTAAGGGACACTGGGAGACATTATGGCAGACACTGAGACACTAAGGGACACTGGGAGACATTATGGCAGACACTGAGACACTAAGGGGCACTGGGAGACATTATGGCAGACACTGGGACACTAAGGGACACTGGGAGACATTATGGCAGACACTGAGACACTAAGGGACACTGGGAGACATGGGGCATTGAGACACTGATACATAGGAACACTGAGACCTGGAGTAATCGACACATGGGGGCACTGAGTCATGAGGGCACTGGGAGACATGGGGGCACTGGGAGGAATCCATCTATACAGCAGAATCAAACTAAGTAGTTTTTTGGTGATTTTACAGCATTTTCTCTTATGTCACTCCTTGTGATTTACATAATGTGATGTCACCCATACATATTTAATTGTGCAAATTAGTAAGGCCAGTATGTTTTTCCAAGAAAGGTGGCAACCCTAACTACTTTTCACATACTCTTACTTAAGTATGGAAACTTAAGTGGGATGTATGGGAACAAAACTTGTGTGGACTGGCTGACAATGAATATAGTTAAAGGGACACTATAGTCACCAGAACAACTACAGCTTATTGAATTTGTTCTGGTGAGTAGAATCATTACTGTCAGGCTTTTTGCTGTAAACACTGCTTTTCAGAGAAAATGCAGTGTTTACATTACATCCTAGTAACGTCACTGGCCACTCCTTAGATGACTGTTAGAGATCCTTCCTGGGTCATGGTTGCCTAAAATGCATCCACACATTCAGTGTCTCCTCCCTCTGCATGCAGACACTGAACTTTCCTCATAGAGATTCATTGATTCAATCCATCTCTATGAGGAGATGCTGATTGGCCAGGGCTGTGTTTGAATCATGCTGGCTCTGACCCTGATCTGCCTCTTTGTCAGTCTCAGCCAATCCTATGGGGAAGCACTGTGATTGGATCAGGTCACCACTTCTAATGATGTCAGCAGACTGCTTGTTTTTATGAGTCTAACAGCATGCAGAGTTACAGCTTCAGGCTTGAATATAGTAAGATTTTGCTATATTTATGGATGGAGGCATGAGGGGCCCAGGGGGCTAGATGGTGGTGTTAACACTATAGGGTCATGAATTCATGTTTGTGTTCCTGACCCTATAGTGATCCTTTAAGGTAATGCTGACTTTGGTCTCTCTAACACTGTGAATTGTTCCCTTTCTTCTACACTCACTACATGCAGCTTTTCTCTGTCCCAGACCATATACCAGGAGCTTCTGCCTGCTAGTAAGAAGGTAAGGAGACAAGTGGATCAGCGAGTGCTCGGGGACAGTCCTTAGAAAGCGTTGAGCGAGCGCATCATTAGATGCATTTATGCCAAGCTCATGGTGCTGTCTGCATAGTATGCCCTTAGTTGGCCAGCTGCATGAATGGCAGGCAGGCTGGCCTTCTAATTCTTTGAGCAGACATGTCCTCTTTTTGGTCATGTTCGCCCCTTTTGGCAGGTTACCTGATTTGTGTCAGTGGCACACCCTTTTACCCCGCCCATTGACTTCCTGCTTGACTGGACACTGCTGTTAGGGGTTATGGATTTACTTGAAAGATGAAAACATAAATTAGAGAGAGATTAACCTACGGTATGTGTTTTCTTATAGCTGCTGTTTTCTTTCTCTCCAGCACCATCAGATATATGATGCTTTGGAGTGTTTTACTGTTTTTGGTCGATATGATTCTGTAATTAGGCCCGTCATAATTGTCAGCACCAGGCCCACTGGGCTCTTAATCTGGACTGCAAGGAACTAAGATGGAGGCAGCAAGTTGTAGGACAAAGAAGGTTGTTCTACATTAAAATTGTATTCCCGACTCCTGGGCAATTCCTATTTGTTAAACATACTATTACAAATCCTGGGAGGTGGCAGTTCCTCTTTAAATGTGCTGTTCAATGTTACTGCTGAAATGAATTAAAGGCAAACGTCCATATGTATCAAAGCAAAACTTAATCCTGAAAGAAATGGGGGTTATATTTGTTGGTTGCTCTACAATTAACCCCTTAATGCAGAATTTTGCAGTGATGCAGTGCTATGTTTAACACACATTCTGTGAAACCCATCAATGTACTGGCTTGGTTCCAATGTTCCGTTACATTAAGACAAAATGAAATATAAAAATAAAAAAAACTTAGTTGTCCTGACACCCTTCCCACTATTCTAGAGATGGATTTACTCAGCTGGTGTTCAGCTGATGGTCAGCTGCTTTGGATTGTCCCTTTGATCTATACAGGGACACATACATCTTCTCACATATCTATAAAAAGGTTTCTTTATACTGTTTGCTCTGGGTGATATAAAAATCAGGAGAGTAGAAAGCCCAACTTCTATAATTAACTTCTTCAATTCAAGCTAAAACCCATCATGTGATCATTTAAACATAGACAAATGGAAAATCTAAAAATACAGAAAATAAGTATGACTAAAAAAAAAAAAAAAGCCTTTCTTAGCATTTCTGGAAAAGTAAGACGTTTTCTGCTACTGTCCCTGCTAAACCCATAATAAGAGGTACATCTTTCTGCTAGCTGACACTGTCATGGATCTAAATCATTAACTGTATATCGAAATATAACAATAATAAAAAAAACAAATGCAAAAAGGTAGGATTAAGATCCCAAAGGGTTGAGGTAGCTACCTGGTTTAGGGATTGTGAATGAGGCCAAGCTTGGCAAAGAATATTCATGGCACCCAGATTATTGTCTAACCCCTGGGCTCTAGATGGTTGCCTTATTAAGGTTCATCTTTATATATCTTTTACTATTACACAGTTCCAGAAATATTAATCAGCAGGGCTTTTTGGGGTTATTTGAGAAAATGAATTAATATTTGGGTCTTCAGCTACTTTGGAAGTGGTATCATCTGGAGTTGTGGTAAAAGCTTGTCCTTGCTAGTGAACTTATATCACGTTGCACAGAGGACTTTTTTACATATAAGACATTTTTTACATATAAGACGTTTTGTAGTTTTATCTGATTCCCCAGCCGCCTACAGAATACGTGAATTTTTTTTTCTTAAAAAACCTGAAAAGATTACTTAGTTACATGTAAATCATCATTGATGATAAATGGTCTCCAGAAAATTCTTCCTAGCTATTCACAACAAATATCTCCTTTAGCAGGCTTCCTTGATATCTATAGAGACACCTGTGTTAGTGGAGCTGATGGAAGCTGACTGCTGTACATAACAACTTGTGCAGCAGGTTCATCCATGTATTTTCTTTAGTGAAACTTCTACTTAGAACTGAACTACATACATATCTCACAAATGTATAATCCCTTGATCAGTTTATTCGATGCTCAGCCTGTGTCCAGAATGACAGTAAATGTAGGAACGTCAAAACGTAAATGGTAACAAACAATTTTTAAAAATCTACTTTTTTGTTTTCTTTAAGATTATTTTATTTTACTATTTATTTATTTTTTTGCATACATTGAAAGCATTATTTATATAATACATTAAAACGGGTGTTGATTACATTCTGATGCTAAGAACATGCAAAAGATATGTAAAAATACATACAGCCCTTACTCCAAAAATTGGTTGTGTAGTCTCATATAGGTGTATCATCATATAGATGTGAATAAATGGCAGTTGAAATTTATAACTCATCACTTAATAATGGGCATTTTTTTTCCAAGAAGGTAGCAGACCTCACATTCTTTGATTTTGTTAGCTCTAATGTCTACTGTAAACTCTCATTCAAAAATCTATTTATCTGAATAAATATTTCATTAATGTACCTTATTTAACATGATCTAGATAATAATGGTTTGTCCTGCTTTCTTCCCAGTGAACGGATTGGTCTCTATCACCATAGAGAGCAAGAACCGTATGCAATTTCTCTTTCATCTAAATGAAACAGAAGAACCAGGTTTGATGAAGTTTAATGGAAACAATGCAACATTTGAAGTTTATCCCCAGAAGATGGGACAACATACCTTGCAAATTTTTTCCAAGACATTAGACTCAAAAGAAGCATATCACTTAATTGTGGATTACAGTGTGTATTGTAACTATGTGCCTGCCTCAATGAAGATTCCAAAGTGTCTTAGTAACCCAGCTGGACCGAGTTGGGTATCAGAGAATGCAGGACTCCTTCAGCCCTCTCATCCAGAACCCATTATATACACAGATGATGGATGTTGCACAGTCAGATTTTCTCTAAACGGGATATTTAAACTCATTACCTGTTTAAAATCTGATGAAATTAAAAACCTACCAAATCATATCATACAAAAAGTGCAAGACCTCAAACTTGAACTTCGCATTCGACTCCCAAAGTCTGGGTTTTATGTGCTACAGATATTTGTTGAGCCTGTTGGTTTCATCTGTAACTACCTCCTAATATGCTCTAGTCTAAATGTGAATTGGCCACCATTCCCTGCTCTTCTTCAAAATCCTGTAGGTCCAAATCCAGAAACAGAAAAGGCTGGACTCCATAATCCCTCACACACAGACCCAATTATTCACACAGAGAATGGATCCTGCACAGTTAGCTTCGAACTAAACAGGATGCAGACACTCACATTCAGCCTGAAATCAGATAATGCACATACTGTACTGAATCATGTAATCCAGAAAACCCAGAAGAACAAAGTTGAGTTCAATGTTCATCTCCCACATTCTGGATCTTATGTTCTCCGGATATTTAATGATTCCACTGGTTACATCTGCAATTATCTTTTGACTTGTTCCAATGCTAAAGTAAAGTGGCCTCCTTACCCTGCTCTTCTTCATAACCCAGTTGGTCCATCCCCAGAATCAGAGAATTTTGGACTCCTTCAACCCTCACACCCAGATCCAGTGATTAATATGGAGGATGGATGTTGTACTGTTAGCTTTATATTAAACAAGATGGTAACACTTATTGCAAGCTTAAAATGTGAAGAAATACCAACCTTATCCAATCATATATTACAAACCGTACAAAAGGATAGAGTTGAGTTTTTAATCCGCCTACCACGGGCTGGTTCTTATGTGCTCCAAATTTTTGAAGGCTCCAGCAGATATATCATGAATTATCTCTTGACATGCACTAATACCAGTGTGAGCTGCCCTTCATATCCATCAATGCTTCAGAACCCAGTAGGTCCTAACCCAGAAACAGAGAAAGTCGGGCTACTTCAGCCTTCTCATCCAGATCCAATAATTAACACCCAGGATGGTTGCTGCACTGTGACCTTTGCCGTGAAGAGGGAATTAATTTTCTTTTCTACTTTACATTGTGATGACCCACAATTGGCATCAGAAATGAAGTACCGATATGCCTTCCATGCCAGAAAAGAGGATAAAGTAGAATTTAAGGTTCGCCTTCCACAGTCAGGAACTTACGTTCTACGCATAAACATTAAAACTAAAAACAGTAACGCATACACATCTCATTGTAACTATCTTATCATCTGCTCAAATCCCAGTGTTCATTGGCCAGTTTTTCCTTTAGTATATGATGATTGGGCCCAGCACTATCAGTTGGTGGAACCATTAGATGGAGTTCTACCAAAGAATAGTACTGTGTCCTTCAAACTCCAGGTTCCAGATGTGACTGGGCTCTCCGTGAAGGGGAAAAGTTACTGGCCTTTGACTCTCAGTGAACAAGGTTACTGGGAAGGGTCATGTAGCACAGAGGACTGCAAGGAACTCTTTGTCACTGCCAGTTGTAAACAAGAGCCGGACACCTGGGTGTATCTCTTACAATATCAGATACAGTGATAAATAACAAAATGAATACACAAATTATGTCTGGAGAAGGACCATAAAAAATGACACCACTTTGACAGTTTACATAAATTTTTTGGCTATTGGTATTCTAATTTATATTCGTATTAATGTGTACATATATATTTTTTTTCAAATGTTTGAAATTTTATGAGGTGCTAGTCATCCTTGTTTTTAATGAGATTTTGTCATGCAGAATGACATGATAGTTCTGCTATGCAGAACATGACAGAGTCTTAATACATCTTTAGCAGTCTTGAGAGTCTTCATATGTTTGTAATATAGAAATAATTTCACAATATCATGTGTATAGTCTACCAGCAAATGGGAAATAGTTACCCCATTCTTGAAGGAACATGTATTCCTAGCACTATAGTGTCCTGGTACCTGTTGGTGACCGTGTGTCCCATCCACTGTGTGGAGGTTTGAAAGGTGAAATTCACTTATCTTATAGCCCTTTAACATGTCATCATGGTTTGTAGCCACACAGAACTTCCATGATTGTATCTGTCTTTCCTGGAAGTCTTTGTAGTCTGTCCTGCAATGCTACACTATACATTACATAGTAATTTATGTTGACAAAATGCGTTCTATCCAAAAAACGGTGACAACCAAACTTTAAATCATTTTCAACTGTGTGCCAAAAAAGGATGGAGGTTCCTATTTTACTTCAAAACAGAGATTTCTCCTTAAAAATAAATAAACTAAATAAATATATTTATTGAAGACATGTTTTATAGACAACATACAAAATACACAATCCAGCACACCCGCTTATTCACTAAACAATGATTTCAAATCTTAGAGATTGTAATAGTTTTATTTAAAAACACCTCACCTAGGCAAAAAATAATGGGGGTTTAGTTACATTATATGATCATATATTGCATAAGCCTGCCACAACGTCAGTGTACCCCATTCTTGGCAGGGATGTTTTATAGACAGCTACATAATTTGAAAAACAGAATTTTTATAGTTTTATAAATGTATTGTTTTTTATTTGGAAGAAAGCTATCCTCTCCGGATAGTAAAATAATTTTTGCTAAAATTTCAAGATACAATTATATTTGCAAATATAATAGTGATTATGATACTTCTGCAATGTTAAGCAATATATACTGTTTATAATTAATGGGACATGGTGTTGGCAAGGACCCAAGGCCGCTGCATGGATTTTTGGCTACACAGGCAAAGACTCATTTTATCTCCCTCCAAAATACATTTTTTGCCTCTGTGTCTCTTGAACTTCTGTGTCCCTTATTTCTCCACAGTTTGCCCTTCTTACCCATCCTTTTGCACCTTTTGTGTATCTTTCCCACTTTTTGTGTTTTTTTTCTCCCTTTGAGGATTGTATCGCCTCTTTGTCATTCTTATTCCAGCGTTCTACTCCTGTCCTGGATCGAGGATAAAGAAGATCTTCTACAATGGTCCAAAGAGTGACAGACGGTAAGGGGGAGCTCTGTGTATCCCCATGCCACCTGTCACCTATTAATTGTACCGTCCCAGGCTGTTGTACACCATAGGGGACGCCTGTGTGGATTTATGGTAGTGCCAGTGCTCCAAAGAATTCACCAATAACAACGGCAACAGAACCCTTGTGATTTCAAATTTAATGTGAAAACTATGCCAGTCTCTGTCAGAATCAGAGTGTTACACACCTCAAGTGTTATTAATGAAGTGTGTGATATTATAGATTGTCAGTGTTTAACTTTCTTTGTTTTATACAATAAGACAAACTACTGTATATATTTTATACGCATCAATGCTACCTTGTAGGGATTCATCATGTTTTACATGATTTACATTTTATAACCTGTGCAATGTCAATGTATTTATCATATGTATGTTAATGTTCCTTTATTATGACATATTATATGTTTTTTTTTAAATAAACACATGAAATTGATATAAAAATTCAGTTCATTTCAATGTGGTTTGAAAAAGAAACTACAAGCAGAAGCTCAAAAAACCAACCCAATAAAGGTCCAAATTGCAAATGAAGAACATCTAACAGTTCTGCAAAATAAACAGCCCATTAAAACAGATCTCAAATTGTAAGTGGAAACAATGATATTGCTTATTAATACAGAAATACAAATATAACTTGAAAGAACAAAATAATCATATCTTGATTGTATCCTGTTGGTAGACACTATATATGTTGGATTGTTTAACAAATCAATCCCAAAGCCCAACATCCACCAACTTAAAGTGACACTGTAGGCACCCCGACCACTTCTCCTCATTGAAGTGGCCTGGGTGCAATGTCCCTGCATTGTTAATTATTGCCGTTTCCTGAGAAACAACTTTGTATTCCTAACATTATAGTGTACCTTTAAAGGAACTGCACAAAGACATGGTACCAAGACTCATAAATATGAAATGACACCTGTTTTGGATCTCTCCACTAGATGGGCAGCGATGAAGCTCCATCAATCGGAGGTAAATACGTACATTTCTCAAGGCCTTTTGTGACCAGAGAGTTTCTGGTTGCTTAAGGGCAGGTCTCCAACCCAGCCCTCAAATACCCCCTAACAGTCCAGGATTTAGGGATAACTCTGTTGTGTTTAAAGTGTTTTTTTCTAAAAATAAAGAAAATCACCTATAGCAGCTTAACATATCTAAGGAATGTTCATTTTACTCATTAACAAAATCAAAGAATGTGAGGTCTGCGTAACTAGATTAAGTGTGCACACAACGGTGCTACTAAACTTTTACTGAAGGACAAGGTTATATTGCAAATGTCCCACTTCAGATCAATTTAAATAAATGTCACAAGAATGATATTCAGGTGTGCAGTTTTATAAATTTTCACTAGAGGGAGCGCCTTATCTCTAGATATACATGAGAACGCTATACATGAGAACCTCCAGCGTCGCCAAAATCCCTATAGGAAAGCATTGAATAATGCTTTCCTATAGGAAGATCCTAATGCGAGGGCGGCCAATGCCGCACATACGCATTAGGTATCCCCCGCTGGCAGCCGGCGATGGGGGAGGAGCGTGGGCAGAGCTGAGCCTGTGCCGAGGGACATCAGTGCTGGACCCAGGACTTATTAACCCCTTCAGCACCGTGGGAGGGGGCCTTGACTGAAGGAGAAGCTACAATGCCAAGAAAACTAATTTGTTTTCCTGGCAATATAGTTTCCCTTTAATGATAGTGCTAGGGGGGGCTCCTGATTAAGGAAGACTATGGGATAAAGTGCTTTTTCATTAAAAGCTCCAGTTGTAGTGCCAATAATTTGTCCAGCAACCTTAGATGAACAGAGAGCCTATGAGTGTTAGAAACCCAGAAATCTGGAATAGATAGAAACTGACTGGATACATTTAAATAAATACACCAGATGTATTAACCCCTTAAGGACGCACCTTCTGCAATAAAAGGGAATCATGACAGAATATTTCCGTCATGTGTCCTTAAGAAGTTAATGTAATCAGTTTCTATTCAACCCCTATCTGAATGTCATTTATTCACAATCTTTGCATCCTCTAAACTCATACAGTATAGAAATTCAACCCTGCGGCAAATCGATTGAAAACTTAACCTAGTACATAAAGTCCCACGGGTGAACAGTTAGCAAAGTTATAATTGTTGCCAATAGTGCTGTTTAATGCTTGCCACAAGCATGGTTTGAATGTACTGTAACAGATCTCAATTGTTTAAAAATCCATTTATAGAAAGATATGGAACAACAATATAGACTCATTAGATGTGCTCACAAAATAAAATCCATCACTCAAAAACAGCCTTCCTATACCTGACAAAATATATTCTAAGCTTTGAGTCAAGTTCAGAGAGGCAAAATACTGATTTCAGAGGCAAAAAAAAAAAAACAACCAATCTGTGATCGCGCCGCAAAGAGCTTTTCGGCGACAGTTCAACATTCCGCACAACAACGCCGTTCCCAGTGAGGTACATACCGCCCCTGCGACCCGGTATGTACCCACTGGGCCAGCCTCTTCTCCTGGGGGGCCCAGGAGCCGGCCTCCCCAGGGCCCCCCGAGGCTGGCCCTTGTGTCACCCGGCAGGCGGGTGGGCGGGCGCGCGAGGGAGCACTCTCTCCTGAGTGCTTCCACTTCCGCTCCCTCGCGCACCGCACTGATACCGGAGCCGGAAGATAACGTCATCTTCCGGCGCCGGCATCCCTATGTGGTGCACGAGGGAGCGGAAGAGGAAGCACTCAGGAGAGAGTGCACCCTCGCGCGCCCGCCTGACCAGCCACCCGCCCAGGAGCCCAGCAGCACCACTGGACCCCAGGGAATCCCCCCAGCACTCCAAAAGGTAAGGAGGCTGGGGATATTAAATTTAAAAAAAAAACACATGTGTGTTAGTGTGTGTGTTAGTGTGAGTGTTAGTGTGAGTGTTAGAGTGTGTGTTAGAGTGAGTGTTAGAGTGTGTGTTAGAGTGTGTGTTAGTGTGTGTTAGTGTTAGTGTGTGTGTTAGTGTGAGTGTTAGTGTGTGTGTTAGTGTGTGTTAGTGTGAGTGTTAGAGTGTGTGTTAGTGTGAGTGTTAGTGTGAGTGTTAGAGTGTGTGTTAGTGAGTGTTAGAGTGTGTGTTAGAGTGTGTGTTAGAGTGTGTGTTAGAGTGAGTGTTAGAGTGTGTGTTAGAGTGTGTTAGAGTGAGTGTTAGTGTTAGAGTGAGTGTTAGTGTGTGTGTTAGAGTGTGTGTTAGAGTGAGTGTTAGTGTTAGAGTGAGTGTTAGTGCATGTGTTAGAGTGAGTCTTAGAGTGAGTGTTAGTGTGAGTGTTAGTGTGCTAGTGTTAGAGTGAGTGTTAGTGTTAGAGTGTGTGTCTGCTAGTGAGTGTCAGTGAGTGTGTCTGAGTGTGTGTCTGCTAGTGAGTGTCAGTGAGTGTGTTACTGTGTGTGTCTGTTACGGAGTGTGTGTGTGTTAGTGAGTCTGTTTGATGTCTGTTAGTGTGTGTTTGTCAATGAGAGTGTATGTTTTGTAAGTGAGTGTGTATGTATGTCTGTCACTGAGTGTGTCTCTTTCAGTAA